CTCTCCTCCTTAAACCTCACCCTCCACATCAATACGCTGACCCACAACCGTGGCCACTTCCCCCACCCGGCCCCTTCCCCCACCCGGCCCTTCCCCCACCCTGCCCCTTCCACCCCATCCAGACCACCCATACCGCCTTCTCCCTCCGCCATAGCTCCTGCCACTCCCCCTCCTTACGCTCCTTTGCCCCCATTTTTTCCTCCTCTCAACCATGATCAGCTGCATGAAGTTCACCACCTGCTACCTCGACGCCCTCCCCACTCAGCTGCTGATCACTCAACTCCCCCTCCTTTCCCCCCTGCTGGCCAACGGAGTCAACCAGTCTCTCTCCTCAAGCTCTGTTCCATTCCCCTTGAAAACTGCTGTTACCACATCCCTCCTCAAAAAAAACCAACTTCGAACCCTCTAATTTCTCATATACCGTCCCGTTTCCAACCTGCCCTTCCTTACCAAAGTCCTGGAACGCATTGTTGCAGGTCAACTTTGGTCCCACCACTCCCTCCTCGAGCCCCTGCAGTCTGGTTTATACCCTGTCACAGCAAAGACATAGCACTTTTCAAAGAGACAAACAACGTCCTCTCTATCTGTGACCATTCTTCCCTCTGCCTCTTCGTTCTCCTGAATCTTTCTACCGTGTTCGACACAGTCGAACATGCCTTGGGATGTCCTCCCGACGTGAAAGGCGCTCTATAAATGGAATCTTGTTGTTGTTGTTGTTGACTGGTACCGGCCTCTTGCTTGTCCCTCGCACCTTCCATTCCTCCATTGGAGATCGCCTATTCAGCCACTACGCCCCAAGACTCTGGAACACTCTCCCTCATTGCATCCGCCTTGCCCCTTCCCTCCCCTTTTTCGAGTTCCGCCTGAAAACCTTTCTTTTCGACCATGCTTACGGTCACCTCCCACCCCCCTCCTCCCCACCAGCTTGGAGTCACCCACCGTATCTGATGATTTATCAATGACGTATTGGATGGCACCTGGACCCGTGCTGGGTGACTTTCACACCTCCTGGTCACGTCCCAAGTGGCTGTTGTTTCTGTGTGAGGTGAGTGTTGGCACGGTGTTCAAACACAGGCACATACATCACAGCCCTGATCCTGTCCTCACTTGGCTTTCAGACACGTACACACACACCTCTCAGTAGTGTGTATCTGGATGGGGATCAGGAACTGGAAGCCTTGCTGAATCGCTCCTCCCTGACACAGGGCACTCTGAGACCTTGACCAGCACTTAAACCTGTGAGGGTCCCTGCACTGTCAGGTGTGAGGAGATTGTCAAACAATATGGAGTAAGTAACCAATTATATCTGGAGGATTGTTGACCATGACACTGGGAGAGAGAAACTCACTTCTCATTTCGAAGAATGTCACTAGATCTTCAATGTCCATCTGCATAGCAGCAGGCAGGGTCTCAGTTTAACATCTCATCCATGGTAGGGGGTTGGGGTGTGAGGTGTGGGTGCAATTGGTGTGGTTGGGTATCGGATGAGAGGGAGTTGGCAGTGTGAAGCCAGGCGCTGGGAGCTGTGATGAGGAACAAGATAAGGTGCTGGAGGGGATGAGAAAGGGACGGGTTTATTGAGCCTGAACATTTTTCTGTCCTAAGATTCCTTTTGTTCTCACACTGGGACCTGCCATCAGTCCCTGCTCTGGGGAGCAGAGGAGAAGGTTATTACCGACCACAGAGAGAGCTCCTTACATGGGTTCAGTGAGTCCCAATCATCAATCTGTGAGCTTTTAACGTAACGCAATCATGGAGCGTTTTGAAATTTCATTATAAATTAGACACTTATCGTCTGTACTAAATAATTAAGAGCAATAAGTGCAGCAGTTGAGTTAATGTGAAGGTACTTAGTTTCCGGACTAACACAATTGTTTTACCGATTAATATCATTCTCTCAATCGATTGTACTTTACAGTGAATATGACAAACAGGACATCGGTCTCTGAGGAGTTATAGGGCTGATTGCACAGGCTGAACACAAAGAAACAGGCCACTCAGCCCCATTAGTGTTTATACTCCACACAGGCCTCCACCCATTCCCTATCCACCCCCCCATCAACCTCCACAAGCCCTCTATTCCCTTCTCCCACATGTAGGATTCAGTCGGAAGTTTGGGTTTGGTAAAATGGAATATCGAGAATGTAAAACAAGAGCTTCCCACTGGATATAATAATAATAATCCTTCCACTTGATATAATAATAATAGTGTCTTCTTACGTAGTCGAGACGTCTCAAAGCACTTCACAGAATGTACTGTAAAGTGCAGTGACTGTGCATTTTGTGGGCAAAATGAGCCAGCCAGTTTGCGCAAAGTAGTGTTCCACAAACAGCCATGGACTGAGTGACCAATTTTATTTGGGAGGACTGTTAGTCAGTAAGCCAGGAGAGAGGGAGAGAAACTCCCTTGTCTTTTGTGAATTTCACCATCTGATGTTCATCAATCCTATTTGAGAATTTAACATTTAGATGGAGTATCATGGTGATGGGGAATAGGAAAAGTTTTATAGATAGAACTTATTGATATCAGGTACATCAGCACAAAAATACCAACATAAATATCAACAGAAAGACCTCTTCACGAGGTGAGTACAGGTATGTACACAAAAGGGTTGAGCTACTTGGTGTGTTAAAGAAAAGGGAGTTTCTCTCTCCCACTACCCTGGCTGACAATTCCCCTGATAAAACTGCTCATTCACTTCATGGATTTTTGTGGAACACTGCTGTGTGCAAATTCACCTACAAAACAAATGATCGCTAACACACTAGAATATATCAGGTAATTCACTTGGAGATGTCCTCCTGATGTGAAAGATGCTGCATCAAGTGTAAGGATTATTATTATTATTACTATAATTTTCATTTGGATTCAGAGTAGAGACAGAACAATAATAAGAATAATCCTTGAATTTGATATAGTGCCTTATCAGGTCATTGAGACATCTCAAAGCACTTCACTTTAGAACATATTGTAAAGTTTAGTGACTGTGTATTCTGTTGCCAAAATGGGACAGCCAACTGTGCAGAGCAGTGTCCCGAAAACACTCGTGGATTGAGCGACCAAAGTTTTTTTTTGAGGGATTATTATTTCCTGGTTCTTACTGCTAGGTAAACAGAAGCGTGTGGAGTAAGGAAACTTGCCTAAGGTTTTGCTCCGCTCAGGAATGGAACCTGGCCTCTCGTTTGCGGGGCAAGCCAACCAAAACACCATAGCTACAGGTCTCCACAATACTCCACGACACAGTACTTTTACGTGGATCAGGGTAAGAGAGCACAGGGTTGAGAAAGGACATCAGGGAGTATTTCTCACCGAGGGGGACTGGCAGCTAGCTGAACGGTTGACGGCCAAGAGGCTGGACTCATTTAGGAAACGTTTGGAGATGAGTTGATGGAAATTGTTATCATGGATGCGGAATGCCATTAAGAAATATGAACGGAGTAGAGGTTTGTGTAACAGATAGTGGTGTATCACACTGCCCACAGGCTGGCTGCCCAGCTAATGTTATCAGGCGGTTCAGAACAATCTGCCTAATGCATTTCCTGTTACTTTGTAAATCCACCACTCAATAAATGGGCAGTGCGGCTACATGAGGGCAATTAACGTTGGCAACAGAAGAGTGGCTCTGAGACCCTCATACGCGCTTTCATTACATCGAGGCTTGACTATGCAAACCTCCCCAACTCCTCCCTCCATAGGCTGCAGATCATCCAGAACTCTGCATCCTCGCCTGACTCCACTGGCTTCTCATCACACAGAGGACACAGTTCAAGATCCTGGCCCTCTTCTTCAAAGCCCTCCACGGTCTTGCTCCCCTCCCACCTCTGGACCTCCGAACCCCTTACCATCCTGCTCGCTCTCTCTGCTCAGCGGGCTTCGGCCTGTTTCACGTTCCCCCATCTCGCTTGCCCCACTATTGGCGGGCAGGCTTTCTGCCACTCTGCCCCCACCCTCTGGAACTCCATTCCGCAGTACCTCCACCTTGCCCCCTCCCTTGCCTCATCAAGACCCACCTCATGACCCTCCTCTTTGACCGTGCTTTCGATCTCCCTGGTCCCCCCCCCCCGGCATCCACCTTCCCAGACCCTCTGAAACTCTGTCACTTTGGGATGTCCCCCCGACACGAAAGGCGCTATACAAATGTAATTTAGTTGTTGTTGTTGACTATCAGGCTCCAGGGCTGACCTTACTGATATCAGAGAGTCAGAGCAAAAGTCAGTCAGAGGCTCCCTCTCGGCCCCACAGCTTCCACAGAAATACAGTCTATATCATTAAAGTCGTGGAGAGAGAGACAGAAAACATTTAATAATAATAATCCTAGTATTTGATATAGTGCCTTATCCACGTTGGAAGGACGTTTCAAAGCGCTTCACAGGATTTTTACTATGAAATGTATTTTGAGAGTGAGTGAAATGTGGCAGCGCAATTGCACACAGCTGTGTCCCACAAACAGCCATGTAGTGAGTGACCAATTTTTTTTTAATTTGGGGGCTTGTTGGCCAGGACACTGGTGGAGGGGGGGTGTGGTGGGGGGGGGGGGTGTTTAACGTCTCAAAGGACAGCACCTCCTGACAATGCGGCACACCCGCAGCATTGCACTGGAGCGTCAGCTTAGACCGTGTGCGATTCCAAGCCCCGACCTGGGTCGCTTGAACCCACAACAACCCTCCGACTGAGCGGCGAGAACCCGACCGCTGAGCCGGGCTGACACCGCGCGTGAAGCAACAGTCAAAAGTTCTGGAAACATAAGTTCTTAAAAAAAAATTTGAGTGTTTTTGGGCTGATTGACACAGGCTGTTTTGACGGAGTTAAGTTTCAATTAATTCCACGGTGGAAAAAACACAGACACACACACACACACACACACGTTACAGTAAGATGGGACTGACAGTGTTGTGAGTTTCCATTGCCTGTCCTGCCTTACTTAGCTGTGATGGGGAGGGAGGGGAAGTGGTTTGGGGGGTGAGGGGGGGGGGGAGGATAATGACGCAGGTTGGATGTGGGTTTAAAGTCGGATCGAGCAGTTCCGACCCTCTCAGTTCACAGTTGGTGAGAGTTTCTGGAGGACGTTCAAGCAGTAACTGCTGCGTAAAGTCCAGTGACCGATGTTCCGCAACTCAGGCACCAGAGCGCTGCTCTGCGCCCTGTGTTACATGGTGTGTGCGGCTGCCCTGACACAAGGTAAGGCTGTCTGGGGAGACAGGGGGGGGGGAGAGGGGAGGGGAGGGGGAGAGAGGGGGGAGAGAGGAGAGGGGGAGAGAGGGGAGGGGGAGAGAGGGGAGGGGGAGAGGGGAGAGGAGGGGGGAGAGGGAGAGAGGGGGGAGAGGGGGGGGAGAAGGGGGAGAGGGGGGAGGGGGAGAAGGGAGGGGGAGAGGGGAGAAAGGGAGAGGGGAGGGGAGAAGGGGGAGAGAGGGGAGGGGAGAAGGGGGGGAGAGAGGGGAGGGGAGGGGGAGAAGGGGGAGAGAGGGGAGGGGAGAAGGGAGGGGGAGAGAGGGAGAGGGGAGGGGGAGAAGGGGAGAGAGGGAAGGGGGAGAGAGGGGAGGGGGAGAAGGGGAGAGAGGGAAGGGGGAGAGAGGGGAGGGGTGAAGGGGAGAGAGGGAGAGAGGAGGGGGAGAGGGTGACTTCAGATAAGAGTTAACTTTCTGCTCTCGATGTTCCATTGTTATAGTTATAGAAACAAAATGTATTTGGAAGAGGGGATGAACCTGAATAAAAACCAGAGAGGGGATTAGATGAGAGTCGGTTTGTTCGTGAGAAGGGGTCGAAAGAGACGACGAGAGTGGGAGACAAGACAGACAGACAGAGAGAGAGGGAGACAGACAGACAGACAGACAGACAGAGAGGGAGACAGACAGACAGAGAGAGAGAGGGAGACAGACAGAGAGAGAGGGAGACAGACAGAGAGAGAGGGAGACAGACAGACAGACAGACAGACAGACAGACAGACAGACAGACAGACAGACAGACAGACAGACAGACAGAAAGGGAGACAGACAGACAGAGAGGGAGGGAGACAGAGGGAGGGAGGGAGACAGACACACACAGAGAGAGGGAGAGATAAAGACTGAGAAAGAAAGAAAGAAAGAAAGAAAGATTAAGAGACAGGCACACCCACACACACACACACAGAGTAAAAGAGAGAAAGAGAGAGATAGACAGATAGATAGCAGGAAAGTGGGTATTTTGGTTTTTTTTCTTGAAGCAATGGCACAGACGGGTGAAGTGTAGGAATGGGATAAGTGTATGTGTGTGTATGTGTGTGTTTGAGCTGAGGATGGGGCAGAGAGCCTGATCTCAAGAGTGAAACTGACCTGAGTGAGTGTGTGGTTGAAACTGACATTTGACTAAAACTGTGTCAGGAAATGTGCTGAGCTGAGCTGAGAAATGGTACAAAATGTTCTTTCGTAGAAAGAGCCGACACAGACTCGATGGGCCGAATGGCCTCCTTCTGTGCCGTAACATTCTATGATTATCTTTAAAGTAAAAAGAAATACCCACCTTCCTGTTCTCAGTGTATGTCTCTCGATGCCTCTCTTTCTCTCTCTGTCAGTCACTCTCTCTCTCTGTGTCTCTGTCAGTCTCTCAGTCGCTTGCCTCCACTTGGCACAACTTTACTGCCACCCCCCCCCCCCCCACCCCAGGCATTATTTATTATAATTATTACCCCCGAGGCTCCTCTTGGGAAAGGTCCCGATCCGGTAGAGGGAGTGAGTCTCTCCCTTTGGCTCTGAGACTCCAAACCAAGCGCTGTGTAGGTGCTTCAATGCCGAATCGGGGATTGATGATGGGGGGTGGGGGGTGTTATGGGCTCAGCAAAAAAAAGTCAGTCTGTCATTTACCTGTCAATATGACTAGCCATCTGATCTGTCTGCCTGTTTGGATCTGTCTGGTTGCCTGTCTCTCTTGTGCCTGTCTCTCCTGTGCCTGGCTGCCTGGTTCTCTTGTGCCTGGCTCTCTTGTGCCTGGCTCTCTTGTGCCTGGCTCTCTTGTGCCTGGCTCTCTTGTGCCTGTCTCTCCTGTGCCTGGCTGCCTGGTTCTCTTGTGCCTGTCTCTCCTGTGCCTTGCTGCCTGGTTCTCTTGTGTCTGGCTCTCTTGTGCCTGGCTGTCTCAGTCCTGTAGTTTGGGTTAACGATCAATGGTGGCAGCAAACCGTGTGTGGAAATGATTGCCCATTGCTGGGGGGAAGGAGCGAGAGGTGAAGCGAGGAGGATTGTGCCTGCGTGCCTCAGGGGCCGCTTGCTGACCCTTGTGACGGACTGACTGACTGACTGACTGACCTCCTGTTTGCGTCTTGTCAGGTGCCCCTACGAACCTGGGCCGTTACATGTGGCTGGAATGTAAACCCAACAGCACCGATGCCAATTGTCTGACCCGCCAGACCCCGCTGGCTACCATTCCTTCCACCGCTCCCCAACGCTTATCCGCCAGAGGAGACATCGCCCGGTAAGTAACCCCTACCCCACTCCCCCCAGGCCAAGCCTCATTAGAGGACCCGGGTTTGATTCCCAGGTGGGGCAAACCCTTAGCCATGTTTCCTTACTCCACACACTTTTGTTTACCTGGCAGTAAGTAGGAACCCACTTATCAGTCGATTGGAGGATTGATTTCCAGGGGTAATATTCCCATAAACATATATTGATAATTTGGTCACTCAATCTACAACTGTTCGAGGGATATTTCTGTGCGCGATTGGCTTCTGTGTTTCACCCACAAATACAGTCAAATACATTTTGCAGTATATTTTGTGAAGCACTTTGAGATGCCTCAACAATGTGATAAGGTGCTATAATCAAATGTGTATATTATTATTATTAACACCGTTAATTATAGCTTGGCATTTTAAGGTGCTGGTGGAAACATTTATATTTTTGTGTCTGTGCGGGGGTGGGAAGGTGAGGATGTTTGTGTGTGGGGCGGGAGTGAGGGGGTGTCTGTGCAGGGGGATGCGGGAGGGGAGGCCATCGTCAAATGTAGCTTTAATCTGAAAAAGAAAACGTCCGAAAATCAATTTTGAAATTCAGATTAAATTTAGGGATTTCTCCCCACCCCGCCCACACACACAACTACGCGATTTTAAATTTAAAATAACCGAGTTAGAGTTAAAAGTTTTAAGATATTTGGGAATGTCCCCTCTCTCTCGAGTCACCGATGGTTTGAGTTTCTTCACAACTAAATTTAAAGCCAGTTTTTGTAAAACTGCATGTGAGCTATTTTTGGCTCCGTGTATGTGCGTGTCGGAGTGTTGTGGTTTACACTAGGAAATATAAATACAGTTTTGAGAGACCATGAAGCTGACTTGGTGACCAAATAAAATTGGTCACTCACCCCACGACTGTTTGTGTGACACTGTGTACACATTTGGCTGCCTGCCACGTTTGCCCACAAAATACACAGCCAAACCGTTTTACAGTGTATCGCTTTGAGACGTCTTGACGACGTATCAAACATAAGTATTATTAAATTATTATTTGGTGTTGCCTTGCAGGCTGGCCGCTGAGAAGCTACAACTCCTGAACCCTGAGGAAGAGTTGGGATCTGGGAAAGACTCCACGTTTGACGAGCAGGAAGCATTGGGTGTGAAGATGGCCGATCTGTACCGGTCGGCAAAACTGCAGGGATCCGAGCCAGAGGAGGTGTCCGGATTCGGAGTGTCTGGTGATGGATACAGTTCCGACTTGGACAAGAATTATGTGGAATAAGGTGGAGAAGGCAGCAAGGCAGTATTGGAGCAAGGCAGCTTCACTTCAATACAATATCTCTGGACTCTGAACATGAATGGGACTCCCGCTAAAATAATTCATTTACTATAAGTGAGCATGATCCTTATTCTTAGCCTATAGTAAATGCACTTAAGGATAAAGGTAAAAGCTACCACGCTGTGCACACAGGGAGAAATTTTATCTATTTATGAAGCGTAGAATTTGTGATCAAAGCAAATTAGAGATTTCAACGTTTATTTTAAGCTAGTTTTACGTTACTATTTTTAAAGCAACCCGTCTGATCGCTTGCAACCACAGTAATTTTGAATTGTGCGGACAAAGGCGAAATGTATTGTGTTTTATATACAGTATATATATATTATATATAGGCCAGTTTTAGACTTAGATCCCGCGATATTTGTATATTTGTTGGGTGGGACGTCAATAAAGTTGAGAGAGAATTTGGTATCATTCCAGCGAGTCTGGATTTAGAGGAAAACGTAAATATAATAATAACCCTTGCATTGATACAGCACTTCATCTTGTCCAAACATCTCAAACCCATTCATGGGATTTACTGTAAAGTCTAGTGACTGTATGTTTTGTAGGCGACCATGGCAGCCAACTTGAGCACAGCAATATTCTCCCTCCCATACAAAATAAAAATGAACCATAGGTTTGTTTGTGAAACGCTTCCAAGATATTTGAAAGCGGTCAAGATTTAATTTGGAGTTTATAAAGTACACAATAATTCAATTTCATAATAATAATCCTTGCATTTGATATAGCACCTTATGTCTTCGAGATGTCTCATAGCATTTCACAGAATATACTGTAAAGTGAATTGACTTTGTATTCGTGGGTGAAACATGGCAGCCAACTGCGCAGAGCAGTGTCCCACAAACAGTCACAGATTGAGTGACCAAATTATTATTTTACAACAAATTGGACAATAATTGTCCTCTAATTTGTAGCAAAGTGCACAGAGAAATGGCAAATGCCACCAAACTGTATGGAGGACATTCAGACATCAGCTGTGCTCATAACTGTTTAAAATGTGTTTAAACATCATTAAATAAAACCTTGCAAGCAAAAACACCTTCTGGTCAAATCTGGTATTCTGTTAACAAACTGATTCTTTCTTTATCGCTCTATCTGCCTCTTTCTGCCATCCGGATTTCTTTATTCTCTTCTTTTTCCTGTGTGAGCAAGAGGTGTAACAGCTCTCTGCAGTGTTTTCATTGTGTGTGCAGTATCTGAGCAGTGCTGCTAACACCTCACTTCACAACCTTACAGACTGCCACACACGCTACAAGTCTACAACACAAACTTTCTTGCTGCGCTCTCTCAGAGCAGCTAAAAACAGAGATGAGGCGACCTGTGCAGCCTGGCAAGCTTTCCCACTACTTGTCGAGCTGGGACCACCCTCTCCGGTAGGGCTTTGGCTTGCAGAGCTAACAGGAGCTGAGTGAGAGGATTCCCTGCCCCCAGTGACTGGTCTGCCCTTCTAGGCTCTTCCAATGAGCCGAGCTGGGCTGTGCTGTCATCCGCAGTGCCGTATGACCTGCCTGGCTCAGGAACAGGACTAGAGACCGTCACAGAGAAGTGTCTCAATTCCGAAATTTCATTGCCCAACATGTCACCTTGGAATTCAGCTCCAAAGAGATATGGGGAGGCCTGCTTACCTCCCTCACAAGGAGGATCAGTAATCAGTAGCTTCATAACTTACCTGATCTCAGCCTCTACCCCACAGCCGAAAAGGTTAGTATGGTGTAAAATTTTGGAAAATTCTTAACTCGGAACACGGTATTTAAAAAGAGCTGTCAAAAAAGGTCTTCCCAAATTAATAATGCAATTTAAGAATTTTCCCCCTTTTCTGTGCCATAATACATTTTAAGACACTGGTGTCTTTCCCTCCCCTGTGTAACATTGGCTGTCTCTGCCACTACCTCTCCTCCCTGGGCTGCTGAGAGGTACTCTGTGATATCCAGGCTTGACTATTCTGGAGCCCTGCTCTTGTCCTCACCCACAACAGGCTTCACGAGCCCATCACTTCCTTGCTCGCCTGGCTTCACTGGCTCCTCATCCCCAGAGGATCCAGTTCAAGATCCTCATCCTCACCTTTAAACCCTCAATTGTGTTCCTTCACCCTACCTCTGTGACCTCCTCAAACAACACCCACCCAGCTGTTCCCTGCTCTCAGTGAGCACCAGGATGCTTCATGCCCATCCACCTGAACCACCCCATCATCAGCCATTCCATTAACCTCTCATCTGAAGGACAACACCTCTTTAATAATAAAATAATAACAAACCTTGCATTTGCCACAGCACCTTTCACATCAGGAGGACATCTCAAAGTGCTTCACAGAATTGACTGTAAAGTGAAGTGACTGTGTATTTTGTAGGCAAACACAGCAGCCAGTTTGCGCACAAACATGTCCCACAAAACAGCCCTGGAGTGAGTGACCAATTTTATCTGGGGGATTGTTGGCCAAGACACCCGGGAAAGAGAAACTCCCTTCTCTTTTCAAATAGTGCCGTGGGGTCTTTAACGTTCACTTGAACAGGTACACAGGGCCTCAGTTTAATGTCTTATCCAAAGGACGGCACCTCTAACAATGCAATACCCCCAGGGCTGCATTGGAGCATCATTCATTTTGGAGTTTTATTCTGTTCCTTTGAAAAGTTCTGGCCTTGGGTTCAGTTTCCGTTGGGTTTTTGGGTATTCTTTGTTGTTCTGTGTACAGAAGGCTATTGTTCCTGGCAAAAAGCCTGGTCTTTTACACTAATTTCACTTCTGGGGATGGAACCAGGCAGAGAAATAAGCAGCATAGTACAGTAATGAATCTGGGCTGGACGGGAACCAGAGCGGCCGAGAGGAGTATGATTGCACAACGCAAAGTGTCACTTTAATGTGGCTTCATCTCTATAAATAATAATCCTTGCATTTTACACAGCGCCTAATTTTAAACAGCGTCGTTGAAATATCTCAAAGCGTGAGGGGAAACGTGGCAGCCAAATGCGCACAGCCCCTCCCACAAGCAGTTGTGGATTGAGTGACCAATTTTATTTGGGGGGATTGTTGGCCAGGACACCGGAAGAAACTCTCTTCTCTTATCGAGTAGGTACATGAGGTCTTTAATGTCTAGCTGAACAGGACCTCGGTTTAACATCTCAACAACAACAACAACTTGGATTTATATAGCGCCCTCTCGCATCTCAGAGCGCTTTACAGTAACGGATCCTGGAATCTCATCCGAAGGCGACACCTACAACAATGCAAAATGCCTCAACACTGCACTGGAGCGTTAGCTTAGATTATGTGATTCCAAGTCCCTCTGTGGGGCTTGAACCCACAACCTTTGGACTCAGAGGAGCGCTACCACTGAGCCAGACTGACACACGATGTTGTGCGTAAATAGAGGAACTGTAATGGAATCCTAAAGATGGGCGTAAAAGTTTTCCTCCACAAACCCCGGCTCCAAAGTGCTGCTGAGATTTGCCACGACAGAGCCTAGAGGGTCAGACATTGGGTCAGGCAGGGAATGGGCAGCTTTTATTGAAAACAATATTTTCTGCCCTAGTTTTTGTGCAAGTAAGTAAAATAAAAGGTCTGGGTGAATGTGGCCGAAACTCAAGGAGTGGTTAGGGTGCATTATTTGTGAGTGTGTGTGTGGAGGCTGGGGATGGTGGTAGGTGATCAGGGGAGTGTGTATGTGTGTGGGGGTGGTGGTGTGTTGCTGTATGTGTGTTGGGAGGTTTGTGTGTGTGCATGTTGGGGATATGTATATATGTGTTGGGGTGGTGTGTGTTGGGGGTATGTGTTGGTATATGTTGGGGTGGTGTGTGTGTGTTGGGGTATGTATATATGTTTTGGTATGTGTTGGGGTGGTGTGTTTGTGTGTTGGGGGTATGTAAAATGTGTTGGGGTGGTGTGTTTGTGTGTTGGGGGTATGTATATATGTGTTGGGGTGGTGTGTTTGTGCGTGTTGTGGGTGTGTATATATGTGTTGGGGTGGTGTGTGTTGGGGGTATGTGTATATGTGTTGGGGTGGTGTGTGTGTGTGTGTTGTGGGTGTGTATATATTGTGGTGTGGTGTGTGGTGTGTTGTGGGTGTGTATATATGTGTTGGGGTGGTGTGTTGTGGGTGTGTATATATGTGTTGGGGTGATGTGTGTGTGTGTGTGTTGTGGGTGTGTATATATGTGTTGGGGTGGTGTGTGTGTGTGTTGGGGGGGTGTGTGTGTGTGTGTGTTGGGGTGGTGTGTGTGTTGGGGGTGTAGGGCCCCTTTAAGAGGGAGTCATGTGACAGCGGTGGCGCGGTGCCCCTTTAAGTGAGGTCACGTGAGGCGCTGCGGCCCTTGGTAACGCGCGGCGGCCGGACCATGGTGAGAGCCAGTGACACCCCCACACCCCCCACACAGGCCCGGGCGCTGCTGCCCCCGACACGGGCAGAACCGCGCCGCCCAGAGCCCGGCCCGGCCCGGCCCGGCCTCCCCCCCACCCCACCCCCACCCCACCCCCCGGCTGTCAGAGCTGCCCGGGCCTGCAGTGACGTCAGGGGCCGGGCAGCCTGAGGGGAGGTGAACCGCCCCACCCCCGCCCCGGTCCCGGCCCCCCCTCACCCACCGGCTCCTTACCCCCCGCGACCCCCCCCCCCTCACCGGCTCCCTACCCCCGCGACCCCCCCCCCGACTCCCTACCCCCCCACCCCGGCTGTGTGTCCCCCCCCTCCCCCCCTGTCAGGCGCTTAGAGTCGCTATCCAACGTTAAAGATGCCACGTTAGTGCCTCAGACCATCCAGAACTCTGCAGCTCCTGACCTCTACCGTACCAGTCAGCCTATCACCCCCCCTCCCCCCCATCCTCGCCCTCCCCCCCCCCGTCCTCGCCTCCCCCCCCCGTCCTCGCCCTCCCCCCCCCCCGTCCTCGCCCTCCCCCCCCCCGTCCTCGCCCTCCCCCCCCGTCCTCGCCCTCCCCCCCGTCCTCGCCCTCCCCCCCCCGTCCTCGCCCTCCCCCCCCCGTCCTCGCCCTCCCCCCCCGTCCTCGCCCTCCCCCCCCATCCTCGCCCTCCCCCCCCGTCCTCGCCCTCCCCCCCGTCCTCGCCCTCCCCCCCCCGTCCTCGCCCTCCCCCCCCATCCTCGCCCTCGCCTTCAGAGCCCTCCGCGGCCTCTTGCTCCTCCCGACCTCTGTGACCCGCTGACTCCACGTCACGTCAACCCGTGCGCTCCCTCCGCTGTGACCGGCTCCACGTCCCCCCCCCCCCCCCCGGCCTGTTCGCCCCACCGTTACCATCTGCGGGTCGGGCCTTCAGCCTCTCTGCCTCCGCCCTTTGGAACTCCATCCCCACAGTCCCTTCGCCTGCCTCCGTTCCCTCGCCTCCTTCAAGTACCGTCTCAAGACCCTCTTCAAGCGCACCGACGGTCACCCAAGTACCCCCCCCCACTCCCTGCTCTCCTACCCCTCCTCATCCCAATCTGCCCACAAAATATACAGTGAATCCACTTTACAGTATATTCTGTGAAGCACTTTGAGACGTCTGGATGATGTATTAAGGCGCTATATCAAATGCAAGAATTATTATATTATAATCCCCAGCTCGGGTGAAAATCCTTGGCTGTCTTGACCGCCCCACTATTGGTGGCCGGGCTTTCAGCCTCTCTGCCCCCACCCTTTGGAACTCCATCCCACAGTCCCTTCGCCTCGCTCCCTCCCTTGCCTCCTTCAAGGCACGACTCAAGACCCTCCTTTTCGACTGTGCCTTCAGCCAACCTCCTACCTCTTTGCCCTCCCTCACCCCAACCCTGCCCCTCCCACGCTCGGTCCTGATCCCCGACTGTTCAGCGCCTTGGGACGTCCTCCCGACGTGAAAGGCGCTTTACAAATGTAATTTTGTTGTTGTCGTCAAGTGCCTTGTGATGTCCTTGATGTGAAAGGTGCTATATAAAAACAATTTGTTGTAGTTGTTGGCTGTGTAGGGAGAAGTCGTTTGTTTGTTAACCTTTCACACACAACAAACCTGCACTTCAGAGTGCTGCTTTCCGTTTTAATAGTTTGTGGTTCCCTGAGAAGCCACAGGAGTTTGAGCGCGCAGTGAGCGCAGCTCGATCATCTCCTGTCCAGAACTCAAACAATCAGCACAGGTATAACTCCGAGAAAACTGTACCTCGATAAAAGTACGGCACCAAGATTTTTTGCTGACCCAATATAAATGAATATAAATAAATCTATCGTGGAGTCCTGTAACATATTGGTTAGACCACTTGCCTCGCAAACGAGATCTCTTGTTCGATTCTCGGGCAGGGCAAAACCTTTGGCAATTTTTCCTTACTCCATATGCCTTTGTTTACCTTACAGTAAGTAAGAACCCGGTTATTAGTCCATTGGCGGATCGCTTTCTGGGGATAATAATCCCTTCAATATAAATAAATAATTTGGTCATTCCATCCACGACTGTTTATGGGACACTGCTGTGTGCAATTGATTGCCTTGTTTTATGGCCAAAATATACAGTGAATTCACTTTACAGTGTATTCTGTTAAGCGCTTTGAGATGCCTCGAAGACATGATAAGGTGCTATATCAAATGCAAGGATTATTATTAGTAGTAGAGATTTGGGGGAGGAAGAATAGGGAGAATATGCTAAATAGCAGAGGGGGTAATGTATATAACTCCAAAAGCGGGAAGGCAGGTGGACAAAGCTAATGGATTTTATAACTAGGGGCATAATATAAAACCAAATACATTTGGTATAACTCCTTATGAAATGCTCCAGGACGCTACCCCATGTGAAGGGCTCTATATAAATGCACGTTGTTGTTGTCTTATCATTTTGTTCAAACGTCTTTACAGGATTCACTATAAAGTGTGATGACTCTTAAGTTTGCAGATGAACTTGGCAGCCACTTTGCACACAGAAATTTCCTATAATCAGCCATGAAGTGAATGACCAGTTTTATCTGGGGGCGGGGGGAATTGTTGGCCAGGACACTGGGAGAGAGGAACTCCCTTCTCTTTACGAATAGCGCCACAGGAACTAGAGCGATAACCAAAAAGGAATTAATTTGCAGTGGAGAGAATGGCTGGTGTAAGATGAGGCATTTCGGTCCATTGGGTGTGCAGTTGTTGTTTCAAAGAACAGTGAAGATGTAATGGGCCTGAAATGTCTTCTGTGCTGTAAATTTCTATGGTTCTATGAATCACTTATTCCTGCCCTGACGTGAGCCTAGCTGGCCTGTAGTTTGCAGTCTTACCTCATTCCCCTTTTATAACAATGGCGTGACCTTTGTAACCCACCAATTTCTTGGGATTCTTGCGTGTAAGAACTTTTGAAACATTTCATAGTTTTAACTATTGGTCTTTACCTCCCTCAGCATTCCAGGAACAAATCTCATCAGGCCACAGCAACATGTTTATTTCAAGCAGTCACTTGAAGCCTGATTGTTATACATGTAAAGTTCAGCTTCATAGAAACAGGATGGAGCCATTCAGTCCATCACAGTGGACCTTTTTTCTAAGCCAGTTAACTTCCATTATCAATCTCCATTTTAAACATCCCAATTGCTTCCTTGGCCTTCCAAGTCAGCGGATTCAGCACTCTCGTAACCCTCAGTGTAAAGAAATAATAAGTCTTGCACTTGATTTAGCACCTTTATCACGTCTCAAAATGCTTCATGGGATTTAGTGTAGTGACTCTATATTTGTAGGTGAAATCTGCAGTCAGTTTGCGCACAGCAAAGTCCCATAAACAGCCATGAAGTGAGTGACCAATTTTATTTGGGGGGGTTGTTGGCCAAGACATCGGGAGAGAGAAACTCCCTTCCTTACTCGAACAGTGCCACAGGATCTTTAACATCCATCTGAACAGGCAGTTTAATGTCTCATCGGAAGCGCGGCACCTTTTCACAATGCTGCACTCCACCAGCATGGCACTGTCGCGTCAGCCTTGTCTGAGCTCAAAGCCCTGATGTGGGGCTTGCACTCACAAACTTCTGAGCCAGAGTCGAAAGTAATACCAAGCGCGCTAGGCTGATGCAGTTTTCCTGCATGGTGCAGATTGAGCAGGTGATGGTGACACTCTTGTTTCTCTCTGTTTAGAGTTTCCTCGGGAGCTTGTTTTCTCCAGTGTGCGACATTGATATCATCCTGAATGATGCGGACACCAGGAAAACAGCAGAGATCAAGAGTGAGGAGGGCAAAGTGGAGAAACACTACCTGTTCTACGATGGCGAGTCTGTCACAGGGAAGGTATGGGCTCTCAATTCAAGCTTCATTTGTCATTCTTCCATTCCCCTACAGTGATGCTCGAAATGAGGCTTGTGTGGAGGGTGTAAAGAACAACAGCTTGCATTTATATAGTGCCCTTCACGCGGGACAGCATCTCGGAGCGTTTAGCAGTGGCAGACCTGGCACCAATAGTTGAGTGTAGTGTTCTTTAGACATGAATGTGTGAGAAGGAAGAGGAAAGAGTTTGGAAAGTACCAAAACCAGCTCGTAGTTTAAAGCCACTGTTTATAATAATAATCCCTGCATTTGATTTAGCAGCTTATCGTCTTAAAGCTTCACAGAATTTACTATAAAGTAGTGACTGTCTTATTTGTCCATCAGCAAATGCGCACAGCAACGTCTCACAAAGAGCAAATTAAATCTGGGGGCTTATTGGGCAGGACACCGGAAGACACAAACTCCCTTCTCTTTTCCAATAGTACCATGGGATCTTCAATGTCCATCTAAACAGGCAGACGGGACCTCAGTTTAATGTTTCATCCGAAACCAGCAGCTCTGACAATGCCGTGCTCGCCCAGTATCACATTGTCAGCCTAAACTGTGACCCACTGGATGTGGAGCTTGAACCCACAGCTTTCTGACTCGGAGACGAGCATGTGAGTGACTGGCAAAGGCTGACGCATAACTTGCAATTTCTCAGAGGCTTTGATATCTTAACAGGAAAGAAGGAAATTCAAGATGTAATCTGACTGCCAACCACATCAATTTAGGGCTGCTGTTTTATGCATTCACTGATATTGTAAACTGTTTTATCAGAGCCACAATGCAGGTCCAAGCATTCTGGCACAACCTGTCTTCCTTACATTGCGTGATTGTTGTTTACAGCTTTGTTTTCAGCAAATCATTTATAGCACTCATCCTGAGGGCACTGACTATCCTATCCTCCTTTCCCAACTCACATACTGGAGTAGCTATCATTTCCTGCCATCCAGCCAATTTCCCATGCAGTTCAGAAACTTCCCCTCCTGTTCTGTATCTTGCGCTCTTATAGACAGGTTTCCTGCATGACATGTGCTAAATGCTTTGCTGAAATCTATATATAGAACATCTATGAACCACAGATTATTCATTTGTCAGCCTGGCTCAGTCGACAGCAACAACAACAACAAATTACATTTACACAGCGCCTTTCATGTTGGACGTCCCAATGTGCGGAACAGTCAGGGATTTGGACCTGAGTTGGGGATTGGGATCAGGAAGGGTTGAGAGCAGGGAGGGTAGGGGTAGGAGGGTGGCTGAAGGCATGGTCAAAGAGGAGAGTCCTGAGACACTTTGAAAGAGGAAAGGGAGGGATCGAGTTGAAGGGATTGTGGGATGGAGTTCCAAAAGGTGGGGGCAGAGGGGGAGAGAGGCTGAAGACCCGACAGCCAATGGTGGGGCGGTCCAGGCAGGAGAAATGGAGCAAGCCGGAGCCCACGGAGGGAGTGGCCAAGTCTCTATGGAGTTAGCAGGTCACAAAGGTAGGGAGGAGCAAGGCCATGGAGGGCTTTAAAGGCAAGGACAAGCATTTTGAACTCTTATCATCTGGGGCATGGGGAGCCAGTGGAGCCGGGTGAGGATGGGGGTGATAGGGTCATGGAGCCTAATGCGGGTGTTGGAGTGAGTTGGGGTGCAGGTGCAGTGTTGGGGAACAACAGCAAAAAGATTACATTTGAACGCTGCGTTGTTGCAAGTAATGCTTTGGATCAGACATTTAACCAGAAGCCCATTCAGGTGGATGTTAAAGATCTTAAAAGAGAAGGGAGTTTCACCCTCCTGGTGTCCTGGTTAACAATCCCCCAGATAAAAAAAATACCGTATTGTTCACATCATGTCTGTTTGTGGGACATTGCTGTGTGCATATTGGCTGTTGGGTTCACCTACAAAATACACAGTTGCTGCACCTTGGAGCATTTTGAGATGTCCTCTTGACATGAGAGCTGTGTTATCAAATATAAGGATAGTATATTATTTCCTGCATCACTGGTACCTCAGAAAGCCAAAAACAAGTCACCTCTTGAGCCTCTATCATTCTTCATTATCGCCTCCTCCGGGTTGCTGCCTCTGTGTTCCCTGTTTGGCAACAGAATGTTGGAATTGAGCCAGCCCTCTGTGTTAATCTCAAGTCTGGTTCCTGAGCCGGATGGGGGCTGGGGGCATCCCGCTCAGCTCCTGTTAACCTCGCAAGCCAAAACCCTAATGGGTAGGGTGGTCTGAGCTGGACAAGCAGTGGGAAAACTGTGACATCAATGGCAAGTTATGTGGTTTTAGCTGGTTAGACTCCAGCAATTACCCCATCACACACTCTGAGGTCCCCAAGTCTTGGCTCTTGCCAACCTGTGGAATAGCATCTGGAATTAGGTAAGCAGGAATTTCCATGTGTAGGTGGGATGCATGGAATTCTCAGTTTGATTTGTATACTCTTAAGCATGGTGATGGGTTAACGCTCGTGTCAGAGTCCCGGCTGATCAAAAAAAATTCCCCACAATAGACGTCAAATGTTACACTTCCTGTTTTGCTTATTCTTTGTAAACTGATGTCGATTTCCCCGATCCTCTGGCATTGCTCCATTTTCCAATGAGTCCTTAAATCTACTTGTCAGAACACAAAGTAGTTTGATGTATAATTCTAGAATGAACAAGCCCCTAATGGAAGTATTACCAGTGGTGCTTTCTGCACAAACCCAGCGCACAGGAAGTGGTGTCAGTGACGACCTGAGACCCAGCCTTCAACCATTTTTATCTAGGAGCTCCACACCTTACCTGGCAAAATGTGTGGAAAATCTTAGTTTACTGTATATAGGGAACGCTGGTAGAGTGCTGCCTCGCTCACAATTTGGGTTTACTGTGGACACACACTAACTGGATCACACAGAAAGCTTCACTAGTGTAACTTCATGATCGAAGCCAATGGTTCTTTCAGCACAAACCCAGGGCACAGGAAGTGGTGTCAGTGGCGACCTGAGACCCAGCCTTCAACCATTTTTAACTGCAATGCAATAAGCTCACTTATCAGGTCATGGTTACCTTCCTCCGTTCAGCCATCCTCTTGTTATCTTGTCTCTTTATTGTGCTGGAACAGTGTGAAGTGCTTTAAGATACCTCAATTCTGCTGCTATTTCTGTTCAGCAAATCCTTCTTGCTTTATCCTTTCAGCCTGGCTCACTTGATAGCACTTTTGCCTTTTAGGCAGTAGGTAAAGGGTTCAAGCTTTGCGTTGGGACTCTGAACTCGTAGCCCAGGCTGAGGCGGTGCAATGAGATGCATTGTCGGAGGTGCCGTCCTTCAGACATTAAACCGAGGTCCCACCTGCCTGTTCAGGTGGACATTAAAGACCTCATTGCACTATTTGAAAACAGAAAGAAGTTTACCCTTGTGTCCTGGCCAACATTGTGCCAAGTAAATTGATCACCTGACTCTCTCTCTGGGAGACGGAAAGAGTCCAGACATGGGATGCCAATCCTGGTCTGATCGATGGTGCAGTGTAACAGTGGGCAAAGAGAATTGCATTTGTTTATTTTCAGAATTAAACAACGATATTGATATAGAAATTTCAGCAGATGTTTTTTGGGGGACAACATGAACCTACTTGTTCGTCAATAATAATCCTTACAATTGATCTGGTGCTTTATCACTTTTTAAAGGACAGAGACACAACTTTAAAATAAGAACTGTAAAGTGTGATGATTGTGTGCTTTGTAGGTGAATGTGGCAGCCAGTTTTGCATGGCGTGTCCCACAAACAGCCTTGGAGTGACCAATTTTATCTAGGGGATTGTTGGCCAGGATACCGAGAGAGAGAAACTCCCTTCTCTTTTCCTGTAATCCAGTGAGATTGTTAACGTCCACCTGAACAGGCATATGGAACCTTGGTTTAAGGTCTCATCCGAAGGACAAGTGTTTAAGTGTTTATTTGGCTGAATTGTTGTGATTCAGGAAACATTAGTTTATTTGTGTTAATTCTTCTGATGGGAACAGGTGTAGGAGCCAGTGATTGTGTTTCCAAGGAGAATGAGGTTAAAGTTAGACGGGGGATGATGCCCTGCCTTGTGAGCTGTGGATCAACAATTCCTTGTTGTTTTCGTTAACCTCAAAGCAAACGTACCATCATTCGTCATAGCTTTTGATTTCAATGGCACATTATTTTCTTTGGCACGAAGAATATTGAGGAGTGCAGTGTGTTTTGAAAGATAATAATAATAATCCTTGCATTTGATATAGTGACTTATCACGTCGTTGAGACGCCACAAAGCACTTCACAGAATATATTGTGAAGTGAATTGACTGTATTTTGTGGGCAAAACACAGCAGACAATTGCGCACAGTAGTGTCCCACAAACAGTCATCGATTGAGTGACCAAATTCTTATTGTTTAAAAAAGAAATTCCCCCCGTAACACCTTTAAAACAATGTTTTTTCTTTCCCCAAAGTCACAGCGGAACAACACTGTGGTGTGATATGACGTTAGCTGCTACTGACTTCTATCTGCAGACCGGTCACTGGGGGCGGGGATTCTTCCCACTCGGCTCCCGTTAACCCTGAAAGACAAACCTCTGTCAAATAGGGTGATCCTACCTGAACAAATAGTGGAACGATTGCCAGACAGTACTTTCAACGGCAACAACAACTTACATTTGTACAGAGGCCCTCACGCAGAGTAGAGTCCCAGAGAAATGGCAAGCAGTTTTAGCTGGTTAAATCACAGCAGTTACCCTAACAGGCACTCTGAGGGGTATGACAACCCCCCTGGGATGAGGGGGTTGACCTACGAGGAGAAGTTGAGTAGACTAGGCGAGGAGAGTATAGTAGACTATATTCTCTAGAATATAGAAGAATTAGAGGTGATCTTATAGAAACCTATAAGATTCTTAAGGGTCTTGACACTGCACCATAGATCATCCCAGGAGACTGTTTCCCCTGGTTGGAGAATCTAAAACTAGGGGTCATAGTCTCAGGATTAAAGATCAGCCCTTTTGGAACTGAATTGAGAAAACATTTCTTCATTCAGAGGGTATTGAATTTATGGAATTCTCTACCCCGGAAGCTGTGGATGCTCAGTCATTGAACATATTTGAGATTGAGAGGTTTTTAAAAACTGAAGGGATTAAGGGATATGGGGATAGGACAGGTAAATGGAATTAGGTTAGAAGATTACCCATGATCTTATTAAATGGCAGGGCAGGCTCGAGGGGCCGAATGGCTTACTACTGCTCCTATTTCTTATGTTCTTAAGCACTTTGAAACGTCTCAACGATGTGATTGGCAAGGATTATTATTATTATTGTGGGCTTAAGCTTGATGTTGGTCCTTAACTCTGAGTCCAGGCAGACCTTGTTGCAGTGCTATACTGAGGGAAGTACTGTATTGTTACAGAGACATGAGATGTGTAATCAAGTTCCCGTTGGCCTGTTCGGTGCATGTTAAAGATCCCTTGATTTTTGGAAAAGAGAAGGGGGTTTCAGCAATCTAAGAATTCTGTTCATTGCTGTCTGCATTCTTCTATTTAAAGCTTTGGTTAAGTCAGTCGGTAAAGGATTTTTTTTATTAAAAATTCTCCTGAATTGGAAGTGGAAGTTTATGTTTTAAAAATATTGCGCAGATGGTGAGGCCCAGCACTTTCTGGGGTAGATGGTATTTCTTGAGGAAAGCAGTTTCAGTTCTGTTCCGAGTGTGAAACACAGTTTCATTTGCTTCCATTATTAACCTTTAACCCTTTCCCATTGAGAGATCTCATGTAAAGGAAACCCTCCTTTCGTGGATGCTCTAAGGCAGTAGGAATAGCAATGTGTGCAGTTTTAGCTGGTTAGACTCCAGCAGTTATCCCAACACACTTGCTGAGGTCCCCAAGCCTTGGCTCTTGTCCACCTGCATCTAAACTGTCCAGGATTAGGGTACCAGGCTGTGTCCTTCTGATAGAGAGTGCTCATTCCATTCCACACACTGAGAAACCAGTCATACGTGAAACTCAGTAGTTTGGTTTGGAGACTTTTAAGAACGGTAATGGGTTTCTCACACACCCGGCTGATCAAACAGCTCTGAAAGGCAAGTTTCATTTTCCAAGTGTGTTTCCTGTATCTGTTCTATTTCTCTTTGACATGCTGACTGACTGTATGTTCGCAACATTGCACTTTCCATTCAAACGTGTGGTATAGTTACTCCTGCTCAGCTCCACTGTGGTTTCAGCGAAGCGTCTCCCCATTGCATCGTTAATGTGTTTAAACCAAGCGGTCGGTGTTGCAGTGGCCAACCCACAGTGTTATGAACTGTGCGCGTTAGAAGCAAACAAACAAGCAAATTACATTTCTATAATTTCTTTCACATCGGTAGGACATCCCAAGGCGCTGAAGCAGGAAAAAAAAAGTTATGAAAGAGGAGAAGTTGTCGTTAGTCATTTTCTTCCTTTTTTTTGTTGCATCACTTATTAAAACAGTCGGAAGTGTTTCCTTTAGCTATGGGTTTACCTGTGGGGTGGTTTATAGGTGACACTATCTTCCATTGTGTGCTTTCAGGGCTGTTTGGTCAGCCGGGTGTTGAGACAATAAGGCCACGGGGTAACTCTCACCTGGGAAGGCACTGAGCCTGCAGACGAGGATTGGATGGCACTAAACAGGCAGGAAACATCCACTCTTATCTATAATCACATCAGAACTAATAATATCCAAAGTAGAAGTAGCTAGACCCGAAAGGGGCCTGTGTTTTCACGCCTTCCACTTTCATTGCGTTAGTTCCTGTTAAAGCATCAAATAATACTCTTGATTGGTGAAAATGAAAGGGAAATAAGTGGAGATACTGGGCATGGCTTAGCCTGTGGCATTTTCGTTCGCCACATTCGCTCACAGATACAATGACATCACTTTACAGTATATACAGGCTGGGTGGGTATTTGTGGGCGAACACAGCAGCCAATTGCACACAGCATTGTCCCACAAACAGCAGTGATGTGGATGACCAATGCCTACAAAATACAATAGTCAATCTACTTTACAATATATCCTGTGAAGCACTGAGATGTCTCAACGACATGATAAGGCAAGGATTATTATTATTATTATTATTATCTCCAGTTCTCTTCCAACCAAGCTAATTGTGTAGGAACAGAATTGTTGGGATGCTTCACTAAGAGCAGTCAGGTCTCTGAGCTGTGTGTGGCTTCCTCAGCGAGTTCTGCTGAATTCTTACTCCCACTTTGTTGCGACATTTCGAACAAACTTTTGATTCTTTGTCAATTACGCCGTTCCCTTCTGATGTAAATCAGTGAATCATGGTCGGGGATAGATTCTATAACTGTAAATAGCAGATCTGTACAAGCCTGTACAGCAAACTTATACCAGCTCTAAACATTCAATTGAGGTATTTACATGCTTTAACTTGTAGTTCATTAACCCAAGACTGTTCAGAAAACCAGTTACCTTTTAAAAACAGACACAAACTGATTGACCAAATCGATCGTTCAGAATCATAGAAATTTACAAACCGGGAGAAAACAAAAAACTTGCATTTGGTGCAGCGCCTTTCATGTTGGGAGGAGTACCGTGGACCCGCCTGGCTCAGGAACCGGACTAGGGACCGTCACAGAGGGCTGGCTCAATTCTGACGTTCAGTTGCCAAGCACGCCACCTTGTATCTAACTCAGCTGTAAGAGATTTACTTCACATCCTTCTTCCCCCTCCACCGGCTGCCCCATTACAAGAGCCTTGAAATCAAACCCAGACAGTTAGGAATGTGGTCAGGAAGCAATTTTTCACACAGGGTTGTGAAGATGCCATTCTGGCCACAAGACGTAATTGGGGAATCTGTAGGAAGGGTTAAAAAAACAGACATAGATTTGGGGAATATAGGTATTGTGTGGGTATGGTAAAAAGGCAGGCCACTGGGATTAAAAGATCTGTTGAGATCTAATAAACACGAGATAAATGGCCTCTTTTTCCTGTTGTCCTTTGTTCCTGAAACAGAATTAGTAATGAATCCTTTGCTCATGACCTAACCACCTTGCGGAATAGTGTGTCAGCCTTGCTCAATTGGTAGTGCTCTCGTCTCTGAGTCAGTAGGTTGTGGGTTCAAGCCCCACGTCAGGACTTTGAGCTCAGTCTTGACACTCAAGTGCAGCGCTGGAGGAGCACAGCATTGGTGAAAATACCGTTCTTTAGATAAGATGTTAAACTGAAGCCCCACCTTTGCCTGTTCACATGGCGGCTGAAGATCCCAACGGCACTATTGGAAAAGAGAAGGGAGTTTTTCTTGATGTGTTGGCAGGCAATCCCCCAGCTGGGTAAATCAGGGTTGAAGCCCCACTTTGTTGTATTGCATCGTTTTACTTTGCCCCCCCTCTTCCCCTTTGCTGCCTTTACTGCGATCGTCTGTACAGGGCAGGAAGGGAGTAAGAGGGTCAGTCACTTTCCTAGTAACCAAGCTCCTGCCCCATGGTGTTGACTTGAGGACTTGAGTTTTCTTTGAGATGCTGATAATAATAATGACAATAATAATAAACCATGTATTTGATATAATGCCTTATCACATCTTTGAGACGTCTCAATGAGCTTCACAGAATATATTGTAAACAGGAATGACTGGGTGTTTTATGGGTGAAATGTGGCAGATAATAGAGCACAGTATTGTCCTGCAAACAGTCATGGATTGAGTTGTTTTTATTGATAAATTGATAGATTTCTCCCCCTGAGCCACGGGTGGTGGGGTGGGGGTAAGATCGAGAGACTGGAAATAATCAGGACACGGCACGGCTTGTGTCTGGTTTCAGAATGACGCACACAGAGAGGTATTGTCTGTCTCTGTCTACAAACTGTGAGAGAAATGTTTATAATGATAGAGATTTCAGCTACATCAGAGGAACAGTCAAGGATAAAGTCCTGCAGTGACCTTATCCAATGTATTGAACAAGTGTGGCCTTGTATTAGGAAAACACGGGAGGGAGCTGGCGTCCTCATCATGGTCGCTGTCCTCATTGCTTTTGCCACGGCAGAGGTCCAAAAAGATAGTCCATTGCTGATCTGAGCTCAGTTTATCTTCCCCTCCCTCCCTCCCCCTGCAAGAGGGAACACACTCAGTGGTTAGTGCAAGCGAGAGGACCTGGGTTTGATTCTCAGGCCGGCAAAACCTTAGGCAAGTTTCCTTACTCAACACACCTCTGCTTAACTAGCTTGGCAAGCGCTAGTAATACCATTGGATCTTTAACGTCCGCCTGAACAAGCAGACAGGACCTCAATATTTGTTCTGAATTTACTCCCTTCAACCGCAGGCCATGTCTTCTGATTATAGCGCTTATCATGGTCTACATGATGGTCTAACGGTAGACTCAGTGTCGCATGCTTAGTTCTAATTTTACCATCGATTTTGTTTGAGTTTTAATCTTATCTTCTCGCTTAACACAGTTTGTGTCAGCTGCCATGTTTGACACATACGGAAACCCATCAGCAAGCTTTGTCTCCATGATAAACCACTAAATTCCACATCTATCTTGCACTCCCTCCCCGAGGGAAAACCTGCTTTTATCTAATCTCACAGAGTATTACAACAACTTGCATTTACGTAACGCCCTTCGCGCGAAGCAGCATCTCGGAGCGCTTATTAGGCGCAGGTTGGCAAAAGCCAAGCTTGGGGACTTCATTTGAGCATTTGAGCACTAAGGAGTTTAACCAGCTAAAACGTGTCATTGTGAACACTATCTGACCAGCTTCCTGTCCCCAGTTGACTGCCCCTCCAAGTCAAGCACTCAGACGCTACGACATGAAAGGCCCTTTATAAATGCAAGTTGTTGTTGAGCTCCCATCAGTTTTTTTCTCTCCACTTGAACACTTCATGTTCTCCCTGTGGTGTCACCTGCCTCTTGCTAAACAAAGCTTATTCCTTACAGGTGAACCTTACGTTGAAACAGCAAGGAAAACGTCTAGAGCACAAAGGAATTCGGATCGAGTTTGTAGGACAAATTGGTAAGTTCTCGAGCAGTCTGTATTATAATTATACTTCAATTATTCTCCAGTTTTCTCTCTATCCTTAAAGTACTCCGAGACGCTACTCCATGTGAAGGGTGTTATATAAATGCAAGTTGTTGTTCTATTGGTTCCATGGATAGCATGCCCTGCAAAAGAGACACTGTGCGGCCAGGGAGTGTAATCACAGCCAAGCCTGACAGATCATATCCGTACCCAATGTGACACCCAATGCAACACGCCCAATGCTTCAGTTAAGTGGGTTCTCCTTGGAGCTGGTCTGGCTTCACGATGACATGCAAAGGAACGTCAGAATCGAGCCGGCCCTCGGTGACAGTTTCTAGTCCGGTTCCTGAGCCAGGCGGGTCCGCAGTATTCCAGGGTTCTACTGATGACAGCACAGCTCAGCCTGGCTCATTGGCAGGACCTGGAAGGGCAGACCAGTCACTGGAGACTCACTGACCTTTGGGGAAACCAATGTGTAGTTTTCTTGCCTCGCTGTTCCTGTGTTGAACCTATGAGGCCCCCTCCTGGTAAACATGTGCAATGGCCCTCCCGGCTTTCTGTGTATGAACACTGTGTCGTACGGCCTCAAGGAAATAACAGCCAACGGTTGTGTCAGTGTGGTTTTCCACAGAATTCCCTTTGTAATGGCTGCTGTGGCTGTGTGACTTCCAACACATCTACCAACCTAGAGGGGCGATATTAGCCAGAGGGGCAGTGTTAGCCCCTCAATATGAGGCGTTCTTAGTCAGTAACAAAATAAATGTCTTTAGATGAAAGTTGAGGTTTAAGTTGTCTATAAAATGGTTCGTGATCAGAGCAGAAGGTTTTAGTTGCAGAAAAAGCACAAAATATTTCAGCACAAATAATAATCCTTATAATCCTTACATTTGGTATAGCGCCAAAGGGAGTTTTCCATCGGTTTTATTCCACATGAGCCGTCCAGTCGAACCCCACTCTGCTCACTGCTCCGCTCGCTGAGTTTAATATTCCTTTGATATTCCTCCTCTTCAAAATTATAATAATACTAATAATAAAATGAACCCTTGCATTTGATATAGCCCCTTAAGTTTTTGGGACGTCTCAAAGTGCTTCACAGAATATATTATAAATTGGATTAACAGTATTTTGTGGGTGAAACTCGGCAGCTGATTGCATGTAGGAGTGACCCACAAACAGTAGTGGGTCACTCCTATGCAATGGAGTGATTATTACCCCCGGAAAGTGATCCGCCAATCGATTTACAGCCAGGTTCCTACTTACTGCTAGGTAAACAGAGGCATGCGGAGTAAGGTTTCGCCCATTCCGGGATTCAAATCCAGGTCCGCTCGCTTGCAAGGCAAGTGTGCAAACCACTAAGCTATGGGACTCCACGAGATCTATCTAGGTCACTTGAAAACCGATTCTGCTTAAGTCTAGTTTGTGGCAGAGAATTCCACATTTCCCACCGCTCACTGTGCAGAGATTTTTTCTGACCTCCCCTTTAATTCTTTTGAGTCTCTCACTCAGTTTATCTGGCCAAGACAACAATGGGGGGGGGAAGGAAATCCTTTCTCTTTCCAAGTAATGTCATGAGATCATTACTCTTTTAGTCCATTCAAAGAGCCGGGTTTGAGCTGTGCTTGGATGCAGCCCACCTCAAGACAAAGGTTGGGTGTCTTAACAAAATCACATGCTTCGAGATTCGTGAAAAGGTTACTAACTGTTCTGTAACAGAACAAAGGGCCATTCTATATTTTTTATACATAACTGAGGATTAATGGATTATCTCTGGTTATTTGGTAGCCTGAGTCATCTGTTTACATTCACAAGGATTGCCAGGCTGTGACGTGGACTGGATGTGCTGGCTCGAGGCCTTCTCAATGAGGATGTTCTACACTAAAGCGTTTCCTGCTGCTGATTGCTATGTTCCCTCAATGCCAATAGTGCTCCCTTTAAACATAGTGAAGATGGGCTGAGCTTGAAATACATTTTGTGATGGAAGAGCCACACGAGTGCAAAGTTACAGGGGATTGTTGGCAAGGACAGCGGGAAAGAGAAACTCCCTTCTCTTTTCCAATAACCCTTGGCATCTTTAACGTCCACCTGAAGAGGCAGAAGAGGCCTCGGGTTAACATCTCATCCAAAGCAGCACTCCCTTAGTTACAGTTTTGTGTGGTAATGAGCAGTGAGGCTGTGTGAAAAGACTGCCTGTCTGCCCGGCTATGGTGGGGTTAAAGACCTCTCACTTTCCTCTCTTCCCTCTACATTGTAGAGCTGTTCAGCGACAAGAGTAACACCCACGAGTTTGTGAACCTGGTGAAGGAGCTGGCGTTGCCTGGGGAGCTGACACAGAGCAGGAGCTATGACTTTGAGTTCATGCAAGTGGAGAAGCCGTACGAATCGTACATAGGAGTCAACGTACGGCTCAGGTAACATGGTCTTTCAGTGCATTTTTGATTCTGCTTGTTTTTCCCCCTCTTTTTCTGCCCTCCTCTGCTGATGGTGAATTGTAGTAGTATTATTATTGTGTTTGAAGTTACAGCTAATTGTTTGCTTGTATTTTAAGAAGTAACTACATACAGCATTCCGTGCTGTAACTACATAAAGTGTTACTTCACGGAAACAGGTCATTCAGCTCAACTAATCCACATTGGTGTTTATACTCCCCACGAGCCCCCACTCCTCCCAGTCACCTCTCCCACTCCCCTCTCCCAATCCACTCTGTTCCGTAATGCTGAGCTCTTTTCCCAGGTACTTCCTGAAGGTGACGATAGTGCGGAGCCTGAGTGACCTGGTGAAGGAGTACGATCTGATCGTTCACCAGCTCGCCACCTACCCCGACGTCAACAACTCCATCAAAATGGAAGTGGGCATCGAAGACTGCCTGCACATCGAGTTTGAGTACAACAAGTCCAAGTGAGTGACACACCACCACTCCCCCGTCCCTAGTTACACAGCACTGACTGCAATTGCAAATTCACAACTTTTCCATTGGACCTGGAGGAATGTGTGTGTGTGTGTATTGTGTCTGTGTGTATTGCCCACAATGACACATGTGTAAAACTATTACTGTGCTTGAATATCCAAACCAGACTGAGTTCTGCATATGTCTGCCACCTACCCATGGTAAATTCCCATGTCTAGAGTGGAATGTGCACTCTTTCCCCGGAGGGACGCATCGTATTTACCTAATCCCAGAGAGTATTGGGCACAGGTTGGTAAGAGCCAAGGCTTGGGAGGTTTTCTTGCCCCAAGTGACTGGTCTGCCCTTCCAGGTTGTGTTGTCAGAGGTGCATTTGCCTAGAGTATTGCAGACACGCCTGGCTCAGGAACTGGGCTAGAGAACGTTAGAGAAAATTGACTCTGTTCCAGTGTAGGTTGAGGCTGAGCTAGCCTAGTCCACATGGCTTGGCTTTGATCTGATTGGCTTTTTATCTTGACTAACATTAAAGGTACCACCTGAAGGATGTCATTGTTGGTAAAATCTACTTCTTGTTGGTGAGAATCAAAATCCAGCACATGGAGCTTCAGCTGATCAAAAAGGAGATCACAGGCATCGGTGAGTGAGAAGAGTTTGTCAGTCTGCAGCCATTGCTGCTTCCTGCCACACCTGGCTACTCGGAACAGTCACTGCACTGGACAGCAATTAACATGAAGCTCTACCTTGCATGAAGGGCCCTATATCAATGCAATACAATGCAGGGCGAAAACTTAGGCAAGTTCCCTTACTCCATACACCTCTGTTTACCGAGCAGTAAATAGGGGTTAATAATCCCTCAAAAAAAATGTAACAAAGCGGTATATCAAATGCAAGAATTATTATTATTAAATTTACATTATGTAGCACGTTTCACATCAGGAAGGCATCCCAAAGCGCTTGAGTGCATGTTGGAGTTGTTTCTAAGTACAAGGTGCTATAAAAATGCAAGTTCTTCCTTAATTAATTTCAATCCCTTTAGGGCCCAGCACAACAACCGAGACAGAAACTATTGCAAAGTATGAAATAATGGATGGGGCGCCAGTTAAAGGTAAGGTATCACTGGCAGCTACTCTCAACATTTGAGTCAGTAACACTCATCTCTGTGTGAGAGGGTTTTGGGTTCAAGCCCCACATCTGGGCTTTGGGTTTAGTCTAGGCTGGCACTCTTAATGCAGTGCTAGGGGAGCTCTGCGTTGCAAGAGGTGCTGTCCTTCAGATGAGATGTTAAACCGGGGCCCCATCTGTGCATGTTCAGGTGGACATTAAGGATCCCATGCCATTACTCAAAAAGAGAAGGGAGTTTTCTCTTTCCCAGTATCCTGGCCAATAATCCCCAAAATGAAGTTGGTCACTCACTTCATGGCTGTTCATGGGTTGTTGCTGTGCACAAAGTGGGTGCTCTGTTGGCCTACAAATATGTAGTCACTACATTTTACAATAAATCCTGTGAAGTGTTTTAAGACATTTTGATGACGTGATAAGGCACTGTATAAAATGCAGGGATTATTATTAAGGGGATGAATATTAAAGGGCGAGGGGAGAGTGGGAAACTAGACTGTGTGGCTTATGTACAAAAACCCCAGGCAGATGAATGGACCCAGTGGCCTGTTTCTGTGCTGTAATGTTCTGCCAGTTATAATTTTTAAAAAAAAAAATGTGGTCACTCAATCCGTGACTGTTTGTGGGACACTGCTGTGCGCAATTGGCTGCCGCGTTTCGCCCACAAAACACAGTCAATCTGCTTTACAGTATATTATGTGAAGCTCTTTGAGATGGCTCGATGACGTGATAAAGCGCTATATCAATTGCAAGGATTATTATTATGTTATTATTTTATTTGAAACCCAGGTGAATCCATTCCCATCCGACTCTTCTTGGCCGGATATGACCTCACGCCGACCATGCGGGATGTGAACAAGAAGTTCTCAGTGCGTTACTTCCTAAACCTGGTGCTTGTGGATGAGGAGGACAGACGGTATTTCAAACAGCAGGTAACTTCAAGTCACATTTACACAGCACCTCCCACATTGGGAGGACAGCCCAGGGCACTTAACAATTCTATTTTGAGCACCCAAGCTACAATGGGAGCCGAGAGTTGGAGGGGAAAGACAACTGATTTAAGGGGTAGAGACAGAACTTGAGGGAGGGAGCAAATCAGCGGATATGGGATGGAGTTCCAGAAAGTGAGGGACAGACAGGTTGAAAGCCCGCCTGCTGATGGTGGGATGGGTAGAGTGGAGGACATAAAGCAGGCCAGTGCTCGCTGACCGAAGGGAGCAGCTGGGTCAGTGTGGTTGAAGGAGGTCATAGAGGTAGGGAGTGGGCAAGATAGGGAGTGAGTGGAGCCAGCAAGGATAGGGTAACATGCTTCCTTCCGGAGCCTGGATTTTATCTTGTTCGGTGTGAGCCCTAGACTGAGTTTACAGAGAAGCAAATCATTCTGGAGCATGTGTGTGTGTTCAAGGCATTCTACTGCGTCTGTCTCGCATGAGACTCCCTCTGTGTTGGCAGTAGAGATCTCTGGACCAGAACTGACTGGTGTTTTCTCCGGATTATTGACAATTAATTGTTCAAGCCCCATGTTGGGGGCTTTGAGCTCATAGTCCAGGCTGATGTTCCTGGGGGGAATGGCTCATTCAGGTGAGACATTAAACTGAGCCCTGTTCAGGTGAACATTAAAGATGTTGCTATTATACTAAAAGGCTCTATTGGCCAACAATCCGCCAGATAAAACCAGTTATTCACTTTGTGGATGTTATAGGACGTTGCTGTGCGCAATTGAATGTCACTAAATTTTAAGCTGAATCCTTTGAAGCTTTGAGATGTCCTCCTGATGTGAAAGGCGTGATATCAAATGTGAGAATTACTATTGTATTAAGTAGTTGTGTCTGTACTCCTGGGTACTGACTGCCTGAGACCCTACCCTGTGTGGAGGGCGCTATATAAGTGCACGTTATTGTTTAAGTTGTTGTTGCCTGGTGGGACATCAGATCACCACTCAGAGCTTTAGCTTTGCTGTTGGTTTAACTCTAACCTGAAGATGCTTAAGCCTTGTAATGAAATGTGTTGAACCATTTATTCCGCTTCTCATCAGGAAATAGTCTTGTGGCGGAAAGCGCCAGAGAAGGTGAGGAAGAGAACCAATTACCACCAGCGGCTGGAGTCTCCGGAGCCCCAGGCCTCCGCTAGGCTGCCCGAGATCTGAAACCGCCAAGAGCGTGGAGCCAAGAGGGAACCAAGGCCAGCCTTCCTCTCTTCATCTCCTGCGCTTCTACCATCTTTCCCTTGCACTCTCGTACAGCAACGGTTTCTTGCGCCAACATTGAAAACACTGGAACACTTAAAGCTAGCATTTTATACTGCACATTTTACAATTGTTCAAGGTAGGCACGAAACTGCACTGAGCAGACGGTTCTGACTTTATAGCTCAAACATATTGTACTTCAAAATTGCTGCATGGAGGCTGGTTATTTTTGAGCTTATTGTGTTCTAATACTGTATTTTCTCTCTCTCTCCCCCCCCCCTTACCCCATTCCCACCTGTTTTTTGGGGTCGCATGTCTAAGGCTGTGTGGTGTGTTCAACCCTCAGCGACTGCGGTTTAACACTCCGTTGCAGAGGTGGCACTGGGGTAAACAGTGCAATAGTGGGGTTTGCAGCATCACAGGCGGGCCCTTGTATCCAAGGTTAATGGTTGGTTCTCTGTGCTGGGATGGTTATTGTCGCTGGAGATGCCTGTGAGTAAAATCATCTGGTCCCATTGCTTTCTGTAAGTGCCCGAAAGAGAGCTGAACTAAAGCCAGTTATGCCAAAAAAAAACTCTCAAATCACGGTCACTTGCAAGGGATGGTCCAAAGTTTAATCCAGAATAAAGATTTGTATTTACAGGTACCTCAGATGTATAATACCAGTTGCAAATATGTATCCATCTCCAATAAAAGATTCACTCGTCTCTGCCAATGTTTGAGAAGCTGCTTTCAAGAACGTATCCGATTCACAGAAGTGGTGAGAGAGCGATGGCAAACTGGGAATAGGAAACGGTGATTTTCTTTTGTTAAATTAAAATCTAAAGCTAGCCATGATGCAGATACGCTGAGCCAAATGGTCTCTTTCCTGGAATGAAAGTTTCTGTTCTCTATTCCACCTAACTCTAGAGCGCAGTGATTAATTCTGCAGTTAAGGTTCCACAGTGTGTGTCAGCTTTGACAGACAAGGCTTTCAATCTGGGAGAGGATTTCAGGCTGTTCTCACACAAACCCAACAGAGGCCGCTGAGCATTCGGGAGCGGGTTTTTCTTCCTTTGAGTTTAGAAGGTTGAGATCTAATTGAGGTGTTCAAAATGATAAAGGGATTCAATGGGTAGCTACAGAGAAACTATACCCTCTGGTGGGAGAATCTAGAACAAGGGGGCATCATCTTAAAATTAGAGTTAGGCCATTTAGGAGTGGAATCAGGAGGCATTTTTTCACACGAAGGGTAGTGGAAATCTGGAATTCTTCCCCCCCCCAAAAGGCTGTGGATACTGGACCCATTCACATTTTCAAGATTGAGGTGTATAGATGTTTGTTAAGTCAGGGTGTCAAGGGATGTTGGGCAAGGGCGGGTAATTGGAGTTGAGGTACCGATCAGCCATGATCTAATAGAATGGTGGAACAGGCTCGAGGGGCTGAAACTGCTGCAGCTCAGTTCATTCAACTCAGCAGAGAGCAGTTGCTGAATACAGATCCTCCTGGTTTATTTACATTGCCCTGTAACATAGCAGATGGCAAGTTTACACACAGATATCAGGGAGTTTCCTCCCTACCACAGAAAGCAATGTAGAAAGCAATCACACAAGAATTTCCAATTTGACTACCAGAATGATTCAATTTCCTCTATTACAGGAATCGGCCATTTTACTTTGGCTTTCACAATAAAAAATTCTGTTTTCGGAACTCAGCTGTATGACGCAGTGTGATTAGTCATTCTACCAACTTCTTTTTAAACCACCAAAATATCACACTGTTGTACTTGATGTTTGTGGCATATGTTCAGGGACTTGTAGTTAATTTCACAATAAAGCTGCTTAAGTTGGCAAATTATTCCATTCAGTTTTAACTTGGTCAGCCTGTCTGTCTCTAAGTCAGAAGGATGTGGGTTCAAGCACCATGTCAGGACTTGGAATCACATAGTCTAAGCTGGCGCTTCAGTGCAGTGCTGCATTGTCGGAGGTGCGGTCTTTCACATTAGACATTAAACCGAGGTTGCGATGTCTGTTCAGGTGGATATTCAAGATCCCATGGCGCTATTTGAAAATAGAAATGAGTTTCTCTCCCGGTGTCTTGGCCAACAATCCCCCCAAATATAACTAGTAACTCCACGAATGTTTGTGGGACACGGCTGTGTACTAATTGCTGTGTTGGCCTACAACTTACCCAGTGACTCCACTTTACAGTAAATTCTGTGAAACGCTTTGAGATGCTCTGATGTGAAATGCGCTGTAATAAGTGTAATTATTATTTTGGGATGTTACTGCTATTCCCTCCCCATGGTATAGGTTTCTTCAGAGTTGGTGCGCGTTCTGGAATTAAGGAGGTAGCATTCAACAAACTTGCTTCAAAAGCAGAACAACCTTTTGAAATGCGGAGACCTGACTTCAGGAACTGAAAGGAATGGAAAGATGTTAACACCCATTGGCACAATGCTGGCTCGGAGCTCTGAGGGGCAGGGGGGTAAGATGGAACAGGGAATTAAAATGCCCTTGAGTTGCATTAAGTCAAATCAATAATTGTTTTGTCAAAATACATGCTGTGTCGCTAGTGAAGTGATTCTATCGAGGATTTGTGTTATTACGTTTAATGTAACAAGATACATTATCCTCCCTGCGTTTACTAAACAAAATCCAACAAGGCCATTGATAATGTGCTGGTACGAGAGTGTAAACTAACTTAGGCAGTCATGGAGACGCTGTCATCTGCGGTGATGTCTGTACATTTCTGGCAACCTGCAGGTTAAGGAACAAAATAATAACAATAATAATAATCCTTGAATTTGATATAGCACCTTATCACATCGTCGCGATGCCTCGAAGCGCTTATAGAATATATTGTAAAGATTGACTATTTTGTCAATATTTTATTTTATTATATTGTATTTTAGCAGTGTCCCACAAACAGCCATGGAGTGAGTGACCAATTTTATTTGTGGGATTATTGGCCAGGACACCAGGAGAGAAACACCCTTCTTCTTTTCGAATAGCGCCACGGGATCTTTAACATCCATCTGAACTGGCAGATGGGTCCTCGGTTTCTCATCCGAAAGGCAGCACCTCCGAAAATGCAACACAGTCTCAGCGCTGCATTGGAGCATTAGCTTAGACTATGTGATTCCAAGTCCTGACAATGAGGCAAAACCCAACAACCTTCTGACTAGAGATGAGAGCGCTATCACTGGGACAGTTTGAACATGCATGTGTCAGATAATGACCTGACACTGACAGGTCCTGGCTGTGGCTGGTCAGGTGGAAGTTAAAGGCTATTGGAAAAACAGAGGTGAGTTTCGCCCAGTGTTCTGGCTGATAATCCTCCAGATTATTCATTCATCCCATGGCTGATAGTCGGACTTTGATGCCTGCCATGTTTACTTGTGCATAAAAAACAATCGCTGCATGCTACAGTAGTTAGCTTAAAGCACTTTGAGACATTTCAACTTTATAATAATTCTTGCGTATAGCGTCCATAACATTTGAAAGGTCTCAAAAGTGCTTCACAGGGATTTTCTGTGAAGTGGACTGTCTGTATTTGTAGGTCCACCAATTTGTGCACAGCAACAACCCACAAACAGCCATGAAGTGGGTGAGGGATTTTATCTGGGGATCGGTGGCCACGACAAAATTCCCGTGACAGATGGAGGAAATTGCAATTTATTATATCCCATTACAGGACACAACAGACCTGGCCCCATCTGGCAGGGTGCAGCCATCCTTTGCTGGGTGCAGTTACAAGGTAGGTATTTTACCACCTTCCATGTCCCCAAATGGGCAGTGCAGGCAGTTTAACAATCTACCAATATGTGTAATCTCACTGTGAGAGGTGCCTGTCTGGACATTACCTCCTGTCTCCCCATGGCAGGTTTACAGGACATTGGAGCGCACCTTCTCCCTCCCAACCTATCCCATTAGCTCGAGGATGTGACTTCAGGGGAATTGTTAATAAAGTTGCCAGCAATAACCTGACAGGAATGTGGTTCCTGCTGGCAACTTTATGAACCCCTCTAAACCTCTTCACAAGTGAACTCTCATCATTGGCTTTTCTCCTCGTGGCAAAATATTACGTTGATTCACAGTTACCTCTGTTAACTAAGTGCGATTATTCACATGTAAGCTATAACGGGGATGTTGCCAGTGTACTTGACCAGAACATTCTCAGTTCCGATCCTGCCCTCAAACTTACTTTGCAACAAGGAGGGGAGAGGAGGGTGGAGTTGGAGGGTCTCTAGATCGTGATCAGGGAGTTGGAATCTGAGCTGATTTCTGCCTCCGTAGCCCGGAGTTACAGAGGTTAACTGCTTCCCCAAATGTTGTCAATAAAAAAATGTGGTCTCTCAATCCACGAATGTTTTGCCCACAAAACACAGTCAATCTACTTTACAATATATTCTGTGAAGCATTTTGAGCGTCTCAATGACGTGATAAGACGCCATACCAATTGCAAGGATTATTATTATTAATAACCCACCACTGACTGAAACCTGAACTGGGGATCTTTTAGTGTGCGTATCTTTATTCTTATATCAGGCAGCGGCAACTGAGCCAGCAACAGGCCTCTGTTGCACAATGTTTAGGAAATATGAGGGATTCAGTATCTTGTTGCATTAAATATATTTATAAAACATCTGTGATAATGCTACTTTGACGTTCTCAACTACCTTGCCAAAGTCCCTATATCTTAATAATAATAATAATCCTTGCATTTGATACAGCATCCTATTAGTTGGTCAAGACGTCTCAAAGCGCTTCACAGACTATACGTGGTTAGAGCACTCGCCTTGCAAGCGAGACACCTGGGTTCAAGACAGGGCAAAATCTTGGGCAAGTTTCCTTAGTCCACACGCCTAATATTCCCTCCAAAACAATAATAATTTAGTCATTTTCAATCCACGACTGTTTGTGGGATGCTACTGTGCGCAATTGGCTGCCGCGTTTCGCCCACAAATATACAGTCAATTCACTTTATAGTATATTCTGTGAAGCACCTTTGAGGTGTCTAGAAGATGTGAAAAGCGCTATATCAAATGCAAGGATCATTATATTATACTGTAAATAAAGTAAATCGTGGGTGAAACGCAGCAGCCAGTTGGGCACAGTAATGTCCCACAAACAGCCATGGAGTGAGCGACTAATTTTATTTGAGGGATTGTTGGCCAGGACACTGGGAGAGAAAATCTCCCTCGTCTTTTCAAATAGTACCATGGGATGGATGTTTACCATCCACCTGAACAGGCAGATGGAACCTCAGTTTAACGTCTCATCCGAAGGACAGCACTTCTGACAGTGCAACACCACCCCCCCCCCCCCCAGCAGTGCTTTGGAGTGTCATCTTATACTGTGTGATTCCAAGTCCCAAGGTGGGGGTTGAACCCACTATCTTTTGACTCAGAGGTGACAGCGCTACCAGGCTGACACAAATATCTTACTGTAATCGGGAGCAACTCACTCACTACAAGTTAGGGAGAGTCAAACATCGTGGACATTTCGCAGCCTCTCACATCAGTTGTTGGGATTAATAATAAATAACCATAATAATGTGAGCACTTAACACAGTGCCTAAAATGTTTCTGGGTCTCAAAGGTATGTTTCACTTCAGAGTACAACAACAACAAAATGCATTTATATAGTGTGTTCGCGTCAGAAGGACGTCTTAAGGTGCTGGGCAGTTGAGGGTTTTCACCCGAGTTGGGGGTTGGATTCAGGAGGAGTGGGGGCCAAGGAGTTGGGTGAGGAGAGGATGAAGATCTTGAGACAGACCTTGAAGGAGGTGAAGACAAAGAGTAGATTAAGAATAAGCATGTGGTATGTGGTATTAAGTTATTCCGGAAGTGATTTACTTGGCAATATCTTGTCTCTTCCCGGGTGAGAACAATGTCTCAGTCGCTTGTGCTTTCAGTGAGTGGGTGTGACACGCATGCAAACTCCAGTTTGACTCAAAATCTACAAGCCAGCCTTTGTCCGTGCTCACTTCAAGAATCATCCAGAGAAATTCCGAGCTTTGTAAGGGTGGGAGTCGTTCGGAAACAGCTCCCTTGGCCCCAGACTGGAGGAGCTGTGTGTTGTGTTGAATGACAAGGTGACAACTCCGGGAAGAGATTTCCCTGTCCGATACCTCCACCTTCAGTTCTGGCAGGAACCATCTTTTGTGGCAGATTAACTGTGACGGTTTTCACCTCCAATATGATTGGAGTTCTGATAAAACCGCTACAGCCTCAAGCTCTGCCTCCCTCCCTGCCTTTAAACGCTTCTTCAAAACCAGTCTAACCACGTCGCTTTGTAATAATAATAATAATCCTTGCATTTAACATAGTGCCTTTTCACGTTGCTTAGACGTTTCAAAGTTGGATGTTTTGGTACTACATGTTGGGGTTCACGTCACAAGAGTGCCTGAGTTATCACGAAGCGAGTTATAACCACCTTCTACTGTATTCAACAAAGAAAATAATTATTCCCTTCCAGGGACGAGAAAATACACAGCTCCTTACCCACTCGCACTCTGGGTGTCTCTGTATCTCACACTCTGTGTCCTTCTGTATCTTAAAACTCTTGTCAATTCTCTGGTTCTCTCTGTCACTCACATTCTGTGTCTCCAAACTCTCTGGAACGCTACCTGCACGAGAGGCACTATGTAAATGCAAGTTGTTGTTGTTTCACCCTGAATTTCACACGGTCTCTCTCACACTCAATCCCTCTATATCTCTCATACTGCTTAACTCAGTAAACACTCTGTATCTCACATCCTGTGTCACTCTCTGTCTCTCACACTCTGTCACTCTCTGTGTCTCTCCTACTCTCACTTTCTCTCATGCTCTCACCCTCTGTATCTATACTGTCTGTATATGTCTCCATGTTGCACGCACTCTTTGTCTCTCACATTCACACTGTCGCTATCTCAAACTCTTGACTCTCACTCTTTCTCACACTCATTACTCTGTCACTCACACTCTGCCACTCTCTGGGTCACACTTTGTCTCTGTATACACCCTCCCCGATCCCGACCCCCAGCTCCAGTCCGAAACATTGATTGTCCAGCTCCTCGGGGCGTTCTCCCGACGTGAAAGGCGCTATTCAAATATAATTTTGTTGTTGTTGTAGCTCACTCTTTCTGAATCTCACTCTCTGTATCTCGCTATCTATATCTCACTCTCTCTGTATCTCACTCTCTGTCTCTCACTCACTCTGTATCTCACTCTTTGTATCTCACTCTTGGTGTATCTCTGCGTCTCTCTGTATCTTACTCTCACTCTCTCTGCCTCTCACTCTCTGTGTCTCACTCCTGTGCCTCTCACTCTCTGTGTCTCTCACTCTCTGTCTCTCACTCTCTGTGTCTGTGTCTCTGACTCTCTGTGTCTCTGACTCCGTGTCTCTGACTCTCTGTGTGTGTCTCTGTGTCTCTCACTCTGTCTCTCACTCTCTTTGTCTCTCACTCTCTGTGTCTCTCACTCTCTGTCTCTCACTCTCTGTGTCTCTCACTCTGACTCTCTGTGTCTCTGTGTCTCACTTTATGTGTCTCTCACTCTGTGTCTGTGTCTCTCACTCTCTGTGTCTCTGACTCTCTGTGTGTGTCTCTCTGTGTCTCTCACTCTCTGTGTCTCTCACTCTGTGTCTCTCACTCCCTGTGTCTCTGACTCTCTGTGTGTGTCTCTCGGTGACTCTGACTCTCTGACACTGTGTCTCACTCTCTGCGACTCTGACACTCTGTGTCTCACTCTCTGTGTCTCTGACTCTCTGACATTGTGTCTCACTGTCTGTGTCTCTCACTCTCTGACATTGTGTCTCAGGCTCTGTGACTCTCACTCTCTGACACTCTGTGTCTCACTCTGTGTCTCACTCTCTGTGTCTCACTCTCTGACACTCTGTGTCTCACTCTGACACTCTGTGTCTCACTCTCTGACACTCTGTGTCTCACTCTGTGTCTCACTCTCTGTGTCTCTCACTCTCTGACACTCTGTGTCTCACTCTCTGACACTCTGTGTCTCACTCTCTGTGTCTCTCACTCTCTGACACTCTGTATCTCACTCTCTGCGACTCTGACACTCTGTGTCTCACTCTCTGTGTCTCTCACTCTCTGACACTCTGTGTCTCACTCTCTGCGACTCTGACACTCTGTGTCTCACTCTCTGCGACTCTCCCTCTCTGACACTCTATGTCTCTCACTCTCTCTCTCTCACTCCCTCTCTGACCCTCACTCCCTGTGTGTACCCGCGGCTCCCGCTGTGTGTGTGTGTGTGTGTGAGCGCTCGGGGCCTCTCCCCCTCTCCCCCTCTCTGTGCTGATGGCTGTGAGGCGGGCGGTGGGGCTGCTGCCCGGGGCCGGGGCCGGGGCCCGGGGGGTGGGGCTGGTGTCCGGGGCCGGGGCCGGGGCCCGGGGGGTCGGGCTGCTGCCCGGGGCCGGGGCCCGGGGGGTCGGGCTGCTGTCCCTGTCGCTGCCCCGGGCCCGGGCCCGGTCCTGGGTGCACACGGCCTCGCGGTGGGGGAGCGCTGGCGGGGCGCGGCCCCCGGACACTTCGCTCTTTGTGCCGCTGCCGCTCAGGAGAGGCCCGACCCCGCGGGGCGACATCGGGGCCGAGCTCAGCCGCAGCCTCAACAAAGGTCAGAGAGGGGCCCCCGCGCCGCGTCCTACTCCAGGCCCCGGGCCTGAGGCCTACACACCGGCTCGCGGGGCCGCGCGGGGAGGGGGGGCTGTGCGGGGAGGGGGGGGCTGTGCGGGAGGGGGGGCTGTGCGGGGAGGGGGGGGCTGTGCGGGGAAGGGGGGGCTGTGCGGGAGGGGGGGGGCTGTGCGGGGAGGGGGGGGGCTGTGCGGGGAGGGGGGGGCTGTGCGGGGAGGGGGGCTGTGCGGGGAGGGGGGGGCTGTGCGGGGAGGGGGGGCTGTGCGGGGAGGGGGGGCTGTGCGGGGAGGGGGGGCTGTGCGGGGAGGGGGGGCTGTGCGGGGAGGGGGGGGCTGTGCGGGGAGGGGGGGGCTGTGCGGGGAGGGGGGGCTGTGCGGGGAGGGGGGGCTGTGCGGGGAGGGGGGGCTGTGCGGGGAGGGGGGGCTGTGCGGGAGGGGGGGCTGTGCGGGGAGGGGGGGGCTGTGCGGGGAGGGGGGGCTGTGCGGGGAGGGGGGGGCTGTGCGGGGAGGGGGGCTGTGCGGGAGGGGGGGCTGTGCGGGGAGGGGGGGCTGTGCGGGAGGGGGGGCTGTGCGGGGAGGGTGGGGGGCAGTGCGGGGAGGGGGGCTGTGCGGGGAGGGGGGGCTGTGCGGGGAGGGGGGGCTGTGCGGGGAGGGGGGGCTGTGCGGGGAGGGCTGTGCGGGGAGGGGGGGCTGTGCGGGGAAGGGGGGGCTGTGCGGGGAGGGGGGGGGCTGTGCGGGGAGGGGGGGCTGTGCGGGAGGGCGGTGCGGGGAGGGGGGGCTGTGCGGGGAAGGGGGGGCTGTGCGGGGAGGGGGGTGGGGGGGGGGGCTGTGCGGGGAGGGGTGGGGGGCTGTGCGGGGAGGGGTGGGGGGCTGTGCGGGGAGGGGTGGGGGGTTGTGCGGGGGGGGGGGCTGTGCGGGGGGGGGGCTGTGCGGGGAGGGGTGGGGGCTGTGCGGGGAGGGGTGGGGGGCTGTGCGGGGAGGGGGGGCTGTGCGGGGAGGGGGGGCTGTGCGGGGAGGGGTGGGGGGCTGTGCGGGGAGGGGGGGCTGTGCGGGGAGGGGTGGGGGGCTGTGCGGGGAGGGGTGGGGGGCTGTGCGGGGAGGGGTGGGGGGCTGTGCGGGGAGGGGTGGGGGCTGTGCGGGGAGGGGGGGGCTGTGCGGGGAGGGGTGGGGGGCTGTGCGGGGAGGGTGGGGGCTGTGCGGGGAGGGTGGGGGCTGTGCGGGGAGGGTGGGGGTTGTGCGGGGAGGGTGGGGGCTGTGTGGGGAGGGTGGGGGCTGTGCGGGGAGGGTGGGGGCTGTGCGGGGCTGTGGGCAGTGCAGGGCTGTGCGGGGAGGGGGGGCTGTGCGGGGAGGGGGGGCTGTGCGGGGCTGTGCGGGGAGGGGAGGGCTGTGCGAGGAGGGGGGGCTGTGCGGGGGGGGGAGCTGTGTGGGGAGGGGGCTGTGCAAGGAGGAGGAGGGGGCCGGTGCGGGGAGGGCAGTGTGGGGCTGTGGGGAGGGTCCAGTGGGCAGTGCGGGGAACGTGGGCAGTGTGGGCGGGGTGGGCAGTGTGGGCGGGGTGGGCAGTGTGGGCGGGGTGGGCGGGGTGGGCAGTGTGGGCGGGGAGGGCAGTGTGGGCGGGGTGGGCAGTGTGGGCGGGGTGGGCAGTGTGGGAGGGGTGGGCAGTGTGGGTGGGGTGGGCAGTGTGGGAGGGGTGGGCAGTGTGGGTGGGGTGGGCGGGGTGGGCAGTGTGGGCGGGGTGGGCAGTGTGGGTGGGGTGGGCAGTGTAATCAGTGTGGGTGGGGAGGGCAGTGTGGGAGGGGTGGTCAGTGTGGGAGGGGTGGGCAGTGTGGGTGGGGTGGGCGGGTGTGGGCAGTGTGGGCGGGGTGGGCAGTGTGGGGCGGGGTGGGCAGTATGGGCGGGGTGGTCAGTGTGGGTGGGGTGGTCCGTGTGGGTGGAGAGGGCAGCGCCCAGGCCCCCCCCCCCCCCCCCCCCCCGCCGCCCCACACCGCTGGTGACTGACTGGGTGTTGTTTGCAGGTGAAATTCTCAAGGTGCTGAATAAATTCTACAAACGGAAAGAAATGCAGAGACTGGGCGCTGAGAATGGCCTGGACGGTGAGATAAATAATACAATAATAATAATAATCATCATCATCATCCTTAACGTTCGATATCATCCCATTCACACCACAGAGCTTCACAGAAGCGACTGTGTGTGTGTGTGTGTGTGTGTGCGCGTGTGTGTGTGTGACCTCCTCGCCGCGCTCCCCAGCTCCACCCCACAAAATCCGGTTAATCCACAATTCCGCCTCTGGCGTACTCGCCTGCACTAAACACCCGAAACCCCCGCCACACCAGTACTTGCCAGTGCTCCACCGGCTGCACATCACATCACATCACATAACAACAACGTGTAGCAGGAGCAGGAGCAGGCCATTCGGCCCTTCGAGCCTGCCCCGCCATTCAATCACCGAACGGATCGGCTTCAAGATCCTCACGCTCGAGCGTCTTCCACTCGTCACTCGTCATCTCAACCCGCTACCCGCTGCCTCCGCTTGGCCGGCTCTGTCCTCCCTGCTTTGTCCTCATGCTGTCCGTTCCACCATTGCGTTGCTGTCACTCTGCCTTTATCCCGCTGCCTTGCCCCCCCCCCTCCTTCCCCATCTTCAGGTTGCACCTGAGGACCTTCCTCTTTGACCGTGCCTACAGTCGCCTCCCCCGGCTCAGCGTCGTGCTCCACCACTGTCAAGCGCTCTGGGACGCAGTCCTGTGTGAGCGCCGCTATAAAAATGCAAGTTATTGTTGTTCTGTATGTAGGCAGTTGTAAATCGCTGTCCTGGCGGTGGGGGGTCGGTTTATTGAGCGGCTGTTGTAAATCTTCATAAACGGTCTCTCCCCAGCGCGGCTGTTTCACCAGGCCTTCATTAGTTTCCGCAAGTTTGTGATGGAAGACGAATCGCTGAACGTGGACCTGCACATCATTCTCAGTGATATCTGCTACGGGGCAGGTATGCTCTCCTCAACCACTCAGTCACACCCTCCAGGAGGCAGACAATGCCAATGCCCCACGATCTCGCAGTTTAAGCACCTTTCCCGTTGCTGACTCCAATCACCCCCTACACCTGAAGGTTTTTAAGCACTGCAAGACGCTACCCGTGTGAAGGGCGCTATATGATAATGATAATAATCCTTGCATTTGATATAGCGCCTTGTCACGTCGTTGAGACGTCTCAAAAGTGCTTCACAGAATATACTGTAAAGTGAGTTGACTGTATTTCATGGGTGAAATATGGCAGCCAACAGCGGACAGCGGTGTCCCACAAATAGGCGTGGATTGAGTGACCACATTTTTTGGGGAGGTTTTATTATACTCGGAAAGCAATCCACCAATCGACTAACAATCGGGTTCCTACTTACTGCTGGGTAAATAGAGGTGTGTGGCGTAAGGAAACTTACCTATGGTCTTGCCCGGCCAGGGTATCAAGCCCAGGTCCTCTCACTTGCAAAATTACAGAAAACTTAGAGTATTATCTCCAACCCCCTGGGTGCAGGTGGTTAAATGAATGGAGATTGTGTCCTGTTATATGTAAAAGTTTATAAAACTGGTTAACGTTGAGCTGCTCTTTCCACAGGTCACGTGGACGATCTCTTCCCTTACTTCATGCGGCAGGCAAAGCAGGTTTTCCCAATGTTGGACTGCATGGACGACCTCCGCAAGATCAGTGACCTGCGTCTGCCGGCTAACTGGTGAGAGCTACAGTCTAAACCGAGCCGGTGCCAACCGCTCCAACCTCACCCAGTCTCTGCAGGAGTGTGCGCACCTCTTGTGATCTGCCGTGCCTGGCTCAGCCGGTAGCGCTCTGACTGCTGAGTCAGCAGCTTGTGGGGTTTAAGCCCCACATAGCACCTTATCATGGTGCTTTGAGTTCACAGTCTAGGCTTGACGCTTGAGCTCAGTGCTAGGAGAGTGCCATGTTGTCAGAGACTCCGTCCTTCGGCTGAGACGTAAAACTGAGGTCCCGTCTGTGCCTGTACGGGTGGACTTTGAAGACCCCATGGCAATTTCCTTTTGAAAAGAGAAGGGAATTTCTCAGACACAATCTGGTGCACACTGAGGTGATGTGGACACGGACACGGGAGGGTACGCACTGAGGTGCGTTCTGAACAAATTAAATTTATGATAGGAAAATGTTGAAGTAAATTTCGGGGAAGAGTAGAGAAGAGTTGTCTCCGTGCTGAGCATGTGCTGATATGTGCTGCAGGTGTCTAGATATTGTGGAGTTATCTGCCTCCTGTATTATACAGTCAGTAAAGCTCCTCTCCCTCTCCCTCCTTGTCTTTCTCCCCCTCTCTCCATCTCTATCTCTCCCCCTTCTCTCCGTGTCACTTCTCAGGTACCCAGAAGCCAGGGCAATTCAGAGAAAGATTATCTTCCACGCCGGCCCCACCAACAGCGGCAAAACCTACCACGCCATCCAGCGTTACCTGGCTGCCTCAGGGGGAGTGTATTGTGGGCCCCTCAAACTGCTGGCTCACGAGATCTACCAGAAGAGTAATGACGCTGTCAGTGTGTGCCACATGGCCAGCAACCGCTACCACGACTCGTAACTAGTGCTAACCAATTAACAGCTACTGACCCAGTGTCACAGCTCAACAGCCAGTTAATCAGCGTTACAGCCAGTAACCAGCAACTAGTGTTACAGCTACTACTAAAAAAAAATTTTGCAGCCATTAAACAAAGTTACAGCTGGTAGATTTTTACAGCAATAAACTAATGTTACAGCTGATAACCCAGCATTCTAGCTAATAACTAGTGTAACAACAATAACAAACTTGCATTTATATAGCGCCTTTCATACTGGGTAGTGTCTTTGAGGGCTTAACATGGTACAGGTAATGCCCTGCGTTACAGGAACTAAGTAGTTTGAATGCTTTTAAGCGTGGTGATGAGTTTCCGCATGTGTCGGACACTAAAAAATGTGCGTTGGGGTAACTGATGGGAGTCTAACCAGCTAAAACCGCATAGCTTGCCATTGAGAATTTAAGGAAGACACAATACACCCATGAAGTAAATAATAGAGATTAAACGTGGAGTCCCGTAGCAAAGTGGTTAGCGCGCTCACTTCACTAGCGAAAGGACCCGGGTTTGATTCCTGGTCGAGGCAAAACCTTAGGTAAGTTTCCTTACTCCACACGCCTCTGTACCCAGGAGTAAGTAGGGACCTGGCTTTTAGTCGATTGTCCGGTCACTTTCAGCTAAAAACATAAAATTAAAAAAAAATGTCACTCAATCCACAACTGTGTGTGGGACACTGCTGTGTGCAATTGGATTGCGTGGCTGTGCTTAGCGCCTCTCAGAGCTGCTAGTAAATTGTTTGTGGTGTTGGTTGTGTTTCAGGGTGTAGCCTGTGACCTGGTGACGGGTGAAGAACGCACCTTTGTGGACGTGGAAGGAAGACAGTCAAGCCACGTGGCCTGTACCATCGAAATGTGCAGCGTCACCACACCGTGTAGGTGCCTCCCGATAACTTCCTGTCTTCCGCATAGGTGACCTACAATCAGTGCTTTTATGCCGTGTTTGTGTTCCATCCTGGGGCAGCCTTTTCCCAGCGTGGTTCTGGGAGCCCGGGATCTGAGCAGGATCCGAGGCTGCGGTGCAGCATATCGTCACAGCGGGAACCGGGTGGCGCGATATATCTCTTCCGCGTGCTCAACACCAGCTCCACGTCCAAATAGTATATTGTATGAGGCGTTTTGAGACGTCTCAACAGCAACAACAAGATTACATTTGTATAGCAATGACATAATAAGGCGATATATCAAATGCAAGTATTATATTATAATTGTGTTTGATTGGGTGCTGGACTCGATGGTGAAAGCTCGCTACCTTGTGTTTTGCAGACGAAGTGGCCGTGATTGATGAGATACAGATGATCAGAGATCCTTCTCGAGGCTGGGCTTGGACTAGAGCGCTGCTCGGTGAGAGGGCATCTTTGTACGTCTCAAAAACGTTAATGGGAAATCACCAAGTCTATTGACAGAGGCACCGTCCTTCGGATGAGATGGTAAACCGTCTGTGCCTGTCCAGGTGACCGTTAAAGATCCCAGAACACTATGCGAAAAGAGAAGGGAGTTTCTCTCTCCCGGTGTCCTGGCCGACAATCCCCCAGATAAACTTGGTCACTCGCTCCATGGCTTTGCGTGGGACGTTGCTGTATGCAAACTGGCTGACACGTTCATCTACAAAAATACAGTCACTACACTTCACAGTAAATTTTGCCCACAAAATACACAGTCAATCCATTTTGCAATACATACTGTGAAGCATTTTGAGAAGTCTCAACCACATGATACTGCGGTATATCAAATTCAAGGATTATTATTATTAAATCCTGTGATCTACACCCTCCCACTGTAATCCACATCTTTAAATCCCTGCACGGTATCCCTCGCTACATTTGTTACACTGTTTGAGACATAACTTTATGTGAAAGGTGTATGTCAGTGCATGTGGTTGTTGATTGTTTTGGGAAAAGGTTTAGATGGGAAGGGGGGCAGGAATGATCCCTTCCTGATGTACATGTCCCCGCTTTACAATGTCCTTTTCCTGCAGGACTTTGTGCAGAAGAAATTCACATCTGTGGGGAAGCTTCGGCCATTAACCTGGTGATGGAGCTGATGTACGACACGGGAGAGGAAGTGGAGGTGAGCAGGAGATGTCAGACCTGCATCGGGCTGGGGAGTGGGGGAGCCTGTATCCCCATTAACACCTGACGTGACAAGGCGCTATATGCAATGCAAGGATTATTATTGTACGCGGCTCAAGCAAACGTGTGCACACACACACACACACACACACGCACGTGCGGCTGGTTTGATGTTTGCTGAGACTTTGGTGTGTTTTCTGGGAAGGTTCGGAATTATGAGCGGCTGACGCCGATCTCGGTGCAGGACTCGGCCCTGGGAACGCTGGACAGCCTGAGACCCGGCGACTGTGTCGTCTGCTTCAATAAAAACGACATTTACTCCATTAGCCGCCAGATCGAGATCCGCGGGCTGGAGTGTGCCGTCATATACGGCAGCCTCCCACCAGGTAAACGCTCGTTCGCTCGCTCGCTCACTGACTGACTGGCAGACTGGCTGAAAGGCTGCCAGTATTTGTAAGTGCAGGTTGTTGATTGTACTGTGATCCGATGAAAACTGAATAGGAGGCACATTTCTACTGTGGGAGAGAAGGACATCGGCAAGGGCGCAGTGACTGAGGGTTGTGAATTGATGCGTTGCTCACCGTGTCACAACAGAACAGTGTGAGGCAGCAATAAATAAGGCAGAGAGGAAGGAGCTACGAGCAACAATTTATTCAAGTTCATGCTCTTTTGTCTAACAAACATATTTCTCAAAAGAAGACTGACAGAGAGGTATAAGATTCTAAATTGGATTGACAAAGTAAACCTGAAATAAGATTTTCCACTTTGGTTGCCTCTGGCCATCCTCCCACCCCCATCCTCCGTGGCCCCCACCTCTCTTGATCCCCACCCCCAGCTCGGGTACAATCCCTTGATTGTCCGGGCTCTTGGGGTATCCTTCCAAAGTGAAAGGCGCTGTGTGAGTGTAACTTGTTGTTGTTTGATTGCACCAAGAAAAAGAGGACACGGGGTCAGAGTTTGAAGGGCAATTTCTGGACAGACGCCAGGGAAGCAGTTCTTTCCCCAGAGGGTAGGAGTAGGTTACCAGGAAGGAAGGTTGAGGTCCGATACAGGGCTTGTTTGTCAAGGGCTGAATGTAGTAATGGGAGGAGAGTGGGGTATGGGTTTTATGAGGGAGCAGGAGCAGTATATTCTGTGAAGCACTTTGAGACGTCTCAACGACATGATAAGGTGCTATATCAAATTCAAGGATTATTATTATTGCTAATAAATAATAGTAAATACTCAATGACACTGGTTGAATGGCCTCTGCTAGGGTTTCTGAAAGGAGCTAATCTACCTGATGTCTTTTTTGTTCTGTGTATTTTGATCTCAGGAGCAAAACTGGCTCAGGCCAAGAAATTCAACGACCCCAATGATGCCTGTAAGATCATGGTTGCCACCGACGCCATTGGGATGGGCCTGAACCTGTGAGTGCTGCCTCCCTGGGTCCCCTCCATAGCTTATTGGCCACTGTGCAATACAGCGAGAAGCTGGTGTATTTGTTTGTGTGTGTGTCTGGTTTGCGAGTGTGTGTGTGCGCAAGTGTTTGTGTATGTGTGTGTGTGTTTGTCTGTATGGGTGTCTGCGAGTATGTGTGTTTTTGTGTGAGTGTGGGTGTGTACATGTATGTCTGCATGCTGCTCTGTACTGAGCGTGGGCTATGCGCACTGAGTTATGGGGAACAAACAGAGAGAGTTGGGTTGAGGAGAGATGGGACCAGTGGTGGAGAAGTGGCCACTAACATCCTGGATGGAGTGTGGGAGATTTCAGTGGTTTCTCTCGTCTTTGCTTTGTGTGTAGGAGCATCAAACGCATCATCTTTAACTCACTGATGAAGCCAAGTGTCAACGAGAAGGGAGAGAAGCAGATGGACACGATCACCACCTCGCAGGCCCTGCAGATCGGGGGCCGGGCAGGGAGGTTCCGCTCGGCCTTTAAGGAGGGGGAGATAACCACCATGCACCAGGAGGACCTGCCCGTGCTCCGTGAGATTCTGGCCAGGAACATCGACCCCATAGAGGTTGGTGTGGGTAGGAATGTAGGATAGTCCATGGGGAGAAATGACTGGTCAGTGAGGCAATGACTGGAGGACATCAATTAAAGTAGTGTCCAATTTGTGGAGTCCTGTAGAGTATTGGTTAGAATACTCGCCTCACAAATGAGAGGACCTGGGTTCGATTCCCGGGCAAGGCAAAACCCTAGACAAGTTTCTTTAGACTTATAATAATCCTTGCATTATGTTATGCAAGCTTTACTCTATTTATATATTGAGTGGAGAATTGTGGTTAACTCTTTCCCTGGCGTGTTGGCCCTGTGACCTGTTTCAGACTGCTGGATTACATCCCACGGCAGAGCAGATCGAGATGTTTGCTTACCACCTGCCAGATGCCTCACTCTCCAACTTAATCGTGAGTCTTTTCATTCTTATTGTGGAGAATCTATCTGATGAAACACTAGTGGAATAGGTGTCAACCTGGCTTAGTCAGCAGCACTCTCGCCTCTGAATCAGAAGGTTCAAGCCCCCCACATCAAGGACCGTGAGCTCACCGTCTAGGCTGACGCTCCAGTGCAGTGTTGGGGGGAACGCTGCATTTGAATAAGACGTTAGAGCGAGGTCCCGTCTGTATATTCTGTGAAGTCGTCTTGAAGACGTGATAAGGTGCTGTATCAAATACAAGGATTATTATTATTATAGTCTGAAAGCCCGCCTGTTGAAGTTAGGGCCCTTAAGGCAGGCTTTGACGTGAACTTGCTGCTCGGCGTGTGTGGGTGTGTGTGAGCGAGCTTGACGAGTGTCTTGATCCCACAGGATATCTTTGTCAGCCTGTCGCAAGTGGACGGCCTGTACTTTGTGTGTAACGTGGATGACTTTAAGTTCCTGGCGGACATGATCCAGCACATCCCCCTCAACCTTCGTGTGCGCTATGTCTTCTGCACGGCGCCCATCAACAGGAAGCAGCCCTTTGTCTGCACCTCCTTCCTCAAGGTCAGTTTTCATCGTTTACAAACGCTCCCGGCGGCCGGTTCGCTCATGGTGGTGACAAGCAGGGAGGTCAATTTGCGTAGCGTAGTGGTAAGTTCGCTCGCCTCCCAAGCGAGAGGATCCTGGTTTGATTCCCGGGTGGGACGAAACCTTAGGCACGTTTCTATTCTCCACGCACCTCTGTTTACCTAGCAGTAAGTAGGAACCAGGTTGTTAGGAGCTCAAGTGGGAGAGCGAGCACCAGGACAGACACCACGGGGGAGAGAGCAGGGAATGGTTTGAGGTTCTTTGCAGACTCTTTCAAGGTTGCTCATGTGACTATTTGAATCTTTCAGTTTGCCCGACAGTTTAGCCGGAATGAGGCCATGACGTTTGATTGGTTGTGTCGACACGTTAACTGGCCAGTTGTCCCTCCCAAAAATATCAAAGACCTGGTGCATCTGGAAGCTGTGCACGATGTGCTGGATCTGTACCTGTGGTTAAGGTAAGTCAGTGTCTCTCTCCCGGTGTCCAGGCCAACAATCCCTCAAATAAAACCGGTCATTTGCTCCGTGGCTGTTTGTGGGACACTGCTGTATGCAATTGGCTTCCGCGTTTCGCTCACAAAACACACAGTCATTCCATTTTACAGTATATTCTGTGAAGTTCTTTGAGCCGTCTTGACGCTATATCAAATGCAAGGATTATTATTATTAATATTTTGTCAGCCTTCATTGTAGGAGTTGCCTTCTGAAGGGTGAGATGTTAAACTGAAATCTGGTCTATCTGTTGAAGTGGAAGTTAAAGATCCCATTCAAAACTGAAGCTGTATAATGGGCCAGTGCTTTATAATGGCCTGTGTGTTGGAATATCTAATATTCTAATAGTAACTATTAGAACATCTAATAGTAACTAGCTAAATATTATATAAACTTTACATTGATTTCCAGCACAGAAACAAGCTATTCGGCCCAGCTTGTCCAGACTGGTGTTTGTATTCCATATGCTCCACTCTCCATCCACTCCTTACTCCCTCTCTTCTATTCCCTTCTTCCTCATGGAAACATAGAAACTGGAGGAGGCCATTCAGCCCCTCAAGCCTGTTCCTCAATTTTATAAGAACATGGCTGATTTGTACCTCAAGTCCAGTTACCCACCCTTGCCCCATATCCTTTAATATCTGTCTGCATCAGTCTTGAAAATGTGAATGGATCGAACATCCACAGCTTTTTTGGGGAAAGAGTTCCAGATTTCCCCTACCCTTTGGGTGAAAAACTGCTTTCTGATTTCACTCCTAAATGGCTTAGCTCTAATTTTAAGATTATACCCTATTACTCTGGATTCCTCACCAGAGGAAAATAATGTTTCTGTATCTACCCTATCGATTTATTTTATTGTTTTAAAAACTTCAATCAGATCACGCCTCAAACTTCTTAACTCAAGGGAATAGAAGCCAAGTTTATGCAACCTGTCCTCACACTTTAACCCTTTAAGCCTTGGTATCATTCTGATGAATCTGTGCTGCATATCAAATGCAAGGAGTATTATTATTATTGTTCCCCAGCAACTGAGAGGATTTCCCTGATCGCTGTGCTTCCTCCTACAGCTACCGGTTCATGGACATGTTCCCAGACGCTAGTCTTGTGCGGGAGATTCAGGGCGAATTGGACAGCATCATTCAGATAGGTGTGCGTAACATCACCCGCTTGATCCGGGCTTCAGACCCCAACAGCTCCCTGAGTGCCCAGGGTGTGGGCGAGGAGGTGGTCCCTCTGTACAGGGGGGCTGTGACTGAGCGGGGCATCATCTCCGAGGACTTTGTCATCCCAGAGCTCGGTGGCTGTAAGGGAGCGAGGAGACTGCGAGGGTCCAAAGCCCTGGGTTACACAGCGGAAGCGAAGCGTGGCCAGGGAGCCAGGCAGTCGCTGAGCACCAGGCTGATACAGGAGGGGCTGCTCAGCCCTGAGATCCTGGAGCAGCTACAGAGGGAGTGGTATGCCGAGCGAGCCAAGGGTCCGCAGCCTGACACAGACACTGCAGCCAGCAGCCGGACCAAAGCCCCCAACAAAGCAGTCAGGAAGAAGAAGAAATGAGTGGACGCAAATCTTGAATTCTTTTGGAGTCCTGTAGTGTATTGGTTAGAGCATTCTCCTCGCGAGCGAGAGAACCTGTGTTCAATTCCCGGGCAGAGCGAAACCTTAGGCAAGTTTCCTTACTCCACACGCCTCTGTTTACCTAGCAGTTTCACCTGCAAAGTACACAGTCAATCCACTTCACAGTATATCTTGAGACGTGGTAACGTGGTATATAATAATAACGTGATAAGGTGCTGTATTAAATGCAAGGATTATTAAAAAAAATGTTAGAACCCATTTTGTTTCTGAATATCAGGAACGGGACAAATAATAAAGGGGACTAAATATCAATCGATAAGGTACAGTTCCATTTAGCTGCTGAGTATCTGGGCACTGACAAAATGCCTGCAATGTCAGTATGTGCAGGTTATTTTTCTATGTATCTTTGTAATACGAAGAATATTAGCATGGGCAGAGCGTTTGCAGGTCTGTGCTGGTCACGAGCCAGCAATCTGATCACGAGACAAGAGATTTGAACCTGTATTGTGGAGCTGTGTCCAGCTCGTGTTTTCTGACTGTCAGTGCCTCCCTGGGAGTGTATCACCCCGAGATTGCGTTCAGTGAATGCACGGAGGAATCTCCTTTTACACAGATTTACTACGTGATGTCCTCCATTCGGATCTCTCCTTCCAACAAGTCGAGCGATCTCGACTCAATAAAGAGGAAGCATTGTACGTCCTGGTGTTCATTTGATTCTCTGCACGAATCCCCTCCCTTTCTCTCCTGAAGGCTCAAGGGTTCGCCTGGACATCGAATGTCGCTTTGTTCAGCTGCAGACGCATGTATTTCAGCCAACCACACTCACATCCACGCATTTAGTATTTTTCCCTACACTCCATTGGCAAGTTTTCTTCCTCTGCACACCTCTATTTATCTTGCAGTAAGTAGGAACCCGGTTGTTAGTCGATTGGCTGATCGTTTTCCGGGGGTAATGATCCCTTCACAAAAATAATTTGGTTACTCAATCCACGACTGTTTGTGGGACACTGCTGTGCGCAATTGGCTGCTGTGTTTTGCTTGCAAGATATATGGTCAAATTACTTTACAATACTCTGAAGCACTTTGAGATGTCTCAACGACTTGATAAGAAGTTACATCAAATGCAAGGATTATTATTATTTAGTTGCTTTTTTTTTGGTCTCGCACTTTCCCAATGCTTGTCCAGTTAGGACCACCCGTTAGGGTTTTGGCTTGCAGGGTTAACGGGAGCTGAGTGGGATGACTCCCTGTGATTGGTCTGCCCTTCCAGAACCTGTCAATGAGCCAGGCTGGACTGTGCTGTTTTCAGCAGTGTCCTGGAATACTGTGGACCCGTCTGGCTCAGGAAAAAAGGACTATCGAGACCGCCCGCCACAGCGGACTGGCTTGATTCCGACATTCTATTGCCAGCTATGTCACCTTGGAGCCAGTTCAGCTCCTGGGAGATTGCGCTGATGGGTTTCCATGTGTGTGCCACACACCTGGCCGGCTGAAAACAAAATAGCATTTAAAGGGGCAGGTTTACAGGGAGCGTTCCGCTCGCTTGTGTTGAGTGAAGGATTCCTGGACGGATTCTTCAGTTGTTGCCAAAAGGAACATTCGAATAGCAGAGGAAAGTTGCTGAAGGTTCCTGGTTAGACTGGGTGTCAACTGCCAGCTGCTCACAGGTAGAATCATCCGCTCACTGCTGCTGGTTTGAATGTTGTGTCTTGATTACACTCGGCCGTTCTGTTTAGAAATAGAAATCTGCCGTACAGCGCAGAAGGAGGACATTCGGCCCATTGAGTCTGCACTGGGTCTCAGAGCGGGGAGTGTCCGCCTGGCTCATTGAGTAGCACTCTCCCCTCTGAGTCAGAAGGTTGTGGGTTCAAGCCCCATGTTGGGACTTTGAGTTCACAGTGCAGTGCTTTGGGATGGGAGGAGAGGAGCCACTGCAATGGTGGAGGTGCCGTCCTTCAGATGAAATGTTAAAACTAGTTATTTAGTCCCATCGCCCAGCGTTATCTCCATACCACTTAAAGCCCCTCTATTTCATATTTTGTAGCGCATATGGAAACCTATTGCACATTTGGCCTGTTGTGTCTGAGCTGCTCCCTGAAGAACAATCCTTTTAGTGCCATTTACCTGCCCTTTCCCCACATCCCTGGGTATGTTAAACGGGCTCTGAGCGGGCGGGGGGCCGAGGATCTCTGGTGTGGCATTGGTTGACATCACAATGTGTCTCAGTGACGTCGTGCTGGGGTGAGGGTCAGGGCAGGAGCCAGCGAGAGTGTCTGCAGGCAGTGTGCGCAGATGGTGCTTCCGTTTTGAGAGCCGGTGGTTCAGACACATCGCTGGTGTTGGATGGTAAGGACTGGTGGTAAGGTGTTGGTGGATGTTATTCCCAGTGTTGGCTGACCGGGTGCTGTGGGAATGCATGTCTCATTGAGAACCTTGTACTGTTTTTCTACAAGATTGATATGCAAACTAAGAGTCAGGTGGTGTGTAGGACTGACACTCATTTGCAGCGGTTGGGCTCAAATTTTCAGCCTGCTGTCCATTGTAGTACTGTGGTGTATTGGTTAATGCGCTCACCTAGCAAGCGAGAGGACCTGGATTTGATTCCCAGCCAGGGCAAAACCTTTGGCAAGTTTCCTTACTCAACACAACTCTGTTTACCTAGCAGTAAGTAGGAGCCCGGTTGTTTGTCAATTGGCAGATTGCTTTCTGGAGATAATAATCCCTTAAAAGAAACATTTGGTCACTCAATCCGTGACTGTTCGTGCAATTGGCATCCAGCGTGAAGGCTGCCATATAAATGCAAGTTGTTGTTGTTGTTGTTGAGTAGAGAGCTCCAGTGGGGAGCGAGATCGGCACAGACACGATGAGCCGAATGTGCTGTACGTGTTCTGAGATATTAACACTCCCCCGAGATAGAGTGTGTTTCTGTGAATGAGCGTAGGAAGATCGAATCATTCACAGAAAAGCATTGCAAGTGATGAGAGCTGGTATTGGCCTTGACTCTGGCATGTTTGAGGTGTGAAGCTCACTGTTTGTCACACATCTCCTCTTTGTGTGCAGCGCTCGGCTGTTTCCCACGTGGACAGTGAAACTGAGGTACTCTGGTTTGAGTGAAGAGTTATTGATTCATCGAGTTTGCACTTCCTTCCTCAGAACACTTCCTTAAATCTAACGAGATGTTTGCTTTCCACCTTTTGGCCTTTTACCTTTCGAAGGTGAAAGAAAACCAGCTCAAAAAGGTGAGTATCTTCACCTTACATCTCACAAAAATATATGTGGTCATTCATTCTACAACTGTTTTCGAAACACTGCTGTGAGCAATTGGCTGCCGCGTTTCACCCACAAAATACACAGTTAATTCACTTTACAGTATATTCTGTGAAGCGCTTTAAGATGTCTCAACTACTAGAAAACAACAACAAAATTACATTTGTATAACACCTTTCACATTGGGAGGACGTCCCAGGGCATTGGACAATCAATGTTTCGGACCCGAGCTGAGGGTCGGGATCGGGCAGGGTGGAGGGCATGGGGGGAACTGAAGGCACGGTGAAAGGTGGGGGTGTGGACAGGTTGGTCGGGGGTTAGGAGGTGGCAGAGGTAGTGGGGAGCACGGCCATGGAGGGCTTTTAACGTGAGGACCAGGATCTTGAACTATATCCTCTGTGTGATGGGAAGCCAATGGAGTTGGGTGAGGATGGGGATGATAGGATCGAGGAGCCTGGTGCGGGAGAGGACATGGGCTGCAGAGTTCTGGATGATCTGCAGCCTATGCTTAAGATGCTACATCAAATACAAGGATTATAGTATTATTACAAAGTATCCCCATGGGGACGGGGCTGAGGGATGGGGGCTGTGGGTTGTAGTTGGGCGCTGAGGGAGAGGGCTGATGGCTGAGAGGGCTGGGGGCTGAGGGGAGGGTGCTGTGGGAGGGGCCTGGGGGCTGATGGCTGGAGGAGGGGGCTGAGGGCTTGGGGCTGAGCGCAGGGGGCTGAGGGATGGGGGCTCAGGGATGGGAGCTGGGGGAGTGGGCTGGGGGAGTGGGCTGGGGGCTGAGTGTTGGGGGCTGATGGCTGGGGTCCCTGTGTAACGCTCTCTGATTACAGTTGGACAGGATCCTATATGAATTTCACCTCTCAGATGAGCAGCTGCTGGACATTATGGACCGGTTCAGTAAGGAGATGGTGAAAGGCCTGGACAAGCAAACCTCCTCCACCGCCGTGCTCAAGATGCTGCCCACCTTTGTCCAATCCATTCCTGATGGCTCCGGTACGAAGTTTACAGCCCTCGCTCCCACTCTCCCGCATACGTGTTCACCCCCCACAACCCCCACCATCACCATCACCACGATGGTGCTTACAAGGTTAACAGGAAGATTCCCTGCCCAAAGCCCTGCCGATGAGGCTGGCTGTGCTGTCATAATAATAATAATAATAATCCTTGTCACGTCTTGGAGACGTCTCAAAGCGTTTCACAGAATATACTGTAAAGTGAATTCTGTATTTTGTGATCGAGTTTTCCTTTCCCTGGCTCTGCGAAGACCAGGGCTAATTTAACCTCCTACACAACGCACTGAGACCAGCAAATCCAGCACACAAACCATCTCAGGGTCGTGGGTTCATGCCCCACATTGGCTGCTTAGTTGTGGAGACCCGCAGTATAGTGGTTAGTGCACTCACCTCGCAAACGAGAGGACCCGGATTCGATTCCTGGGAGGAACGAAACCTTAGGCAGGTTTCCTTACTCCACAGGCCTCTGTTTACCTAGCAGCAAGTAGGAACTCTGTGTTAGTCGATTGATAAATCCAGGGGTAATATACACTTTTTAAAAATATGTGATCACTCAATCCATGACTTTGTGGGATACTACTGTGCGCAATTGGTTGCCGCGTTTCACCCACAAAAATACACAGCCAATCCACTTCACAATATATGCTGTGAAGCACTTTGAGACGTCTCAATGACGTGATGAGGCGCTATATCAAATGCAAAGATCATTATATTGACAATTTCACATTGCTGATGCAGAAAGCGGTGATTTACTTGCCCTGGAACTGGGAGACTCCACGATTTGTGTGATGAGAGTGAAGGTGGCTGAAGATGGAGTGAGGTCACTGAAGATACAAAGTAAAGTCTACCCGATCATGGAAACCCTGGAGCAAGGAACAGGCAATGAGGTACCTCCTCTCCTCCTTCACGGCTTTGTGACCCTGGCCCACCCTCTCCATTCAGCCTGGCTCAGTGGTAGCCCTGTCGCCTCTTGAGTCAGAAAGTTGTAGGTTCAAGCCCCACATCAGGACCTGGAATCACATTGTCCAAGATGACACTTCAATGCGGTGCTGGAAGTGTTGCATTGTCGGAGGTGCCGTCCTTCGAATGAGACGTTGAGCCGAGGACCCGTTCGCCTGTTCAGGGGGGACATTAAAAAATCCCACAGCACTATTCGAAAAGAGAAGGGAGTTTCTCTCTCCCAATGTCCTGGCCAACAATCCTCTCAATAAAATTGGTCACTTACTCCATGGTTGTTTGTGAGTCACTGCTGTGCGCAATTGGCTGACACGTTTTGCCCACCAAAATACAGTCATTCCACTTTAGAATAATAATCCTTGCATTTGATACAGCGCCTTATCACATCTTCGAGGCGTCTCAAAGCGTTTCACAGAATCTACTGTAAAGTGAGTTGATTATATTTTGTGGGCGAAATGTGGCGCCAATTGCTCACAGCTGTGAACCACAAACAGTCGTGGCTTCAATGACCCAATTTATAATTTTTTTAAAATTTACTTTTGTTTTCAAGGAATTATTACCCCTAGAAAAGTGAACAGCCAATCGACTAACAACTAAGTTGCTACCTACTGCTAGGTAAACAGAGGTGTGTGGAGTAAGGAAACTTGGCCAACGTTTCGCCCTTCCGGGAATGAAACCCAGGTCCTCTGGCGAGTGCTCTAACCACTAAGCTACAGGACTGCACAATATACAATGCACTTTACTGTGAAGTGGTTTGAGACATCTCGATGACATAGTAAGATGCTGTATCAAATGCAAGGATTATTATTATTAGTAGTAGTAGTATTATTCGTGGCCTGCCTGCCAATGGTAGGGCAGGCTCCAGCATGCTTCACCGACCCCGCCTAGTCCATCTGCCTTCAGCCACTCTGCCCCCACCCTCTGGAACTCCATCTCGCAGTCCCTCTGCCTCGCCCCCTCCCTTGCCTCCCTCAAAACCCGTCTCAAGACCCTCCTCTTCAACTGTGCCTTCGATCACCCTCCTTCCCCCACTTGGCCTCCACCCTCCTTGATCTTGACACCCAGCTTGGGTCCAAACCACTGAGTGTCCAGCGCCTTGGGACGTCCTCCCGACATGAAAGGCGCTATACAAGTGGAATTTTGTTGTTGTTGTATTCCTTCTCCAGCTTTTCGACTATGTTGCAGAGTGCCTGGGGGATTTCATGGGGAGTCAAGGCATCAAGGACAAGAGGCTGCCTATGGGCATCTCCTTCCCCTTCCCCTGCAGACATACCAGGCTGGACGAGGTGAGTGGCTCTCATGGTGAGGAGACAAAGAGACAGACCAGAACATCTCAAAAGGAATTAGATGGGAAAGGCCTATTAGAAAGGATTAAAGGGTACCGGGAAGGAGTAGGCAATTGGGAATGGGGTAGACGGCTACACAGGGGGGCGTGACACACACACACTTGCACACTGGGAGAGTGACATACACCCATGTACACACTGGGGGAGTGACACACACACTGGGGATGTTACACACAACTGGGGGCATGACACACACACCCTTACACATGGTCGGGGGGATTTATTGGAAAATTTAAAACATTTCTCCCACCATTCCTTCCTCCTCCCTCCCCTCTCTCTCTCTTCTCCTCCCTCTCTCTTGTTCCCTCCCTCCCACCCTCCTTCCTTCCTTCCTTTCTTCCCTACCTCTCTCTCTCTCCCTCCTTTCCTCCATCCCTCTCTCCCTTCCTCCCTCTTCCTCCCCCCCCTCTCTCTCTCTCTCTCTCTCTCCCTCTCTTCCTCCTTTCTTTCATCCCTCCAACATGAAAGGCGCTATATATATATAACTGTATGATTTGCTATGTTGTGGAGGATTGTTGATGTGTGGCCGTGTGTGTCTCTGTCACAGGGGATTCTTATCTCCTGGACCAAACGTTTCAAGGCTACGGGAGTGCAGGGTGTGAACGTGGTCAATATGTTACGCAAATCTATCGAAAAACAAAAGGTAAAAATCTATCTAAAAGTGATTGCTTTGACCCTTAACATTGGGTTTATTGCCTTGCAATAAATAATAATAATAATAATCCTTGCATTTGATATAGCGCTTTTCACGTCGGGAGGACATCCCAAAGCGCTTCACAGAACACAATGTAAAGTGAATTGACTATATTTGTGGGCGAACGCGGCAGCCAATTGCGCACAGCAATGTCCCACAAAATCTCTGGTTAGGCCACACCTGGTGTTAGTGCTTACAGAACATCCTGTGAAGCGCTTTGGGATGTCTCAACAACAATAGGCACTATATCAAATGCAAGAATTATACCTTCACTACCTTTCCAACCTGCTTTCGACCCCACTCCACTACCCGTTACCTCCAATCAGGTGGCTCTGACCTCCTACTTGTCCGTCGTCCCCTCCGCTCCACCATTGGTGGCCATGCTTTCAGCCGCTATGCCCCGAAGCTCTGAAATTCTCTCTCTCTATCCCTCTGGTCACCCCACCCCCCCAGCTCAGCTTTGTGTTCTGCCACTGTTAAGCGCTCTGAGACGCTGCCCCGTGTGAGGGCGCTACACCAATGCATGTTGTTGTATTGTTAAAATGGCAAGCTGTTTGACTTAATAAGACGCTATAGAAGATACAAGTTCTTTCTTTCTCACCCATCTAGGATTATATGGTGGATGTGCTAGCTCTGGTGAATGACACAGTTGGGGTGATGATGGGTTGTGGATTTGAGGACTCGTTCTGTGAGATTGGCCTGATTATAGGTAATGCTGGGGCAGTAAGTAACTTTGGTTGTCAAAACCTTTTCTTTGGCACAAATTACCAGGGGTCCACAAATTCCTGTTACAAAACAGCAATACGAGCCTACGGAAGAGCTGAAACAAGCTGTCAAGAGATGCATTTTGCTTCCTCACTCCATTCACGTTACAATAGATGTCACAGAAAATGGCGACAGATCATTATCTGCCATGAGACTGATAGCGCTCCCTCACACCGATCCTCCGGACGTCTAAATATAGTTAAACACCTGTACTGAATACAATTAAGTAATGCAATTGCTTCTAAATACAGTTATCATTATTCTTCCACATGTGGAATCCTGTATCTTGGTAGTTAGAACACCAGTTGTTAGTCGATTGGTGGATCGCTTTTCTGGAGGTAATAATCCCTTCAAGAAAAAAAGAAAAATGTGGTCACTCAATCTTGACTGTTTGTGAGTTACTGCTGTGTGCTATTGGCTGCCATGTTTTGCCCCAAAATATACAGCCAATTCACTTTACAGTTTATTCTGTGAAGCAGTTTAAGATGTTATTATTATGATTAAACAGTTCTTTGGGACGTCCTCTCGATGTGAAAGACGCTCTATAACTGTAATTTTGTTGTTGTTGTTGATTCGGTTATTGGTCAGTGCACTGTAGAAAGAAAACGTGGGGGTAACAGCACTTTGTGGACACCCTGTAAAGGGGTGTGACTCAATGGCCCTGGTCTCCCTATAGGTACCGGCACCAATGCTTGCTACATGGAGGAGATGAGCCACATAGACATGATTGAGTCTGACGAAGGGCAAATGTGCATCAACACAGAGTGGGGAGCATTTGGGGACAACGGCACCTTGGAAGACATCCGGACTGAGTTCGATCGGGAGATTGACTCTGGCTCCCTCAATCCCGGGAAACAGCTGTAAGTCCTCACTCTGCTTTCCACTGACATCCTGTAGCATAATGGATAATGTGCTCACCTCGCAAGCCAGAGCACCCGAGTTTGATTTCTAGCAGGGCGAAACCTTAAGCAAGTTTCCTTACTCCACACGCTTCTGTTTACCTAGCAGTAAGTAGGAATCCAGTTGGTTAGTTGATTGGTGGATCACTTTATGGGGATAATAATTTGATCATTGAATCCACGACTGTTTGTGGGACACTGCTATGTGCAATTGGCTGCTACGTTTCACCCACAAAATATAGTCAATTCACTTTATAGAGTATTCTGTGAAGTGCTTTGAGATGTCTTGGGCAGATGTGATAAGGCACTATATCAAATGCAAGGATTATTATTAGTAGTATTATTTGCTCTGCAGGTTTGAAAAGATGATCTCGGGGATGTACATGGGAGAGCTGGTGAGACTTATCCTAGTGAAGTTGGTCCAGAAAGGCATACTCTTCAAAGGTCAGACCACCCCCGAACTCCTCACCAATGGAACCATTGAGACCAAACACATTATTTCCATAGACAAGTAAGATCCTGACCATTTCGGACTTGTCTTAGCTGATGCTTCAATGCAGTGCTGGAAATGTGCGTCCTTCGGATGAGATGTTAGATGTTGGAATGATTCACAAAAGAGAAAGAAGGGCTGATACTGTGTGTGTTGTTGTGACAGTATGACTCCTGATGGGCGGTTTTGCTATGTACTATATATTGTATTCCATGTCATATGTCCCATTCTCTGCAATGTTTTCCTATTCATAATGGGGGTTGTTCCTGTTTAATGAGGATACATGCTCTCTGGGGCAGTTGTTGTATTATAATGATACCAGGGTTTAAAGGGTTAAATTATGAGGACAGGTTGCATAAACTTGGTCTGCATTCCCTTGAGTTTAGAAGGTGGAGGGATAGTCTTATTGAGGTGTTTTAAATGATATAGGGATTTGATAGGGGAGCTACAGAGAAACTATTTCCTCTGGTGTGGGAATCCAGAACAACAACAACAACAAAATTACATTTGTAGAGTGCCTTTCATGTCGGGAGGACATCCCAAAGCATTGGAACAAGGGGGCATCATCTTAAATTAGAGCTAAGCCATTTAGGAATGAAAACAGGAAGCACTTTTCTGCACAAAGGATAATGGAAATCTGGAACTCTTTCCCTCAAAAGGCTGTTGATGCTGGGACAATTGTAATTTTCAAGACTGAGGTGGATAGATGTTTGTTAGGTCAGGGTATCAAGGGATATGGGGCAAAGGTGGGTAAATGAAGTTGAGCACAGGTCAACCATGATCTTATAGAACAGAACAGGCTTAATGGGCTGAATGGCCGACTCCTATTCCTATGTTCCCATAATGTTGATTTCCTGGGTGGGTTAAAACCTTAGACAGGTTTCTTTACTCCACATGCCTCTGGTTACCAAGCAGTATGTAGGAACCCAATTTTTAGTTGTTTGGCGGATCGCCTAAAAACACTCAATAATAATAATAATTTGATCCCTCAAACCACGACTGTTTGTGGGACACTGCTGTGCGCAATTGGCTGCCACATATCGCCCACAAAATACACAGTCAATCCACTTTACGGTATATTCTGTGAAGCGCTTTGAGATGTCTCAACGACGTGATAAGGCGCCGAATCAAATGCCAGGAGTATTACTATTATTATTATGACTATAAACCCTTTGTGTCCAGTACCTTGAGATGTCCTCCTGACATTAAAGGCACTGTATAAATGCAATGTGTTGTTGTTATAATGTTGGGGGCAGTGTTTGTGTGTTGTGTGGATCACTGGTAACAGGAATCCTTGTTTCCCCACTCTCAGACCCAGGGTGGGGCTGTACAATGCCCGGGAGATGCTGAGTGACCTGGGCATGGAGAACGCGTCAGGGGAGGAGTGCCTGGCTTTACAGCACATCTGTGGCGTGGTGTCCCTCCGCTCCGCCAGTCTGTGTGCGGCCACCCTCGGCGCCATCCTCAACCGGCTGAAGGAGAATCGCAAGCAGCCTCAGCTCCGTACCACTGTGGGTGTTGATGGGAACGTTTACAAGAAAAATGTTCAGTAAGTGACCACACACCAGACCATCACTGCCTCGGTTCCTTCCCGTGTATCAACCTGGCGCAGTGGTAGCGTTCTCGCCTCTGAGTCAGAAGGTTGCGGGTTCAAGCCCCACGGTCAAGACTTGGAATTACAGAGACTAAGCTGACGCCCTAATGCAGTGCTGGTGGCGTGTTGCATTGTTGGAGGTGCCAGCCTTTGTGGTCCTGTTCTGCCTGTTCAGGTGGATGTTAAAGATCCCACGGTGCTATTGGAAAAGAGAAGGGAGTTTCTCTCTACTGGTGTCCTGGCCAACAATCCCCCAAAATAAAATTGGTCACTCACTCCCTGACTGTTTGTGGGACACTGCTGTGCCTAACTGGCTGCTGCATTTCACCCACAAAATATACAGTCGATTCACTTTACAATGTATCCCATGAAGCGCTTTGAGACGTCTCAACGATGTGATAATGTGCTACGTCAAATTTAAGGATTATTATTACTATATAGAAACATTATGAAGCTGTGAGCTGCTGTAGGTGTTGCAGGAGCGATATGAGCTCAGGGATGTGGTTGTGTGTGACAGGTACGCCAAGAGGTTACACATGATTGTGCGGCGCCTAGTGCCTAGCTGTGAGGTGAGGTTCCTTCTGTCTGAGGACGGCAGCGGGAAGGGAGCTGCCATCGTGACTGCCGTGGCCTACAGGTAGGAACAAGGAAATAGGAACAGGAGTGGGTCATTCAGCCCCTCGAGCCTGTTCCAACATTCTATTAGATCATCGCTGATCTGTACCTCAACTCCAATTACTTGCCCTTGCCCCCATATCCCTTGACAGCCTGACTAGACTTTTCTCTTCAAACATGCCCACGGTCACTTACCCTGTCTCCCCAGCACAGTATCAAAGCTTGTCACTGTTAACTTAACTTAACGGTCCATCGGCAGGTCTGGCTGGACCTTATCAAATCCTACTGTTCTGCCCTCGCCTCCGCTAAATTGTTGTTCTACTCCAAGACAATCTTGGAGGCCAAGGACAACCCCAGGCTCCTCTTGTCCAACACCAACCGGCTCTTCCACCCACCCTTTCATGCCTCGCCCATCCTCACCTCCAATGCCAACTGCGAGGCAATGCTGGACGTCCTTGAATCCAAAGTTGAGGGAATCCACTCAGCTGCCTTTGCCCTGCCGTCTACTACACCCTCCCCATCTCCCCCCTCCCATCCCGGCCCCTACTCATCCCTCCCTCTACACGTTCAAATCTGTCTCACACTCCTCTCTCACTGCCACTATCTATAACCGGCATGAAACTGACCACATGCTCCCTTGACCCCATCCCTACCCCTCTCCTTACCTCCCAGCTCCACCTCCTTGCCCCCTACTCACAAACATCATAAACCTCTCCCTGTCCACTGGTAATGTTACCACTCCATTAAAACGTCCATCATCACTGCTATCCTTAAAAAACCCTCCCTGGACCCATCTCTACTCTTAAACTACAACCCACATCTCCAACCTCCCTTTCCTCTCCAAGGTCCTGGAACAAGTTGTTGCTTCCCAGCTTTGCTCCTTCCTCTCCTGCCACTCCCTTCACAAACCCCTCCAATCGGGTTTCCATGCCACCCACAGCACAGAAACAGCCCTGGTCAAAGTGACAAATGACATTCTGTCCAACTGCGACCAGGGCTCCCTCTGCCTCCTCGTCCTCCTTGACCTCTCTGGTCAAGGACACCGTCGACCACTTTATCCTCATCCACTGCCTCTCCTCTCACCTCAACCTTCATGGTTCTGTCCTTGACTGGTTCAGATCGTACCTCCACTTCATGTCCAGAAATGGTTTCTCCTTTAGCCCCCACCCCATCTTGTGCGGGATTCCTCAGGGCTCTGTCCTTGGTCTCCTCCTCTTCAATATCTATATGCTCCAGGATGAGGTGACATCATCCTGGATGATCACAAACTTTGCCCACATGGGGTCAACTTCCACATGTATGTAGATGACACCCAACTGTATCTCTCTTCGCCCATCCTTGACTCCAGGACCACTGCTGTGCTGACAGAATGTCTGCCGGACATCAAGTCCTGGATGAGAGCTAATTTTCTTCAGTTGAATGTCAACAAGACCGAGGCTCTCCTGATTGGCTCCTGTGAGCGCCTCCACACCTCAGGCGCTGATAGCATCACCATCCATTGATGTACACTCCAACTTACTAAGCCAGTCTGGAATCTTTGGCATCTTGTTTGACCTCAACTATCCTTTCTACTTCACATTTGTGCCATGAGCTGATCTGCCTTCCCCCACCTCCGCAACATCGCCCGGCTCCGCCACTGTCTGACAACGCAGGCTGCCGAAACTCTCGATGCTTTCATTACATCGTGGCTTGACTATGCAAATTCATTGCTTGTCGGCCTCCCCAACTCCTCCCTCCACAGGCTGCAGATCATCCAGAACTCTGCAGCCCATGTCCTCTCCCGCACCAGGCTCCATGACCCTATCACCCCCATCCTCGCCCATCTTCTCTGGTTTCCAATCACACAGAGGATTGAAGGCCAGCCTTCTGACACTCTGCCCCCACCCTCTGGAACTCCATCCTGCAGTCCCTCTGACTCGCCCCCTCCCTTACCTCTTTCAAAACCCACCTTAAAACCCTCCTCTTCGACCGCGCTTTCGATCACTCTGCTTCCCCCACTGCTCTCCACCCTCCCCGATCCTGTCCCCCAGCTCGGGTCAGAAACTCTGACTGTCCAGCCACTTGGGACATCCTCCCGACATGAAAGGCGCTATACAAATGTAATTTTATTGTTGTTGTTGCTGTTACGCACTCCAAGATGTGAATCCTGGTATGAAGGGCGCTGCAAAATTAAGTTGTTTTTTCTACAAGTTGCCGGAAATAAAATTTTATCGATTAAAATTTTTTTTTTGTTGATTATTAATTGTTTTGAGGAGTACAACTTGGCCGACTTCTTGTCACCAGTACCTGTGCATGTGGTCAGTGATAGGAAGTCATATCAGTGGTCATCCGTTACCTGGAAAGGTCGGCCATTTTTGTGATTGATAAACATTGTGATTGGGGAAAAAAGGGAACAAAAGAGGAATTGAAAAGAATGGTTGACTTTAACCTTTGAAAACCCGATTGAAAACTAAGATTTTTTTAACACATTTTTATCATGCAAAACTTTGTTTTAATACAAATTGTGCAGTCCTGTACTGTGGTAGTTGCAAGTGAGAGGACCTGGGTTTGATTCCTGGGCAGGACAAAACCTCAGGCAAGTTTCCTTACTCCACAAGTTTCTGTTTACCTAGCAGTAAGTAAGGAACCCGGTTGTTAGTTGATTGGCGGATTGCTTTCCAGGGGCTAATAATCCCTCCCCAAAAATAATAAGTAAATAATAATAATTTGGTGACTCAATCCACGACTGTTTATGGGATACTGCTGTCCGTAACTTTGCCCACAAAATACACGGTCAATCCACTTTACAGTATATTCTGTGAAACGCTTTGAGACATCTCAATGACATGATAAGGCGCAATATCAAATGTAAGGATTATGATTACTATTATTATTATTAAATCGCTTTGCCCTGCACCCTGCCCGTAGGCTGGCCAATCAGCGGAAGCAGATCGACCAGCTCCTGGCGGCATTCAAACTGACCAATGACCAGCTGTTGGAGGTGATGAGGAAATTACGGGTGGAGATGGACCGAGGATTAAAGAAAGACACACACGCCTCGGCCACCGTCAGGATGCTGCCCACTTACGTGAAAAGAATCCCCAGTGGAATGGGTAAGAAAAGAACCGAACACTGAAATCAGGTTCCCAGAGGCTGAGGCTCAGACACTGGACTGACTCGTTTTTGTGCCGCTGATTACTCCAACAAAATCATCCGTCCTCATCCCAAATCCCTCTTTCCCCATTCCATCTGTTCCCCTTACACCGCAAGTGGAGTGTCATAGCATTGTCGTTAGAGCACTTGCCGCGCAAGGTTCCCGGGCAGGGCGAAACCTTAGCTAACACGTTTCCTTACTCCACACGCCTCTGTTTAACTAGCAATAAGTAGGAACCCGGTTGTTGGCGGATCACTTTCCGGGGGTAATAATCCCTTTTTAAAAAAAAAACTGTTTGTGGGACGCTGCTGTGCGCCATTGGCTGCTGCATTTTACCCACAAAATACACAGTCACTTACACTTTATAGTATAATCTGTGAAGTGTTTTGAGAAGTATCAAAGACCTGATAAGGCTCTATATCAAATACAAGGACTATTATTGTTGTTATTATTAATAATATAATAGTGACCGAGGGAACCTTGTGTTATAGAGAGTGGGAAGTTCCTGGCCCTGGATCTGGGAAGAACCAGCTTGCGTGTCCTGTTGGTCACCATCCGCAGTGGTAACAAGCGATCAGTCCGAGTGTACAACAAAACCTACATGATCCCAATGCCAGTCATGCAAGGCACAGGGGAAGAGGTGAGTTTGGGATGAGGCGTACTCTAGGCTTGCTCCATTTTTCCCGCCCTGCCTGTTCCACCATTGATGGTCAGTCCTTCAGCCTCACTGCTCCCATCCTTTGGTTCTCCATCACACAGTCCCTTCGCCTTGCTCCCTCCCTTTCTTCCTTCAAGGCAGGCTCAAGATCTCCTCCTCGATCGTGCCTCGGGCCTCCCTCCTACCTCACCCTCCCTGCCCTCCACCCCTCCTGATCCCAACCGTGAGCTCGGGCGCAAATCCTTGACTGTCCAGTGCCTTCTCCTGAAAGATGCTATACAGCTTGAGATCTTTCATGTCCACCTGAATGGGACCTCGGTTTAATGTCTCATCCGAAGGATAACAAGAAAAAGAGTGACACCTCCAACAATGCTCCGCACTGGGGACTCAGCTTAGACTATGAGTTCAAAGGCCTGATGTGGGCATGAAACCACAACCCTTTGACTCAGAGGTGAAAGTGTGAGCGACTGAGCCAAGCTGACACTGATCAGAGTTGTGGCAGCCTGGTTCACGGTTACGTTTAACATCAGCGCCTTGGGTTACTGATGCCTTCCTTTGACCCCTACCCCTCCCCACCCCACCCCCATAACAAGAGGTGCAAACAGGGTTGGGCCTGTGGTCTCCATCTCCCCACTTCAATATCTCCCCACCAGGAATCACTTGCTAACATCCTCCACCTCCAGCCCTCCCTGTCTGCCACCTGCCACGCATAAAGAATGATCATGGATGAGGTAGCAAAAGGCGACCAGCACATGTGGACATTTGCCCCATTGAGGGAGACGTGATTGGAATGCCTTCGGAGAGACAATCAACAATCATAATAATAATCCTTGCATTTGATACTACACCTTATCACGTTGTTGAGATGTCTTCAAAGCGCAGGATTTACTGTAAAGTGGATTGACTATGTATTTTGTGGCCAAAATGTGGCAGCTAATTGAGGGACCACATTTTTTGGATGGGGGGAGGGATTATTACCCAGGGAAAGCAATCTGCCAATCAACTAACAACCAGGTTACTACTTACTGCTAGGTAAAGAGAGGCGTGTAGAGTAAGGAAAGTTGTCTAATGTTTCACCCAGCCCAGGAAACAAACCTGGGTCCTCTCGCTTGTGTGGCGAACATGCTAACCATTGCGCTACAGGTCTCCATAATACTAGGCGGTGTTAATGAGTGTGCTCTGCTCTGTTGCTAGCTCTTTGATTACATCGTGGAGTGTATCGCTACGTTTCTGGAATACATGGGGGTGAAAGGCATCAAGCTTCCCCTCGGGTTCACCTTCCCCTTCCCTTGTGTCCACGTAGAACTGAACAAGGCAAGTCTGCGGGACCATGTAATACAACTACTACTAACATTTGGTGTAAAGCCTTATCACATCGTTGAAACGTCTCAAAGCGCTTCACAGAATATACAGTAAAGTGTCGTCACTGTGTATTTTGTGTGCGAAAATCAGCAGCGCATTGGCACACAGCAGTGCCCAATTTTATTTGAGGGATTCTCAGCCAGGCGACCTTGCACATCCATCTGAACAGGCAGACGGGACTTTGGGGTTAACGCTTCATCTGAACGATGGCACCTCTGACAATGCAACCCCAGGGTGTGCATTGGAGCGTCATCTTAGACTATGTGATTCCAAGTTCTGACGTGGGACTTGAACTCACAACCTCCTGACTCAGAGGCGAGAGCGCTACCACTGAGCCAGGCTGACATACATATCACTTGTTTATTCCATCGGCCAGCAAATTGGGCAAAAATTGGAACCATTTCGTAACCCATTCCTTGTGTACCTTAACTTGAAATAGTCACAAACCTCCTGCCACACCACTCCACCTCGTTGCTCTCCTCTGTTTCTGTGTCTAACACTGGGATCAGCCTTTCTGCTCTCCTCTGCCCTGCCCCAGTGTTAAGTCTGACACATTCCTATATGGGTCTAACTTGTGAATGTTCTGTCTTTAGGCCATTCTTATTAATTGGACCAAAGACATTAAAGCCACAGGTTGTGAAGGCGAGGATATTTCCGTTCTGTTGAAAGAGGCCATAAAAAGGAATGGAGTGAGTAACTCTGCTGAAAGGATTTAATCCCTGGGACCACATGGAATTAGATAGGCACAATTGGAATGGACCGGGAAATTGCAAGTCCATTAGGATTAGAGTAGATGAATTCAGGGCAGTTCCGATGGTGTAGACCAGCGTGATCCATCTGGTGGCCCGTGGGCCACATCTGGCACGCGAACCATTTCCAGCTTCATTATCCAACGAACAAATACAGGCGACACGTATGCCAATCAGGAGACAGTCACCAGGGGCCTCAGGCTCTGCTTGCCACCGGGACTGGCCGATCAAGACAACATATTGTTTATGGGGTCCACGAATGTTTCTCAAATGTGACATCTAGCCCTCAGCAGAAAAAAGGTTGGCCCATAACAGCGACAACTTGAATTTGTATAGTGCCGTTCATGCAAAGTAGCATCCCGGAGCGCTGGTGTGGTGGACAAAATTGCAGTTTATAGACAAGGAGCTCCCCATTTCAAATCCCAGAGCTGAATTTGTATGGGTTATAAATTGCCCTGGGATAGGGAGTAAAAGAGCAGCCAGGGTTCCTGCTTCTGGCCCCTCGGCAGCACCTGGTGTGTGGCAGCCGGGTGGGGGGACGTCAGTTACACTTGGCTGTCACAGTTGATCAGCCGGAGTGTCAGCCTAGACTGTGAGCTCAAAGTCCCCACACAGGGCTTGAACCAACAACCTTCTGAGACAGCGTTGAGAACCAAGGCTGCCGATTGAAAGGTTCAATGTCTGTGGAGATGTGTGGTGTAGGTGTAGCTGTGATGTGCTGTGAGCCCCTATCAGCCTCTGTGTCTGTTTCCAAGGAGTTTGACCTGGACATCGTGGCAATTGTGAACGACTCAGTAGGAACCATGATGACTTGTGCCTACGATTATCCGAAATGCCAAGTGGGAATAATTATAGGTATGTTTTTATGCTGCTTCATCCTTTCTCAGGACCTGTTTCCTCCCCATTCACCTCTTCCTTCTCAGCAGTTCACACTCGCTCTCGTGGCAGGAGAGATACTTAAAAAGAAAAAAAATTTTGCAGGGTTATGGGGTAAGAACAGGGGAGTGGGACGAGTTGGCAGCTCTTTTAAAGAGTTGGCCCAGGCATGATGGGCCGAATGGCCTCCTTTTGTGCTGTATGATTCTATGATTCTATAATTCATGCTGAGAGCAGCTCACACTCACTCACACTTGCTCGTGCTGGGAGCTGTTGACAATACCGTGGTTGTTATTAATGGCAGATAGATACAGAACAGCAATGAAGTTGGACTCATTTAAAAACCTGAGGGATGATGTAATGGGAAGAATGTACGGAGCAAATATAGTTCAATGTAAAACACAATGAGGTAGGATATTGTGGTAAAAAGGAAATGCACCTTAAATGGTAAGACTATCATTGGAGTGAAGGGGCCTTAGTGTGTAGATACCACTTTCTCCTCTTGCCCATCTTCAGATCTTCTTCTATCCTACCTACGGTCACCTCTTCTCTTTCTTGACATTGTTCAGCAATCTGAGACACCGCCCCACATGAAGGCTGCTGTATACATCCAAGTTGTTGTTGGGAATAATGGCATGTAGATCAGGAATAGCAAATGGTTTTGCCTACAAAAACACACAGTCACTACACTTTACAGTACATCCTGTGGAACCCTTTGAGATGTCGCCCTGATGTGAAAGGTACTGCAGTTAATGTAAGGATTATTATTATTATTATTATCCAGAGACACAGAATACAAGACAGGGAGGAAACTGCAACTTTTCCTACATATCTATACCAGACCGAACGAGAAGATTAGACAAAGGAAAAACATACCCTTATTCATTCGCTTTAAGGTTACAGCAAAATGTCATTTAAATAGGTCTCACGGTATAAATGTTAATTTACCTCCATTATAAACAATGTACATGATTAAAACAACATAATAATCAACTTAATAGAATCAAATGCTTAAAATATTAAAATTATTACAAAGATAATAATAATCCTTACATTTGATCAAGTCATTGAGATGTCTCAGAGTGCTTCACAGAATATATAGCAAAGTGAATTGACTGTGTATTTTGTGGGCAAAATATATAGTTCATATTGGCAAAGCTCAGCAAAAGCATACATATGCTAAGAACAACTCGCCCAGGATGCTTCACCCATGATATAAATTGATTCTATGCTGTATGTCTTGTGCCATAGGGACTGGCATTAATGCATGTTACATGGAAGACTTGAAAAACATAGAAATCGTGGATGAAAACAAGGGAAAAATGTGTATCAATACCGAATTAGGAGCATTTGGGGACAATGGGTGTATCGATGACATTCGCACAAAGTTTGATGACAAGGTGGATAAAAAATCCATTAATCCTGGGAAGCAAAAGTGAGTAAATGACTTCTTAGAAACTCCTATTTGGGTATTAATATTGCTATCAATATTAATCCTTGCGTTTGATACAATGCCTTTAGCACTGAGATGTCTCAAATTGCTTCCCAGAATATACTGTGAAGTGAACTATTTGTGGGCAAAATGCAAGGATTATTATGATTAATAGTGTCCTGGGGAGAGATTCAAACATTTTTAAGAGAGAGGGGGAAACATTGACCATAAAAAACAGCTAGACTGTGCTTTACATTGTAAGGATATTTGAAAATCTGACACACGGGGAAACCCATCGCCACAAAGCTGGATTGCTGAGTGCTGGAAATGTGCAGTTTCCCTGTGTCTGGGATGGAGGATGCACACTCTCTCTCTCTTTCTTTGGAGCAACGCACTCCTGTTCACCGCATACCAAATAATAGGAGGGTTGGGGAGGTGGCGGGCGGGGGAGAGGACAGTAGAGAGGGTTGGAAAATGGTAGGGTTGGTCGAGAGGAAGGTAGGGTGGATGTTCTGTAAAAATGAGATCAAATGGATGAAAGGTCCTTCTTCACCCAAACCGATCTTGTGACCTTGCTGATCTCTATGATTTTGTGTTCTTGTGATCATTGTGATCTTGCGATGTATTAAGCGTGGGTTGGCAGGAGCTAAGGCTTGGGAATTTCACAACAACTTGCATTTATATCGTTCCCTTCATGCGGGGCAGCGTCTCGGAGCACTTAAGTGGCTAAAATTTGCCATTTGCAAGCTGTCGCATGAACGCAACTGATTTCATCTGTGTTTGTGTTACCAGGTTTGAGAAAATGATCAGTGGGATGTATTTGGGTGAAATTGTTCGGGAAGTTCTCATCAACATGACGAAGCAGGGGCTGCTGTTCCGGGACAGGTCCTCCCAGTCTCTCTACACAAAGGGCATATTCGAAACCAATTTTTTATCCAAGATAGAGACGTATGTGAGCTGGTTTATTGTTTCGCTCCCTCACCCTGTCGCTCGTTCCTCCTACCATCTTGACAACCTTCGAATCAGCCTGGCTCAGTGGTAGCGATCTCGTCTCTGAGTCAGAAAGTGTGAGTTCAAGCCCCATGGCAGGACTTGGAATCACATAGTCTAAGCTGATGCTCTAGTGCGGTGCTGGGGGGTGTGTTGCATTGTCAGAGGTGCCGTCCTTCGGATGAGACGTTAAACAGAGTCCTGTCTGCCTGTTCAGGCGGACGTTAAAGATCCCATGGCACTATTCAAAAAGAGAAGAGAGGTTTCTCTCTCCCAGTGTCCTGACCAACAATCCCCCAAATAAAAATCAGTCACTCACTTCATGGCTGTTCATGGGACATTGCTGTGTGCAAACTAGCTGCTGCATTTCGCCCACAGTATACACAGTCAAATCCACTTTGCAATATATCCTGAGAAGAGCTTTGAAGACTTCTCAATGACTTGATAAGATGCCTGGCACACACAGAAACCCATCACCATACTTAAGAGTATCCAAACCAAACTGAGAATTCCACGCATTGCAGATGCAATGAGCCAGGCTGCACTGGGCTGCCATCAGCAGTGCCCTGGAATACTGCAGATCCGCCTGGCTCAGGAACTGGACTTGAGGCTCGAACAGAAGGTGGACTCGATCCCGAGATTCCGTTGTCAAACATATCACCTTGGAGCCAGTTCAGTTCAGTTCAGCTCCAAGGAGACCCCCACTTATGCAGGGCACCCTGTCAAATGCAAGCATTATTATTATTATGTTCCTGACTTGTTGCTCTCCTGTTTGGCAGTGACCAGCTGCTCCAGGTAAGAGGCATTCTGCGGCAGATAGGTCTAGACAGCACGTGTGATGATAGTGTTATTGTGAAGAAGGTGTGTGAGGTGCTGGTACACCGGGCAGCACAGCTGTGCGGGACAGGAGTGGCTGCTGTGGTGGAGAAGATCAGGGAGAACAGTCACCAGAACCAACTGGAGGTGACCGTGGGGGTGGAGGGATCCCTCTACAGCTCCCACCCGAAGTGAGTACTCACACATGTCCCCAGGCTCCTCGGTGGGAAAGCTTTGGCAGGATTGGGAGATGTTGAATCTTTCCAGTAACCTATTGTGCATTCCCGAACCTGCGTTCCTCCAGGCTTGCTCTGGTGATACCATTACCGGCAAGGTTCAGACATCAACGGGGAGTGAACGAGTGTCTAACACTAAAGCCTCACTGGGAGGCTAAATGAGCGTGTCAGCAAGCGTGTGAGCACGTAAAGCAAGCGTGTAAAGTGCGCATGTAAGCGTGCGTGTAATCAAGTGTGTAAGTGAGCATGTGTAAATGAGAGTGTGCAAGTGAGTGTTAAGTGAGAGTGTAAATGAGTATGTAATCAAGGGTATAAGAGAGCATGCAATCGAGGGTGTAAGCGAGCATGAGTGTTAAAGGACAGTTGAGGGTCAGGCGTGCTGGCACACATGCCTATTGACTGGAATCTCCGCTTGTGTCCTCAGTTTCAGGCAGATCCTGGAGAGTACGGTGAAAGAAATCGCCCCCAACTGCAGGGTGACCTTCAGGCTGACCGAGGACGGCAGCGGCAAGGGGGTGGCGCTGATCGCTGCCATGGCAGGAGAGCAGTGACTTGACCACGTCTCATCATCATGCACCACCTCCCCCCTTCCTTTCCACACTTCTCATTCCACACACGCTCCCCCCCCTTGTGCCACTAGCCACCTCTGTGCAGTTGAATTGCACCTATTCAACTGATACAATTCTGCCCAACTGTCCCCTTCCCCCCCCACCCTCACTGCTCGTCCCACCCCCACCACCACTGCTTGTCCCCACCATGTCCACCGTCCAATCCCGCTGCCAGTAGGTGTCTACGAGAAGAGGAAGCCATGTGCTTTACGTGAAAATTGTATGTATCTAAATCAATAAAATGCCAATTCTTGGCGTAATGTAAACCTTCTCTAGAGAGGTTTCTGTTCTGTAACGGTCTTTAGCTCGGTTCCTGAGCCAGGAGGTTCCGCAGTATTCCAGTGCACTGCTGATGACAGCACAGCTCAGTCTGGCTCATCGGCAGGACTTGGAAGGGCAGACCGCTCACTGGGGAATTGTAGTCACTGCACTTTACATACAGTAAATCCTGTGAAACACTTTGGAATGTTCTCCTGACGTGAAAGATGCTATACCAAATGTAAGGATTATTAGCACTAACATTGCTTCCCTTTCTATCTTCAAAACTCTTAAAACCCTACTTCTTTTGGAGCTGACTTTGGTCAGCTCTCCCTCTTTCCTCCTCTGGGTTCGATTGCCGAGCATGGAGACACTTAAGGCAAGTTTCCTTACTCCATACACCTCTGTTTACCCAGCAGTAGGTAGGAACCCGGTTGTTAGTTGCTTTGGCGGATCGTGTTTCTGGGGGTAATAATCTCGCCAAAATAATAATAATAATCAATCCATAATTGTTTGTGGGACACTGCTGTGTGCCATTGGTTGCAGTTCTTCGCCCACAAAATACAGTCAATTCATTTTACAATATATTTTGTGAAACCCTTTGAGACGTCTCAACGACACGATAAGCTGCTATATGGAGTCCTGTAGCTCAGTGGTTAGAGCACTCGCTTTGCAAGTGAGAGACCTGAGTTCAATTCCAGGCAGAGGGCGAAACCTTGGGCAAGTTTCCTTACTCCACACAGAGTCTAATAGTAATCCCTCCAAAACCAAAAACAATAATAAATTGGTCATTTTCAATCTACGACTCTTTGTGGGACATTGCTGTGCGCAATTGGCTGCTGCGTTCGCCCACAAATATACAGTCAATTCACTTTACAGAGTGTTCTGTGAAGCGCTTTGGGATGTCCTCCTGACATGAAAACCGCTATATCAAATGCAAGGATTATTATTATTATTATTATTATATCAAATTCAAGGATTATTATTATTATTATAGTGACTGTGAGTTGGGTTTACACCATCCTAAGACAGGTTAGTTGTATTCTACTGTACAGGGTGTTCACAAAGTCCTATTACGCCCATGTTTTTTTCTGCAGGGCACTGACCAACAATTGAAACATGTGGAAGAATAATGATAAATGTATTTAGAAATACTTAATTATATTCACGACAAATGTTTAACTGTATTTGAGGATTGCCATTTTCATGGCAGATAATGATCCGTTGCCGTGTTGGGTGCCATATCTTCCGTAATATGGAGCCAGTGAGGAGGAGGTTACTGCTACCAGGTCTTGTTACTCGCTCATCTGCAACAGAATAAAATAATTAATTGTAAGAAAAAAAACGGAGGATGACAGGACTTTGTGTATTCCCTACTTCCTAGAGAATACGAATGATTCCTTACAAAACCCAGAGGGCAAAGGTTGACTATTTGTACTCCTGCTATTTGGCTCTGAGCCAAATGCAGCAGTTACTATTCCACAATCAGAAGCCCACATTGTTAAATAAAGGTGCAGGAATCCACACATTCCAGTTATTTCTCAACAAAGGCTCACATTGGTGTCACTTACAGCCCTCGTTCCTGCCACTGATAGTACAGCCCCATCCCCCAGCTCTCTCTCCCTCCTCCTCCACTCCCAGTATCCACCTCAACAATCTTCCACATTAATCAGTTATTCATCTCCTGCCTGGCATCCTACAAACATTTGGCTGCCTCGGTCAGGCTCACTCTCAAATCATTCTTTTTTTGGCCAGCCGGGTGTCTGACATATGTGGAACCCTTCAGTATGCAACAACATCAGTCAACTTGCATTTATCCAAACTAAACTGAGAATTCTCTGCATCCCACCTACACATGGAAATCCCAGAGATAGATTATTGGAATGCAATGCGTACTCTCTCCCCGGAGGGACGCCTCCTGCTTACCTATTCCGGAGAGCATTAGGTTGGCAAGAGCCAAGGATTGGGGATCCCAGAGTTTGCATTGGGATAACTGTTGGAGCCTAACCAGAGCTGGGCGCAGACAACAACAACAACAACAAGATTACATTTGTATAGCGCCTTTCACGTCGGGAGGACATCCCAAGGCACTGGACAGAGTACAGCATTTCAGACCCAAGATGGGGTTGGGGGGTGAAGGGAGGGGAAGGGGGATGGCTGATGGCATGGTTGAAGAGGAGGGTCTTTCCAGAAGTTGGGGGCAGAGTGGCTGAAGGCTCTCCCATCAATGGTGGGGCGGGTGGGTCGGGGGACGTGCAGCAGGCCGGAACCGGCTGAGCGGAGGGAACAGGTGGGTTGATAGTGGGTTAGGAGGTCGCAGAGGTAGGGTGGGGTGAGGCCATGGAGGGCTTTGTAGGTGAGGACCAGGATCTTGAACTGGATCCTCTGAAGGATAGGGAGCCAATGGAGCCGGGCGAGAGTGGGAGAGATGGGTTCACGGAGTTTGGTGCGGGAGAGGACACAGGTTGCAGAGTTCTGGATTATCTGCAGCCTGTGGAGGGAGGAGTTGGGAAGGCCGACAAGCGGGGCGTTTGCATAGTTGACCCTGGAGGTGATGAAGGCATGGACAAGAGTTTCAGTGGCCTGAGGGGTGAGGTAGTGGCGGAGTCGGGCGATGTTACGGAGGTGAGGGAAGGCAGAGCAGGTCATGGCTTGAATGTGGGGGAGAAAAAGACACCTAGGTTCCTGACTGGCTTGGTGAGATGAAGTGTGCAACCATGGAGGTTGATGTTGCCAGAACCAATCAGGAAGGCCTCAGTCTTGTTTACATTCAACTGTAGGAAATTAGCCCTCATCCAGGACTTGATGTCCGTCCGACAGGCAGTCTGTCAGGACAGCAGTGGTCCTGGAGTTGAGAGTGGAGGCAGACACAAGCAGTGAGAGGTCTATGGTTGAAGGCTTGGATGACGACAGTGGAGTGAGAAGAGAAACAGAAGTAGAGTGGCCGGGAGAGAGTTTAAGGCCGGTGGACAGGAGGTAACCAGGCGAAGTGGCGTTGGGGCAAATTGAGCTGTTCCGGTGCTAGGTCAGTGCGGGAGCGGGGTCAGTGTGAGAGGTGAGTAGTGGCAGCGAGGGCTCCAGGAGCCAGGTCGGTGGGAGCCGGCAGATAATGCCAAGGATGGCAGGTACCGATAGACAAGGCCAAGGTCTCGGGGGCCGAGTGGCGGCCATTAATGGGTTCCGGTGGACCCAGGCACTGGCAGCATCAGCATCCACGGTTGCACACTCCACCTTAGCCAGTCAGAAACCTGGATGTCTTGGTTGACCCTTAACGGTCCTTTCTCCCCCATATCAGTGCCATGACCCATTCTGCTCTCCCCCACATCCGCAACATTGCCCGACTCTGCCACTGCCTCACCTCCCAGGTCGCCGAAACCCTCATACACTCATTTGTCACCTCAAGGCTCAACTCCGGAAACTCCCTCCTTGTCGGTCTCCCCAAGTCTTCCCCTCCACAAGCTGCAGATCATCCAGAACCCTGCAGTTCGTGTCCTCTCCTGCACCAGGCTCCATGACCCCTACCCTCGTCCGGCTCCACTGGCTCCCCATCCCTCAAAGGATCGAGTTCAAAATCCTCATCTTCACTTTCAAGGCCCTCCAAGGCTTTATCGCCTCCTACATCTCTGACCTGCTGACCCTCTATCAACCTGTCTGCTCCCTCCACTCAGCAGGCTCCGGCCTGCTTCAGGTCTCCTGCCCAACCATTGACGGACGGGCATTCATCCTCTCTGCCCCCACTCTTCGGAACTCCATCCCACAATCCCTGCGCCTTGCTCCCTCTTTTGCCTCCTTCAAGGCGCGACTTAAGACACTCCTTTTTGACCGTGCCTTCAGCCACCCTCCTACCCCCTCTTCCCTTCCTCATCCCAACTCTGCCCCCCCACCCTCGGGTCCTGATCCCCGACTGTTCAGCGGCATGGGGCATTCTCCCGACGTGAAAGGCGCTTTAAAATGTAATATTGTTGTTGTTGTAAACAACGGAGCTTGCCATTGATAGCACTGTCTGGCAAGTTTTCTCACTGCTTGTCCAGCTAGGATGACCCTACCCATTAGAGCTTTGGCTTGCAGGGTTAACAGGAGCTGAGTCAGAGGATTCCCTGCCCCCAAATGATCTACCAAAGAGGCGCTATGCCAGACTGTGTGATTTACACTGAGGGCTATAAATAGTCTTCTATCGACCTCTTTTAGAATGCGATTTGAGATTACGAAGAGAGAGTGAACAGATGATTACTTTTAGGGCTGTGTATGATATTTAGAGTACTCGAGTGCTATGTCAGACTAATTGTCTTTGAAGCAGCACAGCCAAGCTTGGACCTGGGGTGCGGACTGAGTAATTGAGAGAACATTGTGGCTGGGGCCTCGGTTGATGGATTGACAGCCCTCTCTATCACTGTGGGAACAAAGAAAGGGAGGAGATTTATATCAGCCCAAGGACATAACATCCAAAACTCTCTCTCTCTCCTCTCTCTCTCTCTCTCTCTCTCAGTATGGCGGACAATATAACCCGCAAATCTCTGGAAATCTGGCCCCAAACCAGCCGCTCTGGGGATTAGCTTGTTTTGGTTCAGCCGGGAGTCTGCCAATCTATTGAGAGTTTCACATCTGTCTGTTGCCCGTATACAATTTAAGGTTGTTTCAGGTACAAGTGGATTTGTTGTTTGGTTTGACCCAAGCGGAAACCCATCAACATGTTTGAGAGTATCCAAACCAAGATGAGAATTCCGTGCATCCCACCTACACATGGAAATTCCAGAGATTCCAGAGAATGGAATGCACAATCTCTCCCTCAAGGGACGCACTCTGCTTACCTAATCACAGAAAGTATTAGGCTTGGGGACCTCATTAGAATCTAATGAGCTAAACCTTGCCATTGCTAGACAAAGATGGGTTGCATGTGTAGGTGGCATACATTTGTCAATACTCTTAAGCACAGTGATGGGTTTCCACATGTATCATCCGACCAAAGAAACATTGTCTGGAATGGAACCCGCACTCTCTCTCCTCGCAGGGGAATGCATGATGCTCACCTAATTCCGGAGAGTACAACAACTTGCAATTATATAGCACCCTTTATGAGTCCTGGAGGGCTTAGGGGATCTCAGAGTGTGCATTGGAGTGACTCCTGGAGTCTGACCAACTAAAACCATGTAGCTTGCCATTGATATTGCTGTCTGACAAGCTTTCCCGCCCTGCTTGTCGGCCTTCCCAACTCCTCCCTGCACAGGCTGCAGATAATCCAGAATTCTGCAGCCCGTGTCCTCTTCCGCACCAAACTCCAGGACCCCATCTCCCTCATTCTCATCCAACTCCATAGGCTCCCTATCCTTCAGAGGATCTAGTTCAAGATCCTGGTCCTCACCTACAAAGCCCTCCAAGGCCTCGCCCCACCTTACCTCTGCGACGTCCCAAACCCGCTCCCTCCGCTCAGCCGGCTCTGGCCTGCTCCACATCCCCCGACTCACGCGCCCCACCATTGGCGAGAGAGTCTTCAGCCACTCTGCCCCCAACCTCTGGAATTCCATCCCGCAGTCACTCCGCCTCGGCCCCCTCCTTAGCCTCCTTCAAGTCCAAGCTCAAGACCCTCCTCTTCGACCATGCCAACGGCCGCCCCCCTTCCCCTCCCCTCCCTTCTCCCTCCCTGCTTGGGTCTGAAATGCTGTACACTGTCCAATGCCTTGGGACAGTGAAAGGCGCTATACAAATGTAATCTTGTTGTTGCTGTTGTTGTTGTTGTTGTACACACATTCATAACATCCTGGCTCGACTATGCAAACTCCCTGCTTGTTGGCCTCCCCAACTCCCCGACTTAAAGCATTTCCTGTTACTTTGTGCCTCCACCACTCAATAAATGAGCAGTGTGGCTACATGCGGGCAATTAACGTTGGCAACAGAGGAGTGACTCTGAAACCGTCATACGTGATTTCATTACATCGAACCTTGACTATGTAAACTCACTGCTTGTCAGCCTCCGCAATTCCTCCCTTCATAGGCTGCAAATCATTCAGCCCATGTCCTCTCCCGCACCAGGCTCCATGACCCTCTCACTTGCATGTTTGTCCAACTCCAATGGCTTCCCATCACACAGAGGATACAGTTCAAGAACCTGGTCCTCACCTTCAAACCCCTCCATGGCCTTGCCCCCCTCTACCTCTGTGACATCCTAACCACCTACCAATCCTGCTCGCTCCCTCCACTCAGCGGACCACACCTCGCACACACTCTACCTCGCATACCCCACCGTTGGCGGGCAGGCCTTCAGCCACTCTGGAACTCCACCCGCAGTCCCTCCGCCTTGCACCCACCCCCTTGCCTCCCTCAAGACCTGTCTTTTCGATCACCCTCCTTCCCCCCCTGCCCTCCACCCTTCCTAATCCCGACCGCCAGTTCAGTTCCAAAACACTGATTGTCCAACACCTTGAGAAGTCCTCCTGATGTGAAAGGCGCTGCACAAATGTAATTCTGTTGTTGCTGTTGTTGTTGTCCAGCTAGGATCGCCCTACCCATTAGAGCTTTGGCTTTCAGGGTTAACAGGAGCTGAGTGGGAGGATTCCCTGCTCCCAGTGACTGGTCTGCCCTTCCAGGTCCTGCCAGTGAGCTGTGCTGTCATCAGCAGTGTCCTGGAATACCTCAGATCTGCCTGGCTCAGGAGCTGGATTAGAGACCACCCCAGAGGGTTGACTCGATTCCGACATTCCGTTGCCAAACAAGTCACCTTAGAGCCAGTTCAGCTCCAGGGAGACCTCCACCCCAATGAGGATAGTCACGAGTTGGTCAGTTTATGTTGTTGCTGTTGTATTTTATATCCGACAAGTGCAGATTTGAGCTCTCACTCGGTGTATGATAGGTACCAGGAAATCGGTTATTTGTCAAATGGAGGATCGCTTTTCTGGGGATAATAATGCAAAATAATAATTTGGTCACTTCAATCCACGACTGTTTGTGGGACGCTGCTGTGTGCAATTGGTTGCTGCGTTTTGCCCACAAAATATACAGTCAACTCACTTTACAGGATATTCTGTGAGTCGCTTTGAGACGTCTTGAAGACATGATAAGGTGCTATATCGAATGCAAGGATCATTATTATATTATTATAGATGAACTGTGTTACTATCATTGTTTGTGTCTAAGAAATGAACGGTGTGATTGCTAGGGCAGGTTATGAGGTTCGGGGGCTGTGTGTGTGTGGGCGTGTGTGGTGTGTGAGTCTGTCTGTCCGTGAGCTGGAATGACAGAGACATAGGGAACGTGCGCTGTTGCACTGAGCTCTGCAGCCCAGTTCCTGGCTCTGATGGCTTCTCAGTAGCCACTCAGGGCTCAAGAGTTGGGTTTCTTCCCTTATGCAGCAAAAGGTCTCTCTGTAGATGGCCAATTACCAGGCAGGAAGTGGGCTGGTGCTTACAGAGTGAGAGAGAGAGAGTGTGTGTGTATGAGTGAGTGTGTAGCCATTGACTACACAGGAAGGCTGGCAAGTGTATCTCACAGCTCTGCGGGATCTGAGACTGAAGGATCTTAGACTTTTAGTCTGTGTGTGTGTGTGAGAGAGAGAGAGAGAGGAAATTTAGAGCAAGCACACATCACACTGTCTGCGGTGGAGGGAAAAGAAAGGAAAGGGTGTGGGTTTTGTGCAAAGGGCTCTTTATCACTCTCTCAATCAGTCCTTTGTGAATTCCAGGCAAGATGATAGCTGCGCAGCTCCTGGCCTATTACTTCACGGAATTAAAGGATGATCAAGTGAAAAAGGTAAGTGTGAAACTGCATTGCTATATCTCGTCTGGAAGACGTGAAAAGCGCTATATCAAATGCAAGGATTATTATCTCCTGTCTGTCTGTCTCTCTCTCTCTCACACACACACACACAGATGCATCCTGCCTCCTGCTCGTAGGCACATCACTGGGCACAGGGTCGGTCTGCAAGGCGCAGTTACAGCTGATGGCTGTTGGATGGTCCACTGTTAGTGGCCAGGGTTCAGTGTTTGGGTGAAGCTGGAGGAAAAACTGCACCAACCTCTCTCTCTCTCTGCCCTGCGTAGATAACGAATGCATCCTGCAAACGATGTTGCAATGGCTTCCTTCTTCTCACTGCAATGTCCTTGAAATCAGCTGTGGTGACATTCCTCTATGGTGTGTGTGTGTGTGTAATCAGTGTACAATATCCCACACAATTCTCCCTCTCCCACCCACCAGGTCTATCTATCTTTTAACCCCCACCCATTTCTTCCTCGGGTTTAGAAGCTATCGATTTTGACCATCTGGGGCAGGATTTTAAGGCTGCATTTGAATAAGAGTAACAATCTTGCATTTGATCCTTATCACGTTGTCGAGACGACTTAAAGCGATTCACAGGATATACTGTAAAGATTGACTGTGTGTTTTGTGGGTGAAAATTTATAAACATCCCTTGTAAAACACAGCAGGTCACAGCGCGCTAGGCATTGCCGGGTTTAAATCCCTTTATAATGAGTGTTATTATTGGATTATTTAATCCAAGCAAATCTAAGCGGTTCTCGGTGTAGGGAGAGGTTGGCGTGATGGTTTCTCTCCCTTTGGTAAGGTCCGCTGGGAGTAAATGGCGCGGTGCATCAGTGTTTATCAGTGAATTGTTGGCAATGTTAGCACGGCCCTGCCCGGGCCTGTGCGGAATGTTTGGCTGGTTTAAATGGACGGAGTTGGTTCCTGGACGATGTGTGTAACGACTTCGGTGCAGGGGTTAAAGTGGTTTAAAATCAACAGCAGAAAATGAGTGAAAGACATGTTCTCTGCGTATTCGGTAACTAAGCTACCCTGGGGTAGGGGGTGGGGGCCGACTGTCTCCATTGCCCTCCAGCTGGGCTCGCAATTGTCCTCTGACTAGGTCACGCTCCCCTCCCCCACCCCATCCACTCCGAGGCCCCACAGGGAACATTTATGTTAATGTAATTCCTTTTTTTGTTCAGGTAATTAACCCCGGGTTTCAGACATTCCTGCGTGCTGGGTTTGTGGCTGGGATGTAATGGGCACAGGCATATCGCAAAGCTGGTCCCCTGGGATTATAATAGCAATAATAATCCTTTGCATTTGATATAGGGTCTTTATCATGTGTCGAGACGTCTCAAAGTGCTTCACGGGTGTGTAAAGGGCAGTGAGTGTGTGTTTTGTGGGTGAAACGCGGCAGACAGTTTGCAGTGTCCCACAAGCAGTCGTGGAGTCAGTTACCAACTTTATTAATAATAATAATCCTTGAATTTGATATAGCACCTTATCATATTGTTGAGACGTCTCAAAGCGCCTCACAGAATTATTTTGGGGGCTTGTCAGCCAGGACACCAGGAGAGAGAAACTCCCTTCTCTTTTCGATTAGTACCATGGGATCTCTAACGTCCACCTGAACAAGCAAACGGGACCTCAGTTTAATGTCTCATTCCTTCTTCTCACTGCAATGTCCTTGAAATCAGCTGTGGTGACATTCCTCTATGGTGTGTGTGTGTGTACACACACTTGTAATCAGTGTACAATATCGCACACAATTCTCTCTCTCCCACCCACCAGGTCTATCTTATCTTTTAACCCCCACCCATTTCTTCCTCGGGTTTAGAAGCTATCGACTTTGACAATCTGGGGCAGGATTTTAAGGCTGCATTTGAATAAGGGTAACAATCCTTGCATTTGATCCTTATCACGTTGTCGAGACGACTTAAAGCGATTCACAGGATGCATTGGAGTGTCAGCTTAGACTGTGTGATTCCAGGTCCCGACATCGGGCTTGAGCCCCACGATCATCTGACTCGGAGACGAGTCAGGCTGACACACAAAAAGGGAACAGGAGGAAAATGGTTGCTTTGACTTGGGCTTCATTGATTCCCTTGCCCATATCAGCCCATTCACGTGTCAGCCCGACAGTGAGCATCAGATCACAGGCCCAACCCTGGCCTCATCCCATATCTGTATCTTCCACTACCTAGGGAGGAGAGGGGGTGCTTATTGGGGCAGTGGCTTTGTCTGATGTTGTTTCCCCCAACCCCTCTGGCCTGGTAACCTAGGAACTGCTGTAACCCTGACCCCTGCTCCCGACTGAGATCAGGAACTCGGCACTTAGCTGGTGTGCCTCGCTCACTGAATATGCGAGACGCCTCGATGTGACTATTTGTGGACTTTTATCACCTAAGCCTCATTCAGCTGTTTGCTGTTGTAATCGGCGAGTGTGTGTTCAGATAAACGCTGTGTTCACGATGGATATAATGAGCCAGGTGCAGCGTGGAGACTCAATCCCTCCGCTGCTACCTGTGCTTCCTTTACCTGTCGGCGTTTGCGTGTGTGTCAGTCCGTCACCGTTACCGAAGGCTGTTCGGGAACGCACGTTTGTACATTCAGCGCCTGGAATCCACCTTGATTAGCCTGCGGCGAGGTGGGGGCAGAAAGGCTGAACGCCCGACCGCCCATGGTGGAGCAGGCAGGGCAGGGGTTATGGACAAAACACACAGTCGCTCCACTTTACAATATATTCAGTGAAGCACTTTGAGACGTCTCAACGACGTAATAAGGCGCTATATCAAATGAAGGATTATTGTTAGCATTATTGGTCAGCAATTCCCTTTAAAGCATTCCTCTTTCATTACAGTTGCTCTGTTAAATACAGGTATTATTAAGCATGATTTTGCAAGGAGGAGAGGTATGCGTCCAAACATCGACCAGTGGAAATGTGTGTGAATGAATTTGCTAGCCTAGTGACGCACATGCTGGGGATCTGAACCTGCGCATCACCCTCGCCGAGTGGATTAACGCAGACCGGGTGGGGGGGAGAGGTGGAGGGGGAGTGAAATCCAATAAAAGAATCCTTCTAGAATGTCAGCGTGGAGCGTAGCAACGATCGCCAGGTTCATCTTCCTGACTGCTGAGTCTCTGATCTCGGTGGCTGAGAGCCTTTGCTGTGCCCTGGGGTGTGAATAGCACACAGTGTGTCTCAGACTGAGCTGCTGATGGGGACTGAGAGGTGTGGGCAGTGTCGGTGTAGAGGACACAGTGCCCTTGGCTGCCATTACCCGAGGCACCCAGACAGGCTGACAGCGAACTCTCACTGTTTCAATGGAATTTAATTTCTATTTTGTTTCCGTTCCCTTGGGAAAGGGTCTGATGTGCCTGTGTATGTGTGTTTGTGTATTGTGTGTGTTTATGTCTATGTATGTGTTCTGTGTGTGTGTCTGTGCCTTTTTGTTTCTGTGTGTGTGTTGTGTGTGTGTGTGATTGTCTGTCTGTGTCTTTGTGTGTGTGTCCTTGTGTTTGTCTCTTTGTCTGTCTGTGGTGTTTGTGTGTCTGTGTGAGTGTGTGGGGTGGGGGTGGAGGGAGCCTCCTCATTTTGACTGATGTGGATAAAGAGAGATTGCTGTTTGTGACAGTGAGAACCTCAAGGGCTACGTTCGTGGAGCGGGCAGAGCTGGGGACACTTTACAATATATTCTGTGAAGCACTTTGAGACAACAGCAACAACTTGCATTTATATAGCGCCCTTCACGCAGTCCTGGAGACGTCCCAATGATGTGATATGGCGCTATACCAAATGCAAGGATTATTATTATTATCAGCACACGCTCACGCAGGTCTCAAACCTGCAACCTCCCGACAGTCGAGAGGTTTACGATGACTCAGGCCATTAGGGAAACACAACTGAGCTTTTCTCTATAAGATGACTTGTTCATTTATTTATAGAGAGACTGCATCTCCGCACTGACCGTAGAGAGACAGACAGGGTGTGTATCTGATTCCGCACATTACGCACTGAGAAACAGTGTCTACACAACTCTGAGAGACATTCTATTTTTGATCAGCCTGGAGGGTGTCTTAACACACACGTAATCCCATCGCTGTGCTTAAGCGTCTCCAAACCAAATTGAGAGTTCCATGTATGTCACCTACACAAGGAAATTTCTGTGTCTGGAATGGAATGCGCACTCTCTCCCTAGAGGGACACTCTCTGCTTACCTCATACCGGAACGTATTAGGCGCAGGGGTACCTTCTGGAGTCTAACTGGCTAAAAACAGGGGGCTCGGCTTGCAGGGTTAACATGAGCCGAGTGGGAGGATTCCCTGCCCCCAAGTAACTGGTCTGCCCTTCCAAGAGAAGCCTATGAGCCAGGCTGAGCTGTGCTGTCATCAGCAGAGCCTTGGAATACTGCCGACCCGCCGGACTCAGGGACCAGACAAGAGACCGTCACAGAGGGTAGGTTTGTTTCCGACGTTCCGTTGCCAAATATATCACCTTGGAGCCAGTTCAGCTGGATATACAAACGGATGTTCCCGAACTCAAGCTCACAGGTAACGCCCTCCAGCAGCTGTTAACTGAAGCCTCAGAGTTCCCTGATCAGCTATTCTATAATAATAATAATAATCCTTGCATTTGATGCAGCGCTTTTCACGTCTTCTAGACTTCTCAAAGCGCTTCACAGAATATGCTGTAAAGTGAATTAATCGTATATTTGTGGGCGAAATGGCAGCCAATTGCACACAGCAATGTCCCACAAACAGTCGTGGATTGAAAATGACCAATTTATTATTGTTTTTGGTTTTGTAGGGATTATTATTAGGTGTGTGGAGTAAGGAAACTTGCCCAAGGTTTCACCCTCTGCCTGGAATTGAACTCAGGTCTCTCGCTTGCAAGGGAGTGCTCTAACCACTGAGCTACAGGACTTCTGTGGCATTTGCCTTCACTACAGAGACATAGAGAGTGTGTGTGACTCCACACAGTGACAGAGACAGTGTGTGTGCGTGTGTGACTGAGTAACTGTGTATATTCACACAGAGACAAAGTGCACGTGTGTGTTTGTGTGTGACCCACACGGAGACTGAGGCTGTGGCTCTTCACAGCTGCTGTGCCTGAAGGTGAATTTATCTCACAGTTGTGCGGTGTCTGTGCCTGTTGTGTTACCTTTGTTAACTGCCGTGTTTTCCTCTCACAGATTGACAAGTATCTTTACGGAGCCCGTCTGTCAGATGAGACGCTGTGTGAAATCATGGGCCGTTTCCGAACGGAGATGGAGAAGGGTTTGGGTCGAGACACCCACCCCACAGCCACCCTGAAAATGTTACCAACCTTCGTCAGGTCCACCCCAGATGGAACAGGTGATGTCAACTCCCTTAGAGCCCTCCACGGTCTTGCTCCTCCCTACCTCTATAACCTCCTAAAACCCCAACAACCTGTCTGCCTTCTTCACTCGGCTGGCACTGGCCTGCTTCAGGTCCCTTGCCCTGCCTGCTCCACCATCAGGGTCAGATCTTTAGCCTTTCTGCCCTCACCTCAAGATCTACCTGTTCGACCGTGCCTTTGGTCATCCTCCTACCCCACCCTCCCTGCTCTCCACCCCTCTGGACTCCAGCCCGCATCTTGGGTGCAAACTCTTTAACTGTCCAGTGCCTAAGGATGTTCTCCCACCGAGTCAAAGGTGCTGTACAAATGCAATTTGTTGTTGTTTAAATATTTATCCAGTTCCCTTTTAATTGTTGTAAATTGATTCCTCTTGGAGGTGCCGTCCTTCAAATGAAACCTTCCTGCCTGTTCAGGTGGATGTTAAAGATCTTATGGTGCTATTCAATAAGAGAATGGAGTTTCTCTCCCGGTGTCCTAGGCCCAATAAAATTGGTCACGCAATCCAATCCGCGACTGTGGGACACTGCTGTGCAGCACAAATGGCCGCCGCCGTTTCGGCCACAAAATACACAGTCACTACACTTTACAGTATATTCTGTGAAGCGCTTTGAGACTTCTTGATGACGTGACAAGGCACTATATCAAGTACAAGGATTATTATTATAACAATAATTGGAAACCTTTAACGTAAAAAGGAGCTATGAAATTCCACCAGCTTCTGAGGGTTGGGATGTGATTGAGGGGGGGGGCTTGTCAATCAATATGCTGACTCACTGAGCTCGCGCTCTCTCTCTCTCTTTCTCACTCGCGTACTCTCTCTCTAAGCGAGGAAAGACATAAGTGGTTTAAATCACGCTGTGTGAGCACTGTTTGCTTTCTCTCTGTCAAATGCGCTTTTGATGGCATTCCCATCACTGCTCTCCTGGTTGTTATGAGGTTTTTATTAACAAATTAATAACAAGCACTCTCCAGTTTTTTTGCGCAGTCATATCCTGGGAAAGGCAGACTGTGTGAGGCTGAGCCACTCTGGATGTGACTGTCTGGACAAAGTCAAAGGTCCTTTGATAAGATAGGGTTCAGATTGTCAGGATTGTCCCTTATTCTGGAGGAAGCGGAAGATATGCTGTTTCCAGGGAAAGGGATTTTGGTCACTGGGAGTCTGACACGTATATACACACACACACACACACACACACACACATACATCCATCCTCCTTGGGAAGGAGGTAAGCAGTCTCTTCCTGGAGGGATGCACCTAATTTCAGAAAGTATTTGGCTCAGGTTGGCAAGAGCGAAGGCTTGGGGACCCCAGAGTATGCGTTGGGGTAATTGCTGGAGTCTGACCAGCTAAAACCACGTAACTTGTCATTGAGAGCACTGTCTGGCAAGCTTTCCCGCTGCTTGTCCAATAGGACCACCCTACCCCTTAGGACTTTAGCTTACAGTGTTAACAGGAGCTGAGTGGGAGGATTCCCTGCCCCCAGTGACTAGTTTGCCCTTCCAAGTCCTGCCGATGAGCCAGGCTGGGAGGTGCTGTCGTCAGCAGTGCCCTGGAATACTGCGACTGCCTGGCTCAGGAACAGGACTAGAGACCGTCACAGAGGTCTGGCTCGATTCTGACTTTCTGTTGCTAAACGTGTCATCTTGGAGCCAGTTCAGCTCATAGAAGATTCCAACTACCCTCTCCACCCCCCCTTCAAGGATAGTTGTTGATGGGAAGTGGGCTGAATGTATGGATCAGATTCTTAGTCAGTCTACTGGTAGCCTTGTCGGGCCGTTTGTGGGATTTTACTGTGGGCAAATTGGCTGCTGCGTTCCCGTACACAACACACAGTGACTACACATTTCAGTGTTTCCTGTGACACGCTTTGAGAGGTCCGACAGATGTGGTTGGCGCTATATTATTAATAATAATAATCCTTGCATTTGATATAGCGCCTAATCACGTTGTTGAGACTTCTCAATGCGCTTCACAGAATATACTGACAAGTGGATTGACTGTATTATGTGGGCGAAACACGGCAGCCAGTTGCGCACTGCGGTGTCCCACAAACAGTCGTGTATTGAGTGCCCAAATTTTGGGGGGGAGGGATTATTACCCCGAGAAAGCGATCCGCCAATCAATTAACAACTGGGTTCCTGCTTACTGCTTGGTAAACAGAGGAGTGTGGAGTAAGGAAACTTGCTTAAGGTTTTGCTCTGCCTGGGAATCAAATCCAGGTACTTGCGCTTGCGAGGCGAGCGAGCTATGCTACGCGACGCAAATGTAAACGTAAGGATAATGATTATTAAAGAATTGCGGAGGACGCTAACTGCTTGTCACTGTTTTTGCAGAGAAGGGAGATTTCCTCGCCCTGGACCTGGGTGGCTCGAATTTCCGTATCCTCCGGTGAAGGTGTCTCACGAGCGTCAGCAGCGGGTGGAGATGGAGAGCAAAATCTACAGCACGCCCAAGGACATCGTCCATGGCAGCGGCGCCCAGGTAGGCAGAGCGCTAAGCTTCCCCTTCAGTCTCTCTTCCCTCGGAAACGCCTCCGCCCACACTGATCTCCTCTCCTCTCCCCATTCCTCCTGCAGCTGTTTGACCATGTGGCCGAATGCCTGGGAGAGTTTCTGGAGAAACAAGAGATTAAGGACAAGAAACTGCCTCTGGGCTTTACCTTCTCCTTTCCCTGCAGACAGACCAAGCTGGACGAGGTAAGTGGGGCCCGCTCTCTCTCCCTCTCCCCTCTTTCAATGCGCATCTCTTTGACCGCATTTCAGTCATCTTACGCCCACCTCCCCATGGATCCCACCCTATCTTGATGCCCAGCCAGTGCTATGAAGCACTAGGAGATGTCCTCCCAATGTGAAAGGTGTTGTATCAGCACGCTCCGGCCTGCTCCTCAACCCCCCGCCTGGCCCACCCCACCATCGGCAGTCAGGCCTTCAGCTTTTCTGCCCCCACCCTTTGGAACTCCATCCCATAGTCCGTTTGACTTGCTCCCTCTCTTGGCCTCCTTCAAAGCACGTCTAAAGACCCTCCTCTTCGACGGCGCATTCGGTCTCCCTCCTTACCCCTATCCTCCCTGCCCTCCACCCCTCTTGATCCCAGCTCCCTGCTCGGGTCCAAATCCCTGACTGTCCAGCGCCTTGGGACGTCCTCCCGACTTAAAAGGCGCTGTGTAAATATAACTTGTTGTTGTTGTTGATTGTATTTTTGTGATTTGTGGCGGTGGGGCTACGCTGGCTGTCAACTGGGTGGGGCTGGCTGATTGACAATGAAATAACCCGTTGCTGTGTGTGACTCAGAGTATCCTGATCACGTGGACGAAGGGTTTCAAGGCGAGCGGAGTGGAGGGCTCTGATGTGGTAAAGCTGCTTCGAAAGGCGATCGACAAGCGAGGGGTAAATGTCCTAACTGCTTGCTCAGGGAGCAGGGAGTGTTCACACAGTGGGTCTGGGAAGGAAGCTGCTAAGATCTATTTGATCTCATCCTGACTGTCTTCTGGGGTGGGTGGGAAGTTGAAGGTGGGGGGGGGGGGCAGTAAAGCAGAGTCTTGTTCTCTTACACTCTCTCTCACACGCTCTCTCACTCACATACTCGTTCTGTCTTGCAAATTCTTTCTCTCACGCATTCTCTCACTCTCACTTTCACACTCTTTCTCTCGCACTCTCTCTTTACCACACACACTATCTCTCATACTCTCTCACACGCGAACACACTCTCACACGCACTCTCTTTCTCTCCAGGAGTATGATGTGGATATTATGGCCGTGGTGAATGACACAGTGGGCACTATGATGACCTGTGGCTTTGACGACCAGCGCTGTGAAGTGGGGCTGATCATTGGTAAAGTTGTTCTCAGTCTCCGTGACCCTATCACCCCTACCCTCGCCTGGCTTCACTGGCTCCCATCCCCCAGAGGATTGAGTTCAAAATCCTCGTCCTCAAAACCCTCCACGGCCTCACTCCTACCTCCCTCTGTGACCTCCTAACTCCATACCAACTTGCCTGCTGTCTCCGCTCAGCGGTCACCTGCCTGCTCCCTGTCTCCTGCCCGGCCCACCCTACCATTGGCGTCGGCCTTCAGCTTCTCTGCTCCTACCCTTTGGAACTCCATCCCGGAGCCTCTCTGCCTTGCCCCTCCCTTGCCTCCTTCAAGGCCCATCTCAAGAGTTTCCTCTTCTTCCGTGCCATCGGTCACCCTCCCTGCCCTCCACCCCTGTTGTGTTTCGCTGGCTGTAAGCTGACGCCTGCCATCTCCTGCCCCCCCGTCCCCCCACTCCCCTCCTCCCCCCCCCGCAGGTACTGGTACTAACTGCTGTTACATGGAGGAGCTGCGGCACATTGACCTGGTGGAGGGGGACGAGGGCCGCATGTGCATCAACATCGAGTGGGGGGGGTTCGGGGACGACGGCTCCCTGGAGCACATCAGGACTGAGTTTGACCGGGAGATTGATCGCGGGTCTCTCAACCCCGGCAAACAGATGTAAGTGCTTAGCTTTGCGATCGGGTTTCTTCCTATTACCACTGAGACCAGACAGTGAGCGTTGGCAGGACATTCAACTCCAAGGGCATTGCAACACCTGACCATGTCCTCACACACCCTCCGTAGGGTGGGGGTCGGCGGGGGGCTGGGGGGGAGTGTGAGGGGAAGTAGTCTGTGGTCTCTGCATAACAATCCAGAGTTTGGGAACTTGGACAGAATCCCCCCCCCCCTCCCCCCCCATTGGTAGTCCAGTGTGGATCCCCAAAGCATAGTGGTTAGACCCCTCGCCTCGCAAACCAGATCACCCGGGTTGGTTCGATTCACTGGCGGGGTGAAAGCTTAGGCAAGTTCCTTACTCCACAAAGCTATCTTTTCTTAGCAATAAATAGGAACCTGATTGGTAGTCGATTGGATGATTGCTTTCCAGGGGTAATAAATTCGCCCCTCAAAAATTAATAATTTGGTTACTTATTCCACGACTGTTTGCGGGACATTGCTGTGCGCAATTGGCTGCTGCATTTCGCTCACAAAATCCACTTTAAGGTGTATCCTGTGAAGGTTTTTGAGACGTCTCAACGACGTGATAAGGCGCTATATCAAATGCAAGTGTTATTATTATTATTGTTGTTGTTATTGAGTGGGGCTGAGGGCAGAGCTGGTGGAGGGAGTGGAGTTGATGGTTGGAATGGGTGTGTTGCAGGTTTGAGAAGCTGATCAGTGGGATGTATATGGGAGAGCTGGTGAGGCTTATCCTAGTCAAGATGGCGAAGGAAGGGCTGCTGTTTGAGGGTAGAATCACGCCCGAGCTTCTGACTAAAGGCAAACTACAAACCAAGGATGTGTCCGCCATGGAGAAGTAAGTCTCATTTTCAAATCCTCGGCTGTTTGACTGTTTTATTCTCTGAGCACTTCTTCACTCCCCTCCTTTCTTCTCCTGAAATAGTTTGACTTGATCATCCCATCCTCGCCTGGCTCCACTGGATTTTAAATCCTCATCCTCACCTTCAAAGCCCTCCATGGCCTTGCTGCTCCCTACCTCTGTGACCTGCTAACTCCCTCCGCTCAGCAGGTTCCAGCCTGCTCCATGTCCCCCGCCTTGCCCGCTTCACCATCAACTGTTGGGCCTTCAGGCTTTCTGCTCCCACCCTCTGGAACTCCATCCCGGAATCCCTCCACTTCGCCCCCTCCCTTTCCTCCTTCAAGGCCCGTCTCCAGACCTTCCCCTTTGACTGTATCTGACCCAATGTGGGTGTCAGCTCAGCTCAGTCGCTCGCACTCTCACCTGAGTCACATGGTTGTGGGTTCGAGCCCCACATTGGGGGTTTTGAGCTCACAGCCCGACCTTACGCTCCAGCGCAGTGCTGAGGAGAAGCGCCTGCATTGACAGAGGCGCCGTCCTTCAGATGACTTGTGCGTCATTCTGGCGCAGTGGTAGCACTCTCGCCTCTGACTCGGAAGGTTGTGGGTCACAACTTGGAATCACACAGTCTAAGACCGCACTGTTCGAGGTGCCGCCCTTTGAATGAGACGCTAAACCGAGGTCCCCTCTGCCCGTTCAGGTGAAAGATCTTGTGGCTCTATTCGAGAAGAGAAGTGGAGTTTCTCTCTCCCGGTTGTCCGGCCGACAAATCCCCCAAATAAAATTGGTCGCTCACTCCAAGGCTGTCGGTGGGACATTTCTGTGTGCAACTGCTGGGTGCACTGTATCAAATGTAACGATTATTATTATTATAAACCGAGGTCCGGTCTGTGCCTGTCCAGGCGGTTGTTAAAGATCCTGTGACACTATGATGAGTTATGAGACGCTATGTTGAAGGCGAGGATTATGATTGTGTTTGTGACTCTCTCTCCCCTCTCCGCGCTCCCAGGACCAAGGAGGGTTTGCTGAGGGCGAAGGAGGTGCTGAGCCGCTTGGGGCTGGAGCCCTCAGACGAGGACTGTATTGGGGTGAGGCACGTGTGCACCATCATCTCCTTCCGCTCCGCCAACCTGTGTGCCGCCGCGCTCGGCGCCATCCTCTCCCGCCTCAAGGATAACAAGGGCGTCCCCCGGCTCCGCACCACCGTGGGCGTGGACGGCTCGCTCTACAAGATGCACCCGCAGTAAGTCATCTCCCATCTCTGTCACACTCGCCTTCTGGGCTCGATTCGCAGGGGGTGCAAAACCTTAGGCAAGTTTCCTTACTCCACACACATGCCTCTGTTTACCAAAAAATTCCTTTTTAAAAAAAAACAACTACTTTTTTCTGGGATGCTGCTGTGCGCAATTGGCTGCCGTGTTTCGCCCACAAAATATAATATACTCTGTGGAGCACTTTGACGTGATAAGGCGCTATATCAAATGCAAGGATTATTATTTTTATTTTGTAGGTGAAACGCGGCAGCCAATTGCGCACAGCAGTGTCCCACAAACAGTCGTGGATTGAAGTGACCCAATTTAATTATTACTACCAGAAAAGCGATTTCCCCCAATCGACTTAACAACCGGGCTCCTACTTACTGCTAGGTAAACAGAGGCGTGTGGTGTAAGGGAACTTGCCTAAGGTTTCTCCCTGACCCACCAGGGAATCAAACCCAGGTCCTCTCGCTTGCAAGGCGAGTGCTCCAACCTCTACGCTGCAGGACTCCGCTTGAAGTTGAGTAAGTGGCCACAGTAACGGAGGCTGTGTTTGCCGTTCCCAGGTTTGCCCGGCGTCTCCAGAAGACGGTCAGGCGGCTGTTGCCGGACTGCGAGGTGCGATTCCTGTTGTCGGAGAGCGGCAGTGGGAAGGGGGCGGCCATGGTGACTGCAGTGGCCACCCGGCTGGTGTCCCAGCGCCAGGAGATGGACCAGACACTAGCCTCCTTCACCCTGACCAGGGAGCAGCTGTTTGAGGTGAAGCGGAGGATGCGGGTGGAGATGGAGAACGGGCTGAAGAAGAAAACGCACGAGGCGGCCACCGTTAAAATGCTGCCCTCCTTCGTCCGCAGCATACCTGATGGCTCAGGTCAGTCACCGCGCGGGCACAGCATCACCAGCGCTGGCAACGGGCACTCCCCCCACCCCCAGCACAGCACCGACACATTGAACAGGGGGAAACATAGGCTTGATCGGGCTTATGTGACTATTACTGTATACATAACTATACAACAATAATATAGGTTAGCGCGGCGGGAGGGGGTGGACTGTATCAGGAGTGGTGGGGAGTGGGTGTTGTTGTGGGAGTGTGTGGCACCCCCTGCTGCCTCCGCACTGTATTGCCTGTGTTCTGCCCCTGACAGAGAATGGAGACTTTGTGGCCCTGGACCTGGGAGGCACTAACTTCCGGGTGCTGCTGGTCAAGATCCGCAGCGGCAAGCGGCGCACCGTGGAGATGCACAACAAGATCTACGCCATCCCCTTAGAGATCATGCAGGGCACCGGAGAAGAGGTAAGCCTGGCACTGCCTGGCATGGGGAGGGGGAGAGGCAACGCCTGGCACAGAGCGGGAGGGGTGTAAGGAAACGTTAATGTGCGCACAATTTGAATGTCAAATAATTTTTTCCTTCACTGTTGTTCCACAGTCAATGATTAAGACACAATAATGGGAGCAACCAGGTTATTAGAGAAATAACCATTGATCAATTACCCGGGAGAGGAGCAGGCAGCTGGAAGAGGAACGTGGGGAGGGGAGGGCTGGTCATTAGCGAGTGGGCTGGTTGGCTGAGGCTGGGGGAGGGGTGTTGGGCCTCGCTGTCTCTGCAGAGACTTAAGACGTGGTTCTAAGGCTCACTGTGTGTCTGTCTCCAGCTCTTCGATCACATTGTCACATGCATCTCCGACTTCCTGGATTACATGGGCATGAAAGGAGCTCGTCTTCCTCTTGGCTTCACCTTCTCCTTCCCCTGTGAGCAGAAGAGCTTAGACGAGGCAAGTGTTAACGTACATATAGCTCGTGGCATTCCAACTGTGGCAAACTCACAACTGGAGTACAGAGTCAGCCTGGCTCAGTGGTAGCGCTCTCACCTCTGAGTCAGAAAGTTGTAGGTTCAAATCCTACGTTGAAACTTGGATTCGCACAGTCTAAGGTGTTAAACGGAGGTTCCGTCCGCCTGTTCGAGTGGATGTTAAAGTTCCTGCGACCCTATTCGAAAAGAGAAGGGAGTTTCTCTCTCCCGGTTTCTTGCCCCCAAGATAAAATTGGTCACTCACTCCACGACTGTTTGTTGGACATCACTCTGCGCAAATTGGCTGCCGCGTCTCACCCACAAAATACACAGTCACCACACTTGCCAGTATATTCTGTGAAGTGCTTTGAGACGTTTCGATGACGTGATATCAAATGTAAAAATGCAAGGATTATTATTAGTGCGTCCAGCTGTGGTCAGACACACCTGGATTCCTGTGTCCAGCTGTGGTGTGGTTACCGTTTATTGCCACTGACCCTCTTCTTGTCTTGTCTTCAGGGGATTTTGCTGAAATGGACCAAGGGATTCAAGGCCACGGACTGTGAGGGGGAAGATGTGGTGTCCATGCTGAGAGACGCCATCAAACGCCGGGACGTAAGTACATCATTTGTCACTTTTTCTGCCGGTTTCAGCCGCTCGGCACAGAGCGGGGCTGAGATCAGTAACAGCACAGAGCGGGGCTGAGATCAGTGACAGCACAGAGCGGGGCTGAGATCAGTAACAGCACAGAGTGGGGCTGAGATCAGTAAACTCTTCTGCTTCTACGACATTGTGGAGCAGCGAGTTCCACACTCGCATCACCCTTTATGCGAAGAGAGATGTTCTGATCTCACCTCTGAACGTCCTAGTTATAATTTGAAGATCTCTTTGCTTTGGAGTCTCGACCAGAGGGAAGAGTCGTCCACTCTCTATTTAACTGGTCAATTAGTTACACTGTGTTACATACCTCAATCAGATCAGATACGGAAAACTGTGGTGGCTATGTAGTGGGAGCCAGTTTGCGCACAGCAGTGTTCCACAAACAGCCATAGAGTGAGTGACCAATTTTATTTGGGGCGGGGGGGGGGGGGGTTGTTGGCCAGGACGCCAGGAGGCCAGAACCTCCCTTCTCTTTTCCAATAGGATCACGGGATCTTTAACTTCCCAGAACAGGCAGACGGGACCTCGGTTTAAGGTCTCATCCTTTCTGATTGTCCCTTTCTCTACATTGCAATGAAACCTCCACCTCCAACGATCCAGGGTCTGGCGTGTACAGGCCATTGTGTCCTGTTGTTAGAGCTGACCCTGACTGAGCGCTGAGAGCCTAACCTCAGTCCGGGAGCTGGGTGACCCTGGTGGGGTAAAGATTGAACTTGGGTGTAATTATCTCACTCTTGAACACGTCGGCCTGTAATTATCCATTGGTGTTGTTAATGTGCAGAGTCCAATGCCACACACACACCCAGTGTTCTGCTTCACTGCCGTTAACCCTTTCACCACCACCTCTCTTTACAATAAACCCCTTTTACAACAGGCTTCGGCAAATCACATGGAGAAATATTTGCACAGCACTTTGCAACGACTGAGTGAGAGGTGTGAGGGCGTTTGGAAGGGACGCCTCTAAGGTAACCGTCAAAGGCTATGAAAAAAGGCTCCAAATCAGGAGGTTGTGGGTTGAAGCTCCACGTGGAACCTTTGAGCTCACAGTCCAGGCTGACACTCCAGTGCAGTGTTGCTTTGTCGGAAGTGTCGTACTTCGGATGAGACATTAAACCCAGGCCTGGTGGATGTTAAAGATCCCACGGCACTATTTGGAAAGAGGAGAGTGTTTCTATCTCCCAGGGTCCTGGCCAACAATCCCCCAAACAAAATTGGTCACTCACTCCATGGCTGATTGTGAGACATTGCTCTGTGACTTTCACTTTCAGACGTGCTCCCAGTGTGAAAGAGGCTGTGTTATTTAGTGCCGTGTGACAGATTTGCATGTCTGGTCTGTGAGGCTGCGCCAAGGTATGTGAGCTATGTGGAGTTTGCAGTTTGTCCTATATTGGAGTAAACTTGCACTGAAAACACCCTCTTAGCACCTTGTACCTGTTTATCACAGCACTGCCTGGCTTTTCACAGGTTCTAAAGGTCTCTTTCTTATAAAGTTAACTTAATAATTTCCTAATGGTTCAGTGGGTAATGGCACAGGACTGTCTGTATATAAAAAAAATTTAATTAAAAAAAATAATTTGATCACTCAATCCACGACTCTTGGTGGGACACAGCTGTGTACAATTGGCTGCCACCTTTCACCCACGAAAGTTCACTTTTAAAGTATATTCTGTGAAGCGCTTTGAGACGTCTCGAAGACGTGATAAGGTGCTATATCAAATGCAAGGATTATTATTATAACAGCACTGTGGGTAATAGGACTGATTAGTGTGTGTGAGTGTGTGTGTGTTTGTGTTTTTAAGTGTAACAGGAGCCTGACTGTGTGTGTGTGTGTGTAACAGGAGCCTGACTGACTGTATGTGTGTGTGTGTGTAACAGGAGCCTGACTGACTGTGTGTGTGTGTGTGTGTGTAACAGGAGCCTGACTGACTGTGTGTGTGTGTGTGTAACAGGAGCCTGACTCTGTCTGACTATGTGTGTGTGTGTGCGTGTGCGTAACAGGAATTTGAGCTGGACATTGTGGCTGTTGTGAACGACACGGTTGGGACGATGATGACCTGCGCTTACGAGGATCCGCAGTGTGAGGTCGGCATGATCGTAGGTAAGTCTCTCACTCCGAGGCCGGTGGTAACTTCAGCCGAGTCCTCGCCCCATCCAGGCTGATCAACACTCTGAGTCACAAGGTTGTGGCTTCAAGTCCCACGTCAGGATTTGAACTCACACAGGAGCCGACATTCCAGTGCAGTGCTGGGGATATGTTGTATTGTCAGAGGTGCCGTCCTTCCGATGAGATGTTAAACCGAGGTCCCGTCTATACCTGTTCAGGTGGATGTTAAAGATCCCATGGCACTATTCAAAAAGAGAAGGGAGTTTCTCTCTCCTGGTGTCCTGGCCAACAATCGACCCCAAATAAAATTGGTCACTCACTCCATGGCTGATTGTGGGACATCGCTGTGCGTAAATTGGCTGCCACGTTTCGCTCGCAGAATACACAGTCACTACGCTTTACAGTCTATCCTATGAAGTGCTTTGGGACATCTTCCTGTGAAAGGGCACTGTATAAATAATAATAATATTTGCATTTGATATAGTGCCTTATCATGTCATTGAGATTTTTCAAAGTGCTTCACAGAATATTTTGTAAAGTGGAGTGACTGTTTTTGTGGGGGGATCGTGGCAGCCAGTCATGCACAGCAGTGTCGCACAACCAGTCGTGGATTGAGTGACCACATTTTTTTAACTGATTATCACCCCTGGAAAGCGATCCGACAGTCGACAAACAACCGGGTTCCTACTTACTGGTAAGTAATCGGAGGAGTGTGGAGTAAGGAAACTTGCCGAGGGTTTCGCTCTGCCCGGGAATCTGACCACTACGCTACAGGACTCCACAATGCAATTTGTTGCTGAATCGTATGTCTTGTCACAGGGACGGGCAGTAACACCTGCTACATGGAGGAGATGGGGAACGTGGAGATGGTGGGCGAGGAGGAGGGCAGGATGTGTGTAAACATGGAATGGGGGGCCTTCGGGGACAATGGCTGCCTGGACGATATCCGGACAGAGTACGACCGAGCTGTGGATGATCTGTCTTTGAACCAAGGCAAACAGAGGTGAGAGCGTCACACATGATTTATGGTGCTGTGTTTTTCTCCACACAAAACCCCAGTGTTTCTGTCAGGGTAACCGCCGGAGTCTGACCAACGCCAACCAGATAGCTTGCCTTTGAGAACACTGTCTGGCGAGCTTTCCCGCTGCTTGTCCAGCTAGGACCACCCTACCCATCAGAGTTTTGGTGTGGAGGGTTAACAGAAGCTGAGCGTGAGGATTCTCTACCCCCAATGTGCCAGACGATGTGTTGTCACCAGCAGTGCCCTGGAATACTGTGGACCCCCTGGCTCAGGAACTGGCCTAGAGACTGCCACAGAGGGCCGGCTCGATTCTGACATTCTTATGTAACCTTGGAGCCAGTTTCATTCCATGGATACTCTGCTTACCTTCCCCCCCACCCCACCCTCACCCCACCAAAAGGATAATCATTTGTTGGTCATTGTGGGGTGGGCTGGTCAGGGAGATGCAGCCTGATATTCAGAGCCAGCTCCCAGTTTCCAGCACTGGACAAGCAGTGTGAAAGCTTCCCAGACAGACAGTATTTGGGAGATTGTTGGCCAGGCCACTGGGAGAGAGAAACTTGCTATTCTTTTCAAATCATACCTTGAGGTCTATAGGAGATCAGAGGCACAGGTTGACCTGAGTTTCTGTTTTGTCGTTGATCAGATATGAGAAAATGATCAGTGGCATGTACCTGGGCGAAATAGTGCGTAACGTAGTGATTGATTTCACCCGGCGAGGCTTCCTGTTCCGAGGTCAGATCTCCGAGAGACTAAAGACCAGAAGCATCTTCGAGACCAAGTTCCTGTCACAGATAGAAAGGTGAGCAGCCTCTTTGTACAGGATATCCCCTGCCCTTTGGCCCATTTGATTTTACTGTAGTAATAATAATCCTTGCGATTGATATAGCGCCTTATCACGTCTCAAAGAGTTTCACAGAAATGTGTTGAAAAGTGCGTAAAGGGGGTATTTTTGTGATTGAAACGTGGCAGCCAATTGCGCACAGCAGTGTCCCTAAAACAGTCGTGGATTGAGTGACCAAATTATTACTTTTAACAACTGTAAGAGTCCATTCAGCTCATCGAGCCTGTTCTGCAGGTTTATTAGGTTACAGCAGATCTTTAAACCAAATTCCCAGCCTTTTATAATATTACAGCTCCTTTCACATTGGGAGGACATCTCAAAGCGCCTCCCGGGGTTTGTAAAGTGTAGTGACTGTGCCGCAGCAAAAGAAAATGACAAATCCCTGACTCTCCAGCGCGTTGGGACGGCCTGCTGACATGTGTGTAAATGTAATGTTGTGGTGGTTGTGGTTGTTGTTGTTGACGTGTTGCTTTCTTGTGTGGCAGTGACCGACTGGCTCTGCTCCAGGTGAGAGCCATCCTGCAGCAGCTGGGCTTGGACAGCACGTGTGATGACAGTATTATTGTGAAGGAGGTGTGTGGGGCTGTGTCCTGCCGAGCGGCACAGCTGTGCGGGGCAGGAATGGCTGCCGTCGTGGACAAAATCCGGGAGAACAGGCGCCTGGATCACCTGGAGGTCACGGTGGGCGTGGACGGGACTCTCTACAAACTGCACCCACAGTGAGTGTCTGCCTCGTTACCATCTTTTACATACACAGCAATCTTTGCGTTCCATACGGCTATTCACGGTCTGTCTGAAAAAGCTTGGCAGGTTTTTGTGCACTGTCAGCCAACGCAGCAGCCAATTTGCACGCAGCAATGTCCCACAAACAGCTGTGGAGTCGGTGACCAATTTTATCTGGAGGATTGTCAGCCAGGATGCCAGGAAAGAGAAACTCCTTTCTCTTTTCAAGTAGTGTCGTGGGATCTTTCGCCATGATGTCAACCTGTTCAGGTGGATGTTAAAGATCCCTGGGCACGACTGGAAAAAAGGGAGTTTCTTACTATTTGACCGGTTAGAAGTGTAGATTGTAGAAACGTAGCCTAATAAACCAGCTTAGTTCGTCAGTCGGCCATGCTTATGGTCACCTCCCCATTCGCCCTTGCTCTGTGTCCGAGCTCGTCACTCTGCATTGAAGAACGCTGTGTAAATGCAACCTGTTGTTTTATTTCCCAAGTATCAGTTATTCTATTGTCATTATTTACATGCCAAATACACAGAAACTCTGAGTAAGGTGGGTGGGGGGGGAATTTGCTTAAGACTATAACTTAATTGTTCCTTTTCTCTCCAGTTTCTCAAAGATCATGCACAAAACAGTGAAGGAGCTGGCTCCCAAGTGCAACGTGACCTTCCTGCTGTCTGAGGACGGCAGTGGAAAAGGTGCTGCGCTGATCACTGCGGTGGCCTGCAGACTGCGGGAGTGTGGCCAGTGAGACGACCAGCCAGATCTCGGAGAGCACAGGGCTCTGTGTGTGTGTGTCGGTGTGGAGGGCGAGACGAGAGACCAGTCACCTCTCTTTGGCAGTTATAACTCAACCTCTGTAACCCAGGCCTGGAACCAACCAGTCAGAAACCACATGAAAATAACATGTAAAGATGGCAAACTGCGGTATTGCATCACCACCTCCAATCCTCGCTTGGCTGGTTTGGAAGCTCTTAAGCATGGCGATGGGTTTCCGCATCCATCAGACCAGCCGGCTGACCACAACAAAATGCCACTGTGTGCTGAGTTACTGGTCTTAGTGCCCACTCGGAGGGGAGAATAAAAATACCGCCCCCTCTCCTATTTTATTTTTAAAAAAATCAGGTTCAGGTTCTTGGAGTTACAGCTGTCTGTGTTATCATTGTCCTATACCCCCAAAGCCCTCCTCCGCACTAAACTGTCCCAAACCACCCAAAGACACACAAGCTTTCTGTGAAAGACAAAAGGAACCACTGGATAAAACTGATTTCTATATTGGCTGTTTCGAGTACCTGATTTTACCCGTTGTTGGTTATAAATTTTGTGATGTGTTGTAGTGTGACACAGAGAAAGATGTATATATGTGACTCACGCACTCCCCCAGAGCCATCCCAGTGCTTGTTGCCATTCGGTGTCTGTTTCCGTCACTACTTTGGCTGTTTTGTGTGCTGTTTGTTCACCTTGCTGCAGAGGTTAAAGACTTACATGTGGAATGCATGCCTTATCGATGTTAGTCAAGGCAGCAGCTTTTAATTTTATACACTCGCTAAGGGACGCTGTGTATTTTAAAGCAACATTTGTGGATTCATTAAACTGTATTTTGATGTGCACCTTGTCCTGTCGTCTCGTTCCTCACTCCTCAGGGTGTTAAAAGAGCTGGTAAACAGATACTTGGGCAAAGAAACAGGAGACACTGCTGTCTGAGGAAGGCAGTGGGAAATGTGCCGTCCTGATCACTGTGGTGGCCTGCAGACTGCGAGTGCGTGGTCAGTGAGGAAACCAGCCAGAGGAGAGTGTGTGAGTGTAGAGGGAGGGAGAGAGAGAGAGAGTCAGCTCTCTAGGGCAGTTATAACCTAACTTCTGTAACCCATTGCCTGGAACCAACCAGACAGAAACCAAATGAAAATAAAATGTGAAGATGGCAATGCTCTTCTGATAGCCAACTGTGGTGATTGCAGCACCACCTCCAATAACTCTCTTGACTGGTTTTCGGTTGCTCTAAGCAATGAGTTACTGGGCCACTCACTGGATAAAGTCTGATTGAAATGTTCCTTCCAATTTAATGAAATTGCTTTCTGCTCATATTAATAATAATCCTTGCATTTGATGCAGCATCTTATCACATCATTGCGCCATCTGAAGGCGCTTCACAGAATGCACTGTATAGTGGATTGACTATTTCGTGGGCGAAACAGGGCAGCCAATTGGGCACAGCAGTGTCCCACAGTCTTGGATTGAGTGACCACATCTTTTTTAATGAAGGGATTCTTACCCCAGGAAAGCGAAACAGCAATTGTTTTAACAACCGGGTTCCTACTTACTGCAAAGTAAACAGAGGCGTGTGGAGAAAGGAAACTTGGCTAAAGTTTCACCCTGCCCCGGAATCAAACCTGGGTCCTCTCGCTTGCGAGGCGAGCGCACTAACCGCTAAGTTACAGGATTCCACTTTAGTAAATAAACTGGACAGTAAATTGCACAGATAGGGATTAAAGTCTTTATAATTTAACAGTCAGAGTGAACAGGCTGGTTTACACACACACACTTTGGTCCCAGCTTGTCCCGAGGAATGATGTCAGTGGAGTAGCTGCAGTCCCCGACCGTCAGTGGGCGTCATCGCTCACAATGCCAACCACACGCCACACACAGGGCAAAGGGGCAGTTACATTAAATAGTGCTCGTTTTTTAAATACATTTTACAAAAATTAAACAGTCACAAAAAAGAAACCATTAGTGTTCTTACAAAGTCATTAGTACAATCAGAGCACCTGGGTGCAAATTGGTCCTGTCCCGGCGGCCGGAATGGGTGACAAGTGCACGGAGGGAGAGAGGGAGGGTGGGGACGGGAGGGAGGGTGGTGGTGATGGTGGGTGGAGATAGTGGCTGCAAAACTCTAGATGTGGGTATGCAAGCGCTGCTTCCCATACACAGCGGTGGGGGTGTGAAAAGCTGGTGTCCACAAAGTTCTGTTACCCTTTATTACAAAACAGGGATAGGAGACTGGGGAGGAGCTGAAACAAGCTGTCAGGGATGCATTTTGTCTCCTCACTCCATCCATCCATGTTACAGAAGATGTTACCTATCCTGTGGATGACTAAATACAGTTAAACACTTGTGCTGAATACGATTAAGTATTTCTAAATGCAATCATCAACATCATTCTTCCACATGTTTCAGTTATTGGTCATCGCACTGTATAAAAAAAAACATGGCAGTAACAGGACTTGGTGGATACACTGTACAGGCTCTGTGGAGTGGCTAAGAGCAGAGGAGACCTGTCAGACTGACACCTCCACCCATGGGTAGGGAGGCTGGCTAGACTTGGCTGACTCGTTAAGTGTTGGGGAAAGGAGCACAGAGCAGTTTCACCCCCAACCCCCTAAAAAGGACTGACACATAGACAACAACACACAGAGACTGTGCTCACACCCTCTGTCACCCACCAGCATGGGGTTGCCTCTCTCCCCCCCTGCATTAGATCCCACTCTGTGATAAACCAGCGACAGTCAATCTGTGTTACAGTATTAATTCATTCTCAGTTCCATATAGTGGGAGTGAGCAGGAAGGGGCGTAACTACAATAATAATCCTTAATCATTGCATTTCATACAGTGGTATCTGTTGTTGCGATGTCTCTACGCACTTCACAGAATATACTACAAAACAAATTGATTTGTGCATTTTGTGGGCAAACCGCAGCAGCCAATTGTGCACAGCAGTGTCCCACAAACAAATGTTTTTTTAAAGGAATTATTACCATAGAAAGTGATCCGGCAATCGACTAACAACCAAATTCTTACTTATTGCTAGGTAATCGACTAACAACTGATTGGCTGATTGCTTTCTGGGCGTGATAATCCCCAGATAAGTAGGCAATGCTTACTATAGAGTAATAATTCATTACTATAGAGTAATAATTCATTCTCAGCTCCATGTGAGCAGGGAAGGACGTAGAGACATGGGGTCAGTTCAGATACCACACAGCAACCTGACTGGGAAAAAGCAATACACTCTATGAAAGTGAGGGGGAAGGAATGAGAGAAAACCTCACATCTAAACCTGATCTATAGGGTGTCCACAAAGTCCTGTTACCCCCTATAACAAAAAAGTGATAGGAGACTAAGGAGGAGCTGAAACAAGCTGTCGGAGAAGCATATCACCTCCTCACTCCGTTCACGTTACAGAAGGTGTGGCATCAAGCATGACGACTGATCATTATCTGCCATGAAAATGATGGCGCTCACTCACACTCATCTTCTGGACGTCTAAATACAGTTAAACACTAGTTAAACACTAATTATAACCTCAATCTAAACTCTAAATACAACTATCATCAATCTTCCACGTGTTTCAGTTGTTGGTAAGTGCACTGTAGAAAAATAACACGTGGGTAACAGGACTTTGTGGACACTTGTTGCTGGGTGGGGGCGATCACTGACCATGTAACCTGAGACACAAAGCAAATCTGGTTCATTGGTTAGTTGAGCACCAGAGGGAGGGAGGGAGGGAGGGAGGGAAGGTTGTGTGCACTCAGTCACCGGGGAACCTCACTGAGATACCTGGATCATTTGATCTCAGACCTCCTCAGTTCAGGGAATCACTAGGCTTGGAGCGTTTCTGTTTGCAGACCAGTCACTGGGGGCAGGGAGGGACTCTACCCACTCAGCTCCTGTTAACCCTGTAAGCCAAAGGCCTTAACTGGTAGGGTGGTCCTAGCTGGACAAGCAGCAGGAAAGCTTCCCAGACAGTGCTCTCAATGGCAAGCTATGTGGCTTTAGCTGGTCAGACTCCAGCAGTTACCCCAACGCACACTCTTGGGTCCCCAAGCCTTAGCTCTTACTCTCCAGAATTAGGTGAGCAGGACGCTTCCCTGTAGGGAGAGAGTGCGCACTGCATTCCAGCAATCTATCTCTGGAATACCCACGTGTAGTTGGGATGCATGGAATTCTCAGTTTGGATTGGAGACTCTCAAGCAACGATGATGGATTTCCGCATGTGTCAGACACCCAGCTGAACGCGAAAAACAAAAACGAAACTGAAAAGTTCTTGATTTTACGACAGACGGTGGGAGGTTGTCCGGGTAGGCGGGAGGAATGCCGAGGCTGACGGGAAGTCAGGAGAGGTTGGAGGAGCAGCTCTGGAGGAGCGTGGCGTGACATGTGTCGCACACGCGCTCAGGCTTAGGTGAGGAGGGCAGCGGGAGCTCATTGTCAGAGCAGGCGTTACAGAAAATCTCCCCGCAGTTTCTGCAGTGATGCTGAAAGAGAACATCAGGATATCAGCTCACACTGACCCCCTCCCTCCCTCCCCGCCCCCATCCCAATACACTGACACTCACCCTCCCCCAAACACTGACCCACCTCCCCCAATACACTGATCCCCTCCTCCCTCAATACACTGACCCACCTCCCCCAATACAGAGCCCCCCTCCTCCAATACATTGACGCCCCCCCCTCCCTCAATACCCGGACCTCCCCTCCATCAATAAACTGATACCCCCCCACCCCCCTTCCTCAGTACACTGAAAGCCACTCGCTCACTCTCTCACCTTTCTTCTTGAAATGGAGAATTCCTTCTCACACAGTTTGCAGCTTGTGGCCTCTTTGTCCTTCAGCCACACCAGGCCCTGGAGGTCAGAGGAATAAAGTGAGGTCACTGCAGACACCAGAAAGTCAGTCAGTCACTCTAGATATAAGTGAGTCAGTTACCCCCTCCCCCAGTTTGAGTTACTCTGCCTGGGATGGGGGATACCCTGAGAATGTATCAGACAGACAGCAATACCTGCAAAGCTTTGTTAGCTTCTTTGATTTCTTCTATCTTCAGTTTTGACCTAAAGAAATAAAAAATAATACATTTTAGTTGGGAATGTAAGACACTTACAGCTCAGCACAGAGAGAGAGAAAGCGAGAGCACCAGTGAAAGTGAACTGCGAACGAAAAAGAGCACATGAAGAAACGAGAGAGAGTGGACGCAAAAGAGTGCGTACAAGTGAGAGAGAGAAAGTGCAGGAGAGCGAGTGCATTTGAATGAGCACAGGAGAAGAGTAAGCGTGAGACAGAGAACAAGTGTGTGAGTCAGAGAGACCGAGTGAGGACGTTATAGAGTACTGGGAAAAACTATGTGGATGTAGTGTACACAGGATTGATTCCTGACTGTCTTAAAGGGAGCGTCCCCCCAAAAAATGGGTGCACAACATGTGTGCTGTGAATCTGTCTGCACTCCCCACTAAGAGGGGGGGGAGGGGTGAAGGAGATAGGGAGGTGGGGTACAAGATCCCATTTGTAACGGCGGCAGGAGTGCCTTGGTCCCTTGACCAACATGGAGTGTGCAGAGGCACAAACAAGTTGGAGGAAAGGGGCAGAAATATTAATAATAATTATCCGTGCATTTGTTATAGCACCTTTATCACGTCTCCGAGACATCTCATAGCACTTCACAGAATATACTGTGAGGTGAATTTACTGTATACTTTGTGGGTGAAATGTGGCAGCCAATCGTGCACAGCAGCGCCCCACAAACAGTTGTGGATTGAGTGACCGAATTATTATTTATTTTTGAAGGGATTAACAAGGTGGGAAATGAAGTTTAATGTAAGACATTAATAAAAGTGAAATGGCAACCTAATAATAATAATCATAATAATCTTTGAATTTGATATACTATGCGACAGGACATCGGTGTTGGGAAATCGTTATCAGCCAGGCAAACGTTAGTTAGTTACTCTCGGAGCTGCAAGCCCAATTCCTGCAGTGCCAGCTCCTGCTCAGTACAGATCTTCTGTAGCTGCCGGTTCTCATCCTGTAGGCGGAGGAATTCCTAGGGAGAGAGAGAGGGAGAGAGGGAGAGGATCAATAAGAAGTTATATTGTGAGAACAAGTCTCATATGGGTTTAACAGGAGCCATGCTGTTTCAGGGAGAGATGGTTATAGAGTGGGTTTTAATAATAATCCTTGTATTTGATAAAGCCCCTTATCACATCGTTTAGATGTCTGAAAGCGCTTCACAAAATATACTGTAATGTGGATTGACTGTGTAGTTTGTGGGCGAAAAGCGGCAGCCAATTGCGCACAGGGGTGTCCCACAAAAAGTTGTGGATTGAATGACTTTTTTTTTGATGGAGTATTACCCCCGGAAAGTGTTCCGCCAATCAACTAACAACCGGGTTCCTACTTACTGCTAGGTAAACAGAGACGTGTGGAGTAAGGAAATTTGCCCATTAAACTTGCTTTAATAACAAAATAAGAATCACTAAATTTACAGCGTCAGGCCAACGTCTCAAAGGTTTCAGAGTCTTTACTGTAAGGTGGAATGTGTTTTCTGGGACAATTGCATGATTTACACCCAGCGACGTATCCGCGGGGCGGCAAGAGAAACCGTTGGAAGAAGCAAAGTGCAGGGGCTGGGACACACGAGAGTGACAGCAGGAAAACATAGGGCAACAGCAGCTTTCAATCTGTGCTCTCAGCCTCGGGGGTGGGGGTTGTGCTCTCAGCCTGCAGTTACCTTTTTGAGGGCGTTCATTTGCTGGGTCTCTGCTCGCAACTCGGAGATGGTCTCGCGCTCCTTGTGCAGATCGCACTGCAGCGCATATCTCCATTCCTTCTCAATCTTCAGGTCAGTCTCCAGCTGCTGCCTGGGAACAGCCAGAGAGAGAGTCAGAGCGGCGGAGAGAGAGCAAGAGACAGAGCGGCGAGGACAGAGAAAGAGTGAGAGTGTCAGAGTGGCGGGGAGAGAGAGTGAGAGTGTCAGAGCGACGGGGAGAAAAAGAGAGAGACACAGCGGCAAGCCGTCTGGTATCCACAAGGAGCGATCTGAAGCGATGCAGCTCCCCCAGCACCACATCCCATCCCTATGCTCTCTGCCCATTACAGTAAAACTCACATAAGTCGTATCAGAACTGAGAGTGCTACCACTAAGCCAGGCTGACTCACAGGCCTGAGAACCCAGAATGGCAAAGGTTTGAAAGCAATGGAAAAGGCACACGTCCCCCCAGTCCCCCGAGTCCCCTGTCCCTCCCCCACCCCCCAACACTCACAGCTGCCGCTCTTTCTGTACGATCTGTCTCTGCAGACCGTCCACCTTGTCGCCCAGCTCCCGCTTGAACTTCCTGCTGCCGTCCTCGGCCAAGCGTCGCTCCTTGTCTGCTTGCTGCAATCTGGTGGAAGTCAAACCAGCTGAGGTCAGCGGGGCCCAACGTCCAACAACAAAACAAAGTCAAAGACGGGAAAATAAAAAGGACAAGGGGAGCAACCCAACTCAACCAGCGGAACCTAGCTGAGCAATTTGAGACATGACACACACACACAGGGTAACCAAAAAGACGTGATAACTACCCTATTATCTAAAAAAAGAACATCATTTCTTTAAGACAGTGCAATGGTATTACTACTTTTTGGTCACGCTGTAGTAAGAACCAGGCAACGTTGGATTGAAGGTTCCCAAAGCTTCCCACTGTGTTGTCGACTAATCCATACAGAATTAATTGCTATCAGCATCTCCATTATTGTTGCATGCGGACAACCAGGATGGTAGATGGACCTTGGGTTTTTTCATCCAGCAATTCCTATGGAAACTAAATGAGTGCCGGTACCAGTGCTGTGCCCAACTTTGATCAGACTCTGAAGTGTTGGAGAGTTCAGAGAACAACAGGTCAGCACGGTGAGCTTTGACCAGTCCAGCAGAGCTGAAGGGCATCGATTGAAAACGATTTGCCTCGTGATTCAGCGCACAGACTTCCCTCCCACTCCCCAGAAGAACTCATTTGTGCAAGTGGGGTTTGGGGTTTAAGCACCCTCGTGCCAGCAGCACACCCCGCGAGATATCCGCACACTTTCAGGCAGCTCACGGCCATTTTTTTAACCACTCAGGAAGTGACAGTTAGCTGACAGGAAATTGTACCTTTGCTCCATCCGCTTCATGGCTGCCGTGATTTGATTGGTCTTCTCTTCCAGTCGGCCCATCATCTCACTCTTGTGCTTTAGGCCATCTTCGGAGCCCTGACGAGAAGCAAGAAATCAAACCAGGGGCAAAACAGGGCTTTACAGAATCCAAGTTCTTCAGATAGCTCCAGAGAATCAATCCAGTGATCAGATCTGATCCTGGCTCAGTCGCTCACACTCTCACTGTTGCTCAGAAAATGGTGGGTTCAAGCCCCACGTCAGGGCTAATGCTCCAGTGCAGTGCTAGGGGAGTGCTGCACTGTGAGAAGTGAGAAATGAGACATTAAGATGAGGTCTGCCCTTTCAGGTGTACATTAATAAATCCCATGTTAATCTTGGCCTTTTGACTAAAAACAAAGAGAACTGATTAGCGGGCTGCATTATGGGAATGAAGGGACTTTGAACAACAACAAATTACATTTATACAGCGCCTTCCATGTCGGGTGGATGTCCGAAGACACTGGACAGTGCAGGGTTTGCACTCAAGCTGGGGGTTAGGATCATTAGCGATGCAGGGCAGGGAGGGGTAGGAGGGTGACCGAAGTCACAGTCAAAGAGAAAGGTCTGGAGACAATCCATGAAGGAGGCAAGGGAGGGGGCAAGGTGGAGGAGCTCTGGAATGGAGTCCCAGAAGGTAGAGGCAGAGAGGCTGAAGGTCCAACCATCGATGGTGGTGCGGGTAGGGCGGGGAACGTGGAGCAGGCCAGCGCCCGCTGAGCGGAGGGAGCGGACAGTGTGGTAAAGGTTTAGAAGGTCGCAGAGGTAGGGAGGAGAAAGACAGCTGAGAGATTTGTAGCTCAGACAGAGAGACAATTGACCCAGCTAGACTGAATGGCTCTCACCAACCTGTGCCTAATAGATTCCAGAATTAGGAAGCAAGATGCATCCCCCCAGAGAGAGAGCGCACATTAAATTCCAGACATGAGGAAATTTCTATGTGTAGATGGCAGACGTATGTGGAATGATCAGTCTGGTTTGGATACTGTTAAGCATGTGTCACACACCCTGGTGCCATCGCCCTCTCTCTTGCCTCCTTCAAGACCCGTCTCAAGACCCTTCTCTTTTGGTCACCCTTCTACCCCTGCCCGGCACCCCTCCTGAGCCTAACCCCCAGCTTTGGTCTAAATCCTTGACTTGGGACGTTCTCCCAACATGAAAGGCGCTATACAAATGCAATTTTTGGTTGTGATTAAAGAAAACAGTTGAATGTATGCGCTGAGCTTGGGAGGCCGATTGAGTAAGAACTGGGATGAAGGTAAAGGTGATTTAGTAAAATGGGTGCAGATGTGATGGGTGCAATAGTCTCTCTCTGTACTGAAGGTTTGTCTTGTTTTCCCTGTGTGGGAGACTAGACTGACCTGTAATTTGCGGAACATCTCCACGTTGATGGCCTTCACCTCCTCCAGCTGCTCTCGGAGGCTGATCAGAGCGTCCTGCTTCTCATGAACATCCTTCTCCAGCAGCTTCATAGCCAGCTCCATCTCATGCTTCATACCTACCTGAGCCAACAAGTCACTCTCCACTTCCTGGGGAAAGCAAACTAGTCACACAGTGTCAGTAGCTCATCCCAACCCTCCCTCATCCCATTACTCTTCAGCTCATCTTAACCCTCATCCCATCATGCTCCACCTCCTGTAAAGAGGCGCCCAATCACATAACTTCACTAGTTTACAACAACAACTTGCATTTACGCTGCAGCCTTCACGTGGGGTAGCATCTTGGAGCACTTAAGAATGAGGAATTAACCAGGCTTTATACTCCCTTTTCCTCTCTGGACAAGTGACTTTGATTCCTGATCACAGATCCGAACATAAAATATTCAGTCAAACACAATAAGCTAGTTTCAATAAGAGTACTTAACCCCAGTACTAAAGGAATTTTTCTCAGTGCAGTAACGCTGTGTGGGTCTGGATTGTCAGTACTCTCCTCACCTGTCTCAGCTGTGCCTCCTCCCTGAGCTGCCTGCGGGCCTCGCTGTACATATCGTCCTGGCCCTGTCTCGTGTCCTTGTAGGTCTCCAGTTCAGCAGATACATCCAGCTTCACCACCTGAACACACACATGGCCTTTTGTCAGCTCACAGAAACACACAGGCAGGGGTATTCTGATTATCCTCCTTATGGGGAGGTAAGCGGGGTTTCCTTAAAGCTGAACTGGTTTCAAGGTGACATGTTTGGCCCTCTGTTAAGGTCCTTGAGCCATGCGGGATAGCAGTACTCCAAGGCACTGCTGATGACAGCTCAACCCAGCCTGCTCTTACCTCCATGTGCTGTTGGGTTTTCATTATGATGTGCATGTTCTCATTGCGAAACTGAAGATTTTCCTCTTGTAGTCGAATGATGCTGTTCTTTGCGATCGCCAGCTACAGGAGAGACAAGATAGAGGTGTCCAGAAATACAGCCGGAGAGGAAACAGCGGAACCTTGTCCCTGTCTCAGGCCTTCCTCCCCCCATGGAGGTCTGTAAGTCACGGTTTGGGGTGGAGGATTGTCAGCGATGCATCCTGGAGTGACTGTTTTATAAATTGATCGGAATTTTATAAATCACCCAGTGGGTGGACAGTGCTGAACGATACAAATTTTGCCTTACATGAAACAATATAATTACCTCTTCAATCAATTTAGTGTTTGCTTTCTCAAGTGTATCAACTCTGCCCTGGAGACCATTGACTGTAGAACTGGAACACAAACAGAAGGAGAACAGTTGCGACTACAACTTTGCTCAATTTAAGTGTTGAAAACTGGAACAAAATTAAATAATAATCCTTGCATTTGATATAACGCCTTATCACGTCGTTGAGATGTCTCAAAGTGCTTCACAGGATTCACTATAAAGTGGATTGACTGTCTATTTTTGTGTGTGAAACATGGCAGCCAATTGCGCACAGCAGTGTCCCGCAAACAGTCGTGGATTGAGTGACCGTAATTTATTTTGGTTTAAAAGAAACGTACTTGAGTTGCCGATTTAGTTCCTCCACATAGTTCTTCTGATCCAGGATCGCAGCTATCTGGCCATCCCTGAAAGAGACCGACAGGCTCAGAAATCCTTCAGGTGAGATAGTAAACGTATTTGCGAAAACCTCTCCCCATTACCATTAACAAATCATAAACAGATAATCCTGAACCTGACGAAGTGCCTGTCACTTCCGGGGAACATCTCAAAACACTACATGAGGCTTACTGTAAAGTGCAGTGGCTGTATTTTGTGGGTGGCATGTGTGGGTGGGTTGCATGGAATTCTCAGTTGGTTTGGAGACCCTTAAGCACGGCGATGGGTTTCCCCGTGTGTCAGACACCTAGATGCCCCCCAACTCAAAAATTGTGCAGAGTTATTTTTTTGGAAAAGCAATAGCCAAATGAGGAGAGATTCAAATTCTAGGCAAAGCAGAACGGCAATAACAGACTCGTCTCTTAGCAGAGAGCTGGGAGCTCATTACTGGCTGGAACTCTGTTGGCCAATTACCTTTCACAGCAGCCGCTATTCTCTTCATCGTTCTTCAGGTAGAAGGAGAAATCGATGACTCCCACCTGGAAGGGAAGCAGGACTCACGGTTACAGCCGATTATGCGAACACCAGTACAGGCTACGTACTGCCTTCCTTCTCACTCACCGTCACCGGGTCAAACACAAGGAGAAATAAGAGCCATGAATTCCCCAGGTTATTCAGGCTCGGTCGCTCTCGACCCCACTTGTCTCCAGGTCAGAAGGTTGTGAGTTCAAGCCATTGTGGTAAAGGTTTAGAAGGTCGCAGAGGTAGGGAGGAGAAAGACAGCTGAGAGATTTGTAGCTCAGACAGAGAGACAATTGACCCAGCTAGACTGAATGGCTCTCACCAACCTGTGCCTAATAGATTCCAGAATTAGGAAGCAAGATGCATCCCCCCAGAGAGAGAGCGCACATTAAATTCCAGACATGAGGAAATTTCTATGTGTAGATGGCAGACGTATGTGGAATGATCAGTCTGGTTTGGATACTGTTAAGCATGTGTCACACACCCTGGTGCCATCGCCCTCTCTCTTGCCTCCTTCAAGACCCGTCTCAAGACCCTTCTCTTTTGGTCACCCTTCTACCCCTGCCCGGCACCCCTCCTGAGCCTAACCCCCAGCTTTGGTCTAAATCCTTGACTTGGGACGTTCTCCCAACATGAAAGGCGCTATACAAATGCAATTTTTGGTTGTGATTAAAGAAAACAGTTGAATGTATGCGCTGAGCTATGGAGTTCCAAAGGATGGGGGCAGAAAGCCCAACCGTCGATGGTGGGTGGGGTTGTCAGGAACATAGAGCAGGCCAGAGCCCGCTGAGCGGAGGGAGTGGACAGGTTGTTATGGAGTTAGCAGAAAAAAATATTAAAAAATACAGAAAGGTAGGAAATAAAACACTCAAATCCCTTTAAACATCCTAGCGGAGTGTGGACTCGTCTGGTCTTATTTTGATGTGATGCCTAAGTACAGTAATCAATGAAATCTCCAATAGAAATGCTGGTTATCCACATGCCAATTCCCCCACGTGTGTTTTACCTGCACTGTGCTGTTATGTGGACATGGATTGAGGGCTGTGAGACATCAGCAAATAAAAATCCTGTAGTGTGCACCAGTGAAGTTGTCACAAATGCACGGTTGGTAAAAGTCGCTGTGATCAGCTAAATGTGCAGAACAGGATCTCCCCCTGGTTGTGTGAAGATTAAGCTCCCCAAAGGATTTATACAGTAGTTTGTACAGGTATGGTTAGTGTCAGAAAGGGAGACTGAGGGAGAGGAAGTCAGAAAGAGGAAGGCATTGACAACCGTCAAGACAGTGGTAGACCCAGAGAAAAACAGAAAGGCAATGAGAAAAAGGCAGAGGGACAAGAGAGAGAGAGAGAACTAAGGAGCTTCCTGCTTAATTGTTAACTGTTCTACTGGAACAGTGAGAAAATAGAGAATAGCTGATCCTGTGCTCACCCCATGTCCACATGTGCACCTTCTAGCAGGAGTATGGATTGTGATAAACTCTGGAACTCTCTCCTTCAATCCCTCTGCCTTGCCCTGTCCTTCCCCATCTCCAGATTGCGCCTGAAGACCTTCCTCCTCAAAGTCATGCTCTGTCACTGTCAAGCGCTCTGAGATGCTACCCTGTGTGAGGGACGCTATGTAAATGCAAGTTGTTGTTGTTGATCAGAAGCAGCAATCTTAGCTGGTTTTCCCCTTCTTCTCCCAGTGGGTTTGAGGACTATTGCATGTTCCGACTCCTGTCTCGGCTGAGATCAGTAGCTCAGACTGGTGGGATAGGAAGCTGTGAGTCTCACTGGGCACCCACTGCTGTAACCTTTACCATCTCGTCTGACAGAGCAGCTCAAAAAGGCATTTGTGGAAACATCTGAAAATGGACTGAATTCAAATTCAGAATTCCCGTTCACAAATAACGTGAACAGAATCAACCCGTTAGATACTAAGTAGTAACTGCACTCATTAAGGCAAGGAGGCACACGTCTTCTCACAGTGAGATGGCACCCAGAGAAATCTCAAACCAAGAGAAGGCCACTTGACTTGTGCCAATGTCCTGCTAGCAACACCACAAGCGCCATCTTCTCTGTGTGGGTATCGTGGCTTAGAGGCAAAAGCCTCTGCTTGGTAAACAGAAGATCCCAGCTTCAAAGAGGTGCTTTCTTCCATAGTTTGTGTGCTGGCACAGACTAGTTGGGCCAAATGGCCCATTTCCCTGCTGTATAACTTTAACTCTAACCTCACCTGCTAAAAGAATTCCGCTCCCTTCACTGGTCAACTGACCTGCTAACCTGCCAGCTCAGAAGTCCAGTCCTGCCACATCAAGGCCTATCACTAGGAGTGCCAATCATTGGGTAAGACTATTTGATGCTACGTTTGGCCAGTTTAATGGGGCAGGATTGCTTCTTCACAGTAAGGCTGAGACTGGCCGAAACAGATCCTCCTTTGATTCAGATTGAGGAGCAGAAGTGGTTAACCCTTCACGAAATCAGTAAAATATATTAGTTCCTCATTAAGTGCTACACCTTTTACATAACCATAGAAACATTTTTACATTTCTAATTATATCAATCACAAAACACTGTAAACAAAAATGAAAGTAAACCCCATTTAGCCCATCCTAATAGCAAACTCCATTGCACAATGCAGCATTGTTATAAAGTGCAACCGCGTCATTGATGGTGTGTTATATCGCTTGCTACAACTTCACGTGCTCACTTGTCGCCTGTGTGGCTGTGGATCAGGAAGCCAGGCAGAAGGTAGCCAGGCTGGTACAGAGCTGTCCGCTCTGCGCTTCTACAACAAACACTAGGCAGCCCCTCCTGCTCGCATTCACAACAGGGTCACCGGCTGACGTCGTGGCCTGCTGTGTTACTGTAGTGTACACTGACACGTGTTAGAACAAAGCTGCACTGCACTTAGGAAATTCAAAAAGGCGATTATTAAAAGCCCAGCTTTACAGGGTGTTCACTAATTCCTGTTAAATACAATTATCATCATTCTTCTACACGTTTCCATTGTTGGCCAATGCACTCTAGAAAAAATCATGGGGATTACAGGACTTCGCGAACACCCTGTACAGTAATAGAGATGTGTATATTAAATTATGTAAAACCGTTCTCTATTAAAAAGGCATACATTATCACAAACAAATCAGCATTAACCTCAACCCAATTACTTTCAAAGTGAGAAGTTAAACCGGAAATGATTCCAAACTTTAAATCTATGATTCATCTTGTACAACGAAGAAGGTAAAAGAGTGATTTAGGGGAGGTGGGAAAGTAGGGGTAATTAGAAAGGGCACACAGGCTCATGTGGAGCAGAAACACCAGCAGTTGGACTGAACAGCCTGTTTCAGTACTGTACAGTCTCTCAAATTCTATGTACTCACAGTATGCTGCAAACTCTAGGTCTCTTTCTCCTCATCGGTAATGATCAGTAGTCATAATTAATAAACACTTAGCAGTTCTTAAGACACACATATTGTAATTACACCCAAAAAGGTCAGTAGTTTATCAGTTTGCAGCTGTTAAATTCTAATGTGAGGCAAAGGATTAACAGTATGCATGAGAAAACTGTATAATCCTTGCTCAATGGAGTGAGGTTAGCATGCAGAGGGATGGTAGATATCTATTAGGGCTAACACATCGAGACTACCTCAGCAGGTCACCAGGACTGTAGGAACGGTCCAAAAGATAGGCATCTTTCATTGCCTCTTTGATAAGTGTCTGGAGGGCAGTGGCGAGTGGGCAGGTGAAGCGGCTATCACGAATAGGAACGGAAAAGCAGGGGTCTAACATATCCCACTTGCTGACAATATTCTAAGCTGCACATAGACTGCAATTCTCACCTGCATGTTAGATCCCATAGACTGACGTGAGCGTTGAAAATGTACGTGTGCTTCTACAAAACACTGACCGTGGGGTAAACACTGATGGGAAAGAAATGGGTGTGCTGAAGCCCAATGTTATGTGTTTGAATTATATCGTAAAATAATGCATTTCCCTCAAATGGTACATATTGGCATCTCGACGTCCTGACTGAAGTGCCGCAGTGTAAGACACTTGCAGATCGGGGTTGCGCTCATTCTATACCCCACAAAATATACACTACTAATCTACAATGTCAGGCATCAAGGTCTGGGAGGCACCAACAACACCCTGGCCCTTTCTTGCTGCCACCTTCACACTTCATGTCGCTGGGCGGATCGAGCATGCTCCGAAAGTCAACCTGGTCGTTCTCAAGGATCATGTCTTCCACACGAGAGATGTACAGCCAGGTTAGAAACACACCAAAAAACTGAGGAAAGAAAGACAAGGTGAGGTTCAAACAAATGAACCGATTCAGAAAACACATCTCTACATCACCCCATCTCTCAATTGATTTCTCACCAAATGAAAAAGGTAGTTCGTCAATGCAGAAAGCAATCACAAATGTTACATGGAATCCCATGGTGTACTGGTTAGTGCACTCGCCTCGCAATCAAGAGGACCCAGGTTCAATTCCCGGATGGGGCGAAACATTAGGCAAGTATCTTTACTGCAAACGTCTCTCTTTACCTAGCAGTAAGTACGAACCCAGTTGTAAGTCGATTGGCAGATTGCTTTCCAGGGGTAATAATCCCTCCCAAACAAACAAACAAACAAGTAAATAAATACGTCACTCAATCCACGACTGTTTGTGGGACACTGATGTACGTAATTGGGTCCTGTGTTTCGCCCACAAAATATACAGTCAATCCACTTTACAATATATTCTATGAAGAGCTTTGAGATGTCTCAACAACGTGATAAGGTGCTATATCAAATGAAAGGATTATTATTAATCTTTTATAACAAGGAGTTTGGAATATAGAAGTAAGGAAGCAAATGAAAACTAATTTGGATTACTATTTGGTTATTGTCACTTGATCTTAGGAAGGTTACACTAGCTGTTCAGGATGGCTAGCAATGCTTCACTAGATTTGTACCTGAGATGAAAAGGTTTAGCTATGAGAGGTTGGATTTCACTGTAAAGTGTAGAGACCGTCTATTTGTAGACAGTCATGGGCAGCCAATTGCACATAGCAAATGTCCCACAAACAGCCATGGAGTGAGTGACCAATTTTTGGGGGGGCATTGTTGACCAGGATCCCAAGAGAAACTCTCTTTTCTTTTTGATTAGTGTCAGGGATCCTCAACATCCACCCGAAGAATCAAATGGGGCCTCGGTTTAACGTCTCATCTGATGGACGGCAATGCAGCGTTCCCCCAGCACTGCACTGGAGTGTCAGCCTAGACTGTGAGCTCAAAGTCCCCACAACCTTTTCACTCAAAGACCACAGTGCAAACAACTGAGCTAGGCTGACACACAAGAACAAAAGAGAAAAGAAAAACCAGGAGAGAAGTCAGAGAATGAGGGTCACGCAAAATCTATCTATAATTTTGTAACTCAAATTGCTTTTATTGGATTTCCAATTAGGAACACATCCTCGCCTGTCTGGGGGGTGGGGGCGAGGAGAAAGTAATAACGTTGCTTCTCCCATGGTACAGAACCATTGCTCAAACACACAGAACCAATGGTGTGAGCATTCAGTAATATTCTGAATAATTATAATATGGAGTTGATATTAAAAATCTTAATAGATCCCTTCAGTACCCAGCAATTAGATAAAGGCACTGCAGCCAATTATTTGGTGTTGCTGAAACTAGTTGACAACAAGGCAGCTTTTGACTTGGACATACGTGTAAACCAAACTGGAGAAATAGCTTAAGTGACAGTGCTGGGATCTCATTTAAAGAGTCAGGAATTGCCGAGAGGTGGATGTATGAATTATGTAGGACAATTACAGCACTGGGACATGTGCTTGTTTTTTTTGGTTGTAGCAGAATACAGTCTGCTGTAACTTTTATCTCCAGAAAAATAATATTTCAAAAAGCTTCAGAAATTCACTGCCAGTTGAATCCACAACAAACTTGCATTTATAAAGCACCCTTCACGCCATGTAGTGTCCCAGAGTACTTGACAGTGGCGGAGTCTGACGTCGAGCCAGGGGGAGAGGTAACCGTAAGCACGATCAAAAAGGAAGGTCTTTGGGTGAGATTTGAAAGTGGGGAGTGAGGGGGCAAGGCTGATGGAATAAAGGGAGAGAATTCCAGAGCACGACCACTGATGGTGGAGAGGAGGGGATGAGCGACAAACATGAGGCCGGAGCCAGCTGAGCCAAGGCAGCAGGTGGTGGAGTGGGGTGTAAGCAGATAGATAGGTAGGGAGGTGCGAGGGCATGAAGGTATTCGAAAACGAGTTGAGAGTGGAGCCTGGCAAGGACTGGTGTGATGGGATATGGAGTTTTGTGCAGGTGAGTATCCGGACAGCGGAGTTTTGGATTAATTGAATTTTGTATGGGGGAGCTGGGGAGACCAGCGAGCAGGGTAATTGGAGTGGTCCAGCCAGGAAGTGCAAAAGGCGTGGAATAGGGTTTCGGCTGCGTTGGTTGCGAGGTACAGATGGAGGCAAGCAATGTGATGGAGGTGGAAAAAAGCGGTCCTGGTCAGGGATCGGATGTAGGGTAGAAAGGAAAGCTGGGGATCAAACCTTACGCGTGGGTTCAGTGAGGGAGAGCCCAGGGAGGTCGAGGAGTTCAGACCTGCAGGAGAGATGACGTTGACGGGAGCCAAAGAGTATGGCTTCCGTCTTGCCGACATTCAGCTGCAGGAAATTTGCGCTCATCCAGACCTTGATATCCGTCAAAGCGGACAGGACATCATCTGTGATGACTTCGCTAAGAGGGAGCATGTAGATAAGGAAAAGAAATGGGCCAAGGATGGAGCCTGTGCAGCGCCTTAAGACCTCTTACTGACATAAAAGGCGCTGTATCAAATGTAAGGATTATCAGTAACATAAACATTACCTGTGGTACTATTATACCCAGCAGAAGGCCAGCCATGGCAGTATAGTGATCCATGAACCAGAGCAGCACAGCATTTGTGCACCCACGGATATAAATGGTGTTGACCAGACTCAGACGCTGTAAGTAAAGCAGCAACAAATTACATTTACACATTTCACATTGGGAAGACGTTGGCATCCTCTAGTCCATGCTGGTGTTTATACTCCACATGAACCTCCATCTATGCTAATACCCCCATACACCTCTACTCCCTTCTCCCTGCAGTAATAACTATTCCATTTCAATATCCCTGGTCTGGTCCACGCACGCACTGAACACCCCCGCTCTCTCTCCTTTTGCTTGATCGCTCATTACCTTGGTGCTGTGATGTCCAATAAAACCCCAGGAAACTGACATAGAATACTAAAAGCAAATCTAGAAATACATACCAGTTTATTAAGAGTTTCGAAGCCGCACAGTGTATTGGCAACTTCGGTCTGAAACAAAATAAAACACCGATTAACTTTCAAAAGTTTAAGAACCAGAGAGGGGACAAGGAGATTTTTTTATACTCAGAGAGTTGTTATGGCCTGGAATGCACTGCCTGAAAAGGTGGTGGAAGCAGATTTGATAATGGCTTTCAAAAGGGAATCGGATAGGCACTTAAAAAGGAAAAATTTGCAGGGCTGTGGGGTCAGAGAAGGCGGAGTGGGACTAGTTGGTAGTTCTTTCAAAGAGCCAGCACAGGCACGATGGGCCAAATGGCTCCTTTTGTGCTGTAAGGTTCTATGAAGTAGCAAATACCGATTTTTTTTTGGAGCAGCAAGCTCGATAATAATAATAATCCTTGCATTTGATATAGCGCTTTTCACGTCGGGAGGACGTCCCAAAGCGCTTCACAGAATAATAATAATAATCCTTGCATTTGATATAGCGCTTTTCACGTCGGGAGGACGTCCCAAAGCGCTTCACAGAACACACTGTAAAGTGAATTGACTGTATATTTGTGGGCGAACGCGGCAGCCAATTGCGCACAGCAATGTCCCACAAACAGTCGTGGATTGAAAATGACCAATTTATTATTGTTTTTTTGTTTTGGAGGGATTATTATTAGGCGTGTGGAGTAAGGAAACTTACCCAAGGTTTCGCCCTGCCTGGAATTGAACTCAGGTCTCTTGCTTGCAAGGCGAGTGCTCTAACCACTGAGCTACAGGACTCCACAATATTGATATTGATATCGATATTAAAATATTGAATTTTCCCAATAAATCTCTATGAGGTTCACAATAATTGTAAGAGAGGTCTCCAGAGAAGAACATCATGAAAGATGCTCAGTGTTAGAGAGATTAGCTAAGAGGAACAAGAGAGAGGCTAGAAATGACCAGATGGAACAGTAATCATTTCAAATCTGGACATTGCTATTGCTCAAGACACAAATCTTTCTCAAATTATCATAATAGTCTTTGCATTTTATATTGCACCTTGTTGAAACGTCTCAAAACGCTTTACAGAGTGTAGTGACTATACTTGTAGACAAACATATCAACTTGTCCATGCCCTCCGCTCAGCAGGCTCTGGCCTGCTCTACATCCCCCGCCCGGCCTGTGCCACCATTGGTAGTCGGGCCTTCAGCCTTTCTGTCCCCACCCTATGAAACTCCATCCCATATTCCCTTTGCTCGCTCTGTCCCTTGCCTCCTTCAAGGCGCGTCTCAAAACCCTCCTCTTCGACCGAGCCTTCGGCCACCCTCCTACACTCCCTGCCCTCCACCCTCTCTGACCCCCAGTTTGAGTCAAAATCTCTGACTGCCCAGCGCCTTGGGACGTCCTCTCGACATGAAAGACGCTACACAAATGTAATTTTGTTTTGTATTGTAACATGACAGCCAATTTGTGCACAAACTGGTTCTGAAGATAACCCCTGCATTTGATACAGCGCTTTTCACATCAGGAGGACGTCTCAAAGCATTTCACACTTTTTGCTGTAAAGTGTTGTAACTGTGGATTTTCTAGGCATAAAAAGTGAAGGCATTTATTTTGGCAACTGGCAATATTGTTTCCTGTTCTCGAACTACTGCATCAAATGCAGTGCTTGAATCTAGCGCTCAGCATTGAGAATTAATAGCCCTGTAGCGTAGTGGCTAGTGCTCTCACCTCGCAAGCGAGAGGACCCGGGGTTTGTTTCCCAGGCAGGGCGAAACCTTAGGCAAATTTCCTTACTCCATACGCCTCTATTTGCCTAACAGTAAATAGGAACCCAGTTGTTAGTTGATTCGCGGATCACTTTCCTGAGGTAATAAGCCCTCGAAAAAAAAACGGTCACTCAATCCACGACTGTTTGTGGGACACTACTTTCCATAATTGGCTAATACATTTTACGCACAAAATACACAGTCGATCCATTTTATTCCTTAAAGCACTTTGAAAAGTCTTAACAACGTGATAAGACGCTATATCAAATGTCAGAATTATTATTATTACAGTGCACAATTAAAACAAAGGCAACAAGGTTCCATGATCCTGAACGGTTGGCATCAAGGATTGTAATGATGAAACTAAATAATAAATGTGAAAAACATATGTGTTGCTACATAGTAAGCAACTAACTGAGACGTAAGAAAGTAAGACATCTTAAAAGGATATTCCTTTTGTTACTTCTCTCTCCCCTCCATTTTAGTCTCTTGTGCTGCACTGTATGAACAATCTTAGAATAAAGAATGATATTTCTCCAAGATTCCTGCTTTGTTATTGACACATCATGAAATTTCCTAAAAAGGCCCTCTGGGTTCGGAACTATGCACATGTGCACATTTCTCCATTGCGAAGGGGAAAAACAAAGAATTATGTTACAACGTGGAAGTAAACTATGAACATTAGCCCTAGCATGAAATACTGTTGGGACCTTAGCTTTCTTACAGCACTTGACTGCAGCCCACCTCTCTAAAGTGTTATAGATCCTGGAGCCAAAAGTGTATTCTTTTATTCCGATCAACCTATTTGTAAGATCCAAATTTAGCGGTTCAAACTGTGATTTAAGAGTTTTTATAAACAGGGCTTCAGGATTGCCAATGCGTCACCAATGTTCAAATAAACTAAGCGCACTGTATATAACGGGAACGATTAAACCCCAAATTGTTGGCAACTTCAAAGAGGTTTTAGCTGAGGTCTAAAATGTCTAACATGTTTCTCCATTATGTTATTCTCATCTGATGCTCTATAAATTTCAGCAGCAGACAAACCACATCACCAGCACCTCAGCTGCACTGACAGAAGGATTCCTAGGATCAGCTTGACATTCCTTCTGGTCCCAGGAGCTCAAAGACCAACAAGATTCAATTTGCTCAAACTTCCTTCGGAAAGGTGTCGTCAAGTTGCAGCACTGCTTGTGCTTACAGGGTAATGATTCCAATTCAAATTAGTATCAAATTGATCCATTGATAAATACTCAAGAAAATATTAAATATTTTTAGGAAAAAGCAAAGGAATAGGATTACAGAGTTCCAGTGGGGGAGCGAGCACCAGGACAGACACGATGGGGAGAGAGTATGGGATTTGGATTAGAGGCAATAGTTCAGATTGGGCAATGAGCACGAACGTAGATGCAACAGGAGAATAGTCTCTCTCTTTGCTGTGCGTATTATTCCTAATATCCAAGAATATTGCCAATAATACATAATTGCAACATTAAATGTGAAGAAAGTGATTTGGATATTTTTTCATTGCCGATTACAGGCGTGTTGTGGATGTGTTTATTATTACCTTGGCTTTCTCTTGTTAAAACTCAACAGTGCATCACTGAAAACAAAAACAAAAGTTGCAGGGAACACTCAGTAGGTCATGGAGAAAGGAAAGTGAGTCAATGTTTCGGGTCCACGACCCTTCGTCAGAAGTAGGGGATGTTGGGCGGGAGAGGCTTTTAAGGGCTAACAGAGAGGCGGGAGACAGGGCAAGGAAGTCAAAGGAGAAAATGGGGTAGAGGACAGGGGATGATGGGTTAAAGACTGTTCCCAGCGACTTCTGTTGTTGTTTTCAGATTTCCAGCATTTGCAGTATTTTGTGTTTTGTTTAATGCATCACTGAAGCCTGGTGGTGACCTTCAACTTGTAGCATCCTGTATCACGATCAACTGTTCCAACACGATAATAGGCTAAAACATCAACTAATTGTTTGCAGATTAGGTGAGCAAGCATGCACAAAGGTCTCGGGAGGGAGGGCATGCCCCATATAAGACAAACACATGTGGAACACTCAGTTTGGTGTGTACTCTTAAGCATGGCGATGGGTTTCCATGTGTGTCAGACACAAGGCTGACCAGAAGCACGCCCTAATACCTTTGTCGTCTACCCTACCTTCAATGTTTCACCATTTAGAATGTATTCTTGTCTGTCATTCTTACATTTCGCTCACAAAATACACAGTCAATTCACTTTACTATTGTGAAGCACTTTGAGACATTTCGAAGACGTGATTAGGCGCTATATCAAATGCATGGATTATTATTACTATTTTATTTTTTACATCCATAATGGACTGTTAGCCACAATCTGTCGGAAATCTTACATTTCCCCCAAGACATTTCTGAAACAATGAACAAGGATTCAAACGTGTAATCAAAATCAGAAAAAAATATTATTGAAGAGCATAGATGATGTTTTTTAATTTCTTCTTTCTTCAGAAGCCGGGTGTCTGACATATACAGAAATTCATCACCATGCTTAAGAGTATCCAAGCCTATACATTAAAATTTCCCTGTGTCTGAAATGGAGCCCGCACTCTCTCCTGGGAAGGATGCTTATCTAATTCCAGAGAGTATTAGGAGCAGGTTGGCAACAGTCAAGGTTTGGGGACCCCAGAGTGTGCTATTTCCCAAACGCACACATTGAAAAACTGTGAAAAGTAATTCTAAGAGAAAATTAAAAAACTATCACTGAGCGACAAGTTCATTAAGGGAAAGAGATACTGCATTAATCACGAGGAAGCACTTCTAAAGGACATTAATTAGTAGACACTAATGAAAATGTGAAGTGGAAAGAATTAACTTGAAAAGATGAAAAGGAAGCAGACATTTACTAGGGGAGCCATCTTCCTTTGAAATTCTGAATGCTTTGGCCTCTCTTCTTATCTTCCCATATCAGTCTTAACTCACTTCACCATCAGCACTCAGAATTAGGTAAACTGTATGGATGCCCAAGTATTATCACATTTTAATAAAGGTTTTTGTTACAATAGCTTCATTATCAGTTTTGTGGGCGAACATGGCATCCGATTTGCACACACCAATGTCCCACAAACAGCCTTGAAGTAAATGACCAATTTTATTCTCTTTTCGAATAGTGCCACGGGATCAGCGCCTTGGGATGTCCTCCTGACGTGAAAGGCGCTCTATAAATGCAATCTTGTTGTTGTTGTTAACATCCACCCAAACAGGCAGATTTTTTTTGCAACATTTTATCCAAAGGACGACACCTCCAACAATCAGCAAACCCATACATTTGCAT